ACTCATTAAAGAGTGCCGTGCTCCACAAGTACACCCAGCACCACAGTGCTTGGCGGTGGTGGTGGTGGTGGCTGTGGCGGTGGCTGTGGCAGTGGCTGTGGTGGTGGCTGTGGCGGTGGCTGTGGCGGTGGCTGTGGCGGTGGCTGTGGCTGTGGTGGTGGCTGTGGTGGTGGCTGTGGCGGTGGCTGTGGCTGTGGCGGTGGTGGTGGCTGTGGTGGTGGCTGTGGCGGTGGCTGTGGCGGTGGCTGTGGCGGTGGCTGTGGTGGTGGCTGTGGCGGTGGTGGTGGCTGTGGTGGTGGCGGTGGCTGTGGCGGTGGCTGTGGCGGTGGCTGTGGCGGTGGCGGTGGTGGTGGCTGTGGTGGTGGCTGTGGCGGTGGCGGTGGCGGTGGCGGTGGTGGTGGCTGGGCTCTTTGATTGGCGAAGAGCTGCGTCTGACGTGATTTTTGCACGGGCACACACCTTTCGGTCGCTCGAGTGTGACGCGACCCGGTGGCTCAAGACTTCTCTGATGGTTGTGCGAGCACACCCCCCCCCCCCCCCCCGAAATTATAACTCTTTCTCGAGATGCGATTGCATTGACACGCTATGTCAGTTTCAAATTCCTGTTGTCTGTCACTGAGCGTATGCAATTTGGCGTAAACAGGGCAACAAACATTTACCAAGTGCATTCTCTATGAATGCGCTGTAAATGTCGTGGATCTTGGCTGTCTGAGCATTCCCTCCTTGATATAAAAAAAAGCAAAACAAAAAAGCGCCGCGTGCACAACGGCGGGGGGGGGGGGCAGCAGCCGCTGTAGCCGCTTGGCGAAGCCCTTCGCCTTCTCGCGGTTCCTGCCGATGATGGTGGACTGAGCTTGGGGCTGTAACGGTTGGGAGCTTTGCTACGGCCGAGCTGTCTGCTGGTGGAGCCGGGGAGCGCGCTGGAAGGAACGCCGCCCTCCCCCTCCGCTCCTCCTCCTCCTCGATGAATGTCGCGCTGTGCATTTGACAGTAACTGCTGCTCTATGAGACCGTCTGTAACTGTGGGCATCCGATATGCAGGTTTTTACCCAAAAGTAATTGTTTTAAAGCACCGGTATGTACATGTATACGTGTATGTAGATTATAAAGTGCTCTCGAAATGCGAGATCAAAACCAGTCTGTAAATTTGAACTCTCTGTCATCCAGTTGAATGTTCAAAAGTGCAGTCTCTTAAATGTTTTGCGGTGGGTAAAACTGTTGTGGGATGCCCCGTGTGCGCGTACGGAGGCCCGTGCAGGCTGTTGCGCTAATCTCGCCGTGACGTGTTTGACTCTGCTCTCTCCGTCTCTTCCTCCAGTCAGTGGTAGAGCAGGAAGTGGACTGGGACAGCTATCTGTCTGTAAGGCCCATAGGTAATCTCTCTCTCCCTCTCTCCGTGTCTCCCGTCATTCCCTCCCTCCCCTCGTCTGCCTCCATCGTGGGGTGGAAGAGGTAGCCCTGGAGCATTGCCCTGCTTGACCAAAGCGGCCGCGCCACTTGGCACGACCGTGACGAATGTTACACGAGCCTCATGCCTCCCGAGCGATGATCGCGGGGTCCAGCCTCCACGACGGCTCGTTCGTTGAGGAATCTGGACACCCGTGTGCCCCTTCCGGCTGCAGTCCCGCAATCATTCGTTGGCGACGCTGCGAAATTGGCACCTCTGCAAATCGTCACCTCTTGACGCTTTAGATCGAGACGCCAAAGCGCCATTCATGAACGCCAGCGTCGTTTTGGCGCAGTCGCTCAAAATCACCGCAAGCGTCGTCACGGCCTAGGTCATGGCTACCGGCGTCAAGCCCCCCTCCCCCCCCCCCCCCCCACCATCGTCGTTTCACCGCAGATGTTGCCGAAGCCATGCATTGTTTGTCCCAGGCCATTTAAGCTGCTCCATTTGGGCTTTCCTTGCCCAATCTGCGTTTGTTCTTCCCACCACCTCCACCCCCACCCCATGATGAAGTTGCTGAAATAAGTGGGGAGTCTGCATTGCATGCCTCTGTCGGGATGTGCTTATATTAACGCGCCTCGTGTGTGTACTCGTATGCATTCCTACTGCTGCTCTGCTGGCCGGAACATTCAGTTGTGTTCAATCGAAAGCCCGATTTGCGTGACTATGCAGAAAGCCCGTAAGGTGTAGCGTATGGCCTTGTTTGGCGTTTGAAAGTAAAAAATGTATCCACCGATTAAGAGCGACTGAAATGTACATCTCAGCAGAGCAAGCATGAGGTCTGCCCACCGCGTTCCTTTGCAAGTTCCACTTCATTTCATTGTCTCAAACTCGGCATCTTCATTTCTTCTTCTGTGCATGCAAAAAACGCTGCTGCGCTTGTTACGCACGACTTGGGGGGTGGGTCCCGAGCCGACGTTCGTCTCGAAAGATGATGATCTTCCCAAAGTGCGACAGCGGGAGTTTGCATGACCGCTCGCTCACTCGCTCGCTTCGGTTGAGCAGGCACCCCTGACTTAGCATTGGCCAAGTCCAAACCACAAAGCCGCCCCTGCACTTGTCCCGGAAACATGGATAACTTGCACAAGTGCTGTGGAACTATGACTGCGTTTTTACGTGACCATAACCACTTGGCGGATATTGTCTTTCGCCGCAGGCACTTCTATTACACCCAACGCAAAATGTTGCGTTGGTCAGCTTAAAAGTTACCGAAGAAAAATATCTTTTGCACGCAGATGTGTTTTGTTGTTGCTCATAAACACGAGGCAATGGCAATGCATCTCATTGAAGCAGTGGTTAGGAGACTTTGCGAAGCCGGACTTCACCCAAACACGTGTGGGTGCTTAAATGAACACGAGCGGGTCTGTGGGTACCTGGTAACCCCCACCCCACAGGACCCAGCGCTGAAACACGTGCTGCGTTAACTATCGGAACAATTACATTCTTGGGTAGACTTCCAATGACTGCCCACCTCTCTTCTGCTCTCTTCACCCAACCCACCCCGATCATTGTGCGTCTACCGAAATGTGTGGACCCTCGCTCGCTCGTTTGCTCGCTCGTTTGCTCGCTCGCGCGCCGCTCACCGCCGCTCACTGTCTCTTGGTGTGTCACCTTTCTGCAGAGCCTAAAGGAAGGCCTGACTGTTCAGGAACGGATGAAGCTTTTTGAGCACACGGAAGCGAAGGAGTTCTGAGCGGCGTCACTTTGCATGCACACGTCTGTATATACTCGTTTTCACCCCTTCTCCTCCTCCTCCTCACTACCCCCAACCCCGGCGCACGCAGATCTGTGGGGCATAAACCACGAGGAGCGCACCGTGCACCGCCGTCCCCCCCCTGTCCCTGCCCATCGTCTTATGCATAGTTAGCCGACAGACAGACCAGCAATATAAAGTGCTGCATTATAAAAGTCTGAATCTTCTTAAAACGCGCTGTGGCCGAAGCATTAGCCCGTGGTTTGTAATGCACGAAGCAAGCGTTGTACGCTCTCACTTGGCTGTAAATGCGATGCGCATGCAACCCAGGTACCCCGCCTGCACTTGGTGAGATTTTTATTTCTTTAGGAGGTACCCCCTTGACCCCCAACCCCCAACCTCCCTCTGCTACATTTAGTGAGATCGTGAGCCCCGTTAAGACGTCATATAATGCAGAGAAGCGACACTGTGAAATGGTACTACGTGTGTATATATATGTTGCTTTAGAGAGATTAGTTAGGAGTACGGTGGGGAAAGCGGCTGCTGCGTTAGGCGTATGGATGAGGGTTAGCCGTGTGTCGTTACGCGTACCGCGAGTGTTCGTGTTTAAAAAAAAAAGTTCCACCCCTCCCCTGCCCCCCCAATTTTATTACTTCATATGGCAGCAACCCCCCCCCCCCCCAACTCACTTCACACTACAGAGACGAGACTTAGGTAATGGTCGCACGAGACGAGCTACTGAGCTGTAATGCTTGAGATGCACCCTTTTCCCTGTTCACACCGTATTTATTGACCAATTGTGTAACCCATTTTTTTGTTGTAAGGTCACTGAAAATTCCCACCGACTGGACGTCGCCCGTTTGACGTTGCTTTCCCTTCGGGTGCGACGCCACTGTTGATCGGCGGAAACTTAATTTGGATAAAAATAAGCTCGCCTCGCTTCCGACGTGAAAGCAAATCATCGAGGTTCGATCTGTAAAACTAGCGGTTTTGGTGGGTTTTTTTTTTCACTGACCCTACCCATTTTTAGGCTCTTCACACTAGAGAATCCAACCAGTTATTTGTAAATACAAATAACCATTAAAGTATTTTTGCACCTACAGTTGACTACATTTCATTCTTGTTATACTTGTTGCCAGCAAGCGGGCTGGTTGAACGCGCACGCAAGGGGAACGCTTGTGGTTGTTGGGGTTGGTGATGTGGCCCAACAAGAGTGGCTGACAGTTTGAATCCATTGGCTGCACCCTGGTTATTACCGCAGGTGGTGTAACAACCATAAAAATTACGACGTGCCGTCTGCTTCACAGTGGGCGTTGAGAGTATTTGAAACGAGTGGGATGTCGATGTTATGCATAACAATCGTCACCCCCCGCACTCCCCCCTATTGCGACAAGCTGACAAGGACCCTCCGAAGAGTCATCAGACTTGGTGAGGATTTCCTGGGTAAACTAGCGCAATAGGAATGAAATTCAACGTAAAGATAAGAGCTCTTGCACATTGCTCGATGTGCCTTCCTCAAATATTGCAACAACAAATGTTGGGCCAAAGTAATAACCCAGTTGTGCCCAGCGTTGTGCTGTTTTTGTTGATGTCCGCAAACTAAAGGGGCAGCTGGAGCAACGTGGGCAGCTTCCACGCTACACTTCGTGCTCGGCGCGCTGTAAGAGGCGGGCGACCGTGCGGGCGAGACGCTCTGCTACTCCCTCGGTTCGCTCAAAGCTTTCCAGCAAGCGGCGTCCAACGGCAGGTGCTCTCCCCAGCGTCACCCCGCTGTCCCGCACGGCTTCCGACGCGAGCGAGCCCTCGCCGACTTAGTGCGCGGTCACGACCGTTTTTCCAAGTTGATTGCCGCACATCTGGTTCAGTGTTGAGGGAGCAGACGAATTTATTTTGATTGCTTGAACAACAACAAAAACAATACAGCCCCCTCGTGAACACCGCAAGTGCTGTAGGAGTCAATGTTTTTTAAAATTTACATTTCTGGAGGTAAATAAATCGGCGGGAGGGGCTGTCCGTAAGGCAATCGCGATGTAAAACAGCAACAAGATGGGAAAAAAAAACTCTACAGAACTATGACCGTCACTTTATTTTAATACGTGTTTAAAAATCTGTCAAACACTTCATTCCAAAAGGCATGTATTTTAGTCATCTACTTGATGCCCAGCATATGACTTTTTGAGGGGGGGGGGATCTCAATTGGCGAGGTTGCGTGACAGGCAACCAACGCAACCCGTAGTTGGGACATTTGGAGAGCCACAACACAAGTTATCACCACATCCCAAGAACTCCCCTCAGTGGTCTGTCATCAATTTTTTTTAAAGACTGATGTTGCACGTGCCGGCACATTTAAATGAGTCTCAAAACAAGTGTACATTAGCAGAACCTAAAACAGGACTTCTGTCCTCTGTGTCACGTGTGCCACGTGTCAAATTTAACATTGGGGGGAGGGGGTCCACTTAAGTGCGCTGCCAAGATTGCTGCAATTCACCCTTTTTACATTTTTGTTTACATAAACGTTAACAAAAAGCAGCGGTGTTTTTTCCCCCCCATGGCTTTAACACCGAGATGAAGATTGGCCGATTCGAGTTTCAATTCTCGGCAAAACCGTTCATTCCCCAATCTTGGGGACTGGATGTCGGGGGACAGGGGATGGCTGGGGGGGGGTCAAAGAGACATCGGGTTCAGACGGTGAACACTTCTGGGTTCAGACGGTGAACACTTCTCTCCAGGAGTCATATACCAACAAGTGCCCCCACCAGGTCGAACGTGACATTGTTGAACAACGTTGCCAACACGCGGTCGAGCACACTTGTGAAACGGCAAAAAGTCGCGACGCGTTAGTGTCAAGGGCGCCCACTGGCAAGGTGGAATGACATTCACCATCATATTTGCAGAAAGTACTGGACCTCATTTTACACTTTTTTTCCCTCAATTTATCAGCCTGCACATGAATTGACACTTGAAAGAAGTTGTAATCGTAACAATTAGAGGAAACCATACTAGTGGGAGCTGCACCAAATAGTATATTTTTATAATAAATTTACCGTGAAATGGCAATTGGCAGTTACAATATCTGAAAACAAATCCCGGTGCATACTTTGAATATGCTGTTCTCAACTGAAGACAACTTTTTTCACATTACACATTTATATCCAGTACTGTGTGTATATACATATGCACAATAGTATAATTTCAAACCTGACACTTGGACTTGTAAATGGCACCATAGTCCAGCAGCCGCTTAACCCGCCTCTTTACAAACCCAACATGACTCTCCCCAGGTCTTGTAAGCCACACACACACACGTACGCTTTGTATGTGTTTAGAAACAAGTTAACCTGGGGGACATTGAATTACCTCCACAAGATTTGAGTAGGGTGTGTTGCTGGCTCGAAAGTAATTTTTTTTCTTTTGGTGGAGGGGCTGTAGGGAACTTACTCTTAGGTTGTTTCGGTAAAGTCACGTAGGTAAAAAAATTTAATTAATAAAAGTAAAATAATCACGACATTTCAGAGGCAACACAAGCTTCCGTCTTCAGGTGGAACCGTCGCAGCACGATTGCTGTATCAAGTAATTTAAATTGTATTTTTTTACCTACGTGACTTTACCGAAAAAACCTAAGAGCATGAATCCTTGCAGTCACGAAAGCTTCAAATCTGTAGGGAACTTCCCAGAGCCTCGATCGAGTCAAACGCGAAGGCATCGTGTCGGATTTGATGGGGACGTGCAAGCGTACGCCTGGCATCACTCCATGCTCGTACGATTAGTGATCCTGTTGAGCAACTGCAGGTTACAAGCAGCTTTAATACGACAATTATTCAACACTTAATGCTGAAGTTAAAACTTCAGTCAATCGCAGTACTGTAGGGTGCAGAGCAGATTTTACGATTCTTAAAAAAAAATCTCCCTTCGACAAACTTAAACGTTTGTTTGTTTTTTGCCAACGAAGTGACCTTGATAATAATTCACAGCCTACAGGAGAACGCAGCATATCTGCCTTTAAAAATCGTGACATGCAGGTGTCCATTCAAAAGCCACCAAGTTTACACTTGCGTCCACGGACTTCATTATATCACCCGAGGGAGAAAGTGCATTCCATCTACGCGCGTGCGCACCACGAGCACGAAAAACGACCCCTCTTCCTTATACATTTAAATCCCCGAAATGGAAAAAACTACAAAACAAGGCATCAACACAAGTATCTTCAAAGTATGCTTTAGTTGGGGAAAAAAAAATATGTACAAACTGTCGCTGCCAACGCGGTGAGGCGTTATCGCGTCACGTTCAAGAGCAATGGGTGGTGTTCCCAGGGCATCGGTTGGCGACCGGGGGTGGTTGTCCCGCAAAGGTTTGCAGGAGCTGCTACAACGATGAATCTCATCGCAAGCTCCACGCATGACCAATCCAGGGGGCCCTGCCTCCTCGGTGTAATCCATGATGCGAATTCAACGAGCGCCGGATGTTTGCGATCGGGACTAGGACGCTACAACCGTGTCTCACAGATCATTTACTTTTAAATAAAAATCTCTGTTAAAAAAATAACAGACATTGCAGACATGAGGAGCTGATGGTGGTGCAGCAGCAGCAGCGTGCTTGGCTCGTATTTTCCTCCGCTATGCATGCGACTGCTCAGGGGGTAGGCAGCAGCTGCAGGGGTCCACATTGAAATGACGGTGTGGCGGCGGTGCAAGAGGTCTCCGTGGGACATGCAGCTCGCGAGCACTAGCAAGGGGGGAGGCGTTTGGGCCGGGAGCCTTGTCAATCAGTGCGGGGAGTGGGGGGCAACACTTCACCCCCCCCCACCCACGTGTGCCGCAGAAGCGTCACTCGTACTCCAGGATCTGCTTGTGGTAAAACAGCAGGTAGCTGGGAACACAGTCACAAAGTGCATGTCATTCATTGTCATCCTCAGCTATGGTCAATCCAATGCTAAATGAAGACCTCTCCAAACCACCACCATCTGTGTCCGTGTACTGTGTCACTCCTGAGTGGATTCATGCAGCACGCAGAACGGTGCACTTACGTAGCGGTGTACCCTCAGTTGTTCCGCAACCTCACTGTGTGCGTTGCATGCCTACATAGTATCTCGCCAAACGCTATCGTAACATTATTCATGGAGAAATTTTCGCTTACCGCGGCACTTTTCAGGAACGCCTTAAACGACAACTACCCGTACCCGAGTTTTTTTTCATTTAAAGGTTCAATGAAACATACAATCTGGTTACCTCTTCGGCCCCAGTGGGTACGGCAGCCAAATCTCCATAGAGGTCCACACACAGCGGTGTGTTTTGCTGCAAATGCAAGCACATGGCCTAATCTTTTTTTGAATATTGTCGCCGCATCTTTACCTTCTACTAAAGCAGACGGCAGTTTTGGTTCATTTGCAACAAGCGGCGAAGGTGCCACACACAGTTCCGCCAAGTGACCGCCCTAGAACGCTTGACACACGTCCGACCCCCGTCCCTTCGCTCACCCCTCACTGTCGAGCACATCGGTGACGCTGGCGCGCGTTATGACGGCGTCGTCGCATTTGAACCACTGGTCGCGGTGCAGACGGATGAAGCTGGTGTAGTGGCCGCTCTCCAACGTGCCCTGGTGGTTCACCACCGCAAACAGAGAGTACCTGCACGCCGGGCAAAAACAGCCAACACCGCGGGCTCAGAGGCGCCTGCCTGCCAACAACCTCCAGTGTCTACCCATTTCCCCGGAGTGTGAGCTTCATCGGACTTAAAAAGTGTAGGGATATGAACAAAGTGGTGAAACTGGTATACAACAAGCAGCACATCGTTCAAATCCATCTTCGCTGCTGAGCGGACCGATGGGGAATGAAGAGTTCTTCGGACAATGGAACAGTTTGCAAGACTCGCACACACATCCCTCCCCCTCCACCCCGATTTGGCTTCACACAATAAAACATGTTGGACATCTGTTTTGTATCATTGTCAATTTACTGGCATCACACCCGCGTTTGTTTTTACTCCCGAGTCTTCTCTACTCCCAGCTGCCGCACGGCACCCACACGATAATTCCAGTAAAATCTCTCTAAGCCAGACTAATTGGGGTTGAGAGCTTTTCTGGTTTGCCGTTGTATAATATGTATTTAATTATTTCGGATTGCCTTTTTGGCTTACTCTGAAATCTGGCTTAGGAAGTTTTGCTGTACATGGTACACGTCAAGTTCAACTGTTGTGACATTCAAATTTGAAGATGTACTTAACTTCCCATGTAATTTAGGCGTACAAAAAAATTAAGTGCGCACTTTTCTACAATGGAATATAATTCAAATGGCTAAGGCACTTGTGCCGAGTGCTGTGTCTGCAAGACAATGACGGTTGAACTTACCGTTACCATAAACCGATTTGCTCACGCGTTCCCCCAGATTCTAAGGCTATCCGGAAAGGCTCAACGCACCCTAATTTGTGACTGGTGTCAATTGAGTTGTTACAAACCTGGTGGCATGCAAGTACACACACACCTACTGCATTAAAAGACACTACCCCCAAATTTTACTTGAAAATAAAAGGGGGGAAAAAAAGAGTACATCTCATTATCTGGAGAATACTGTATAGCCTGTGTACAATATCCACTGTGAATATCATGAGAAGTAAGAAAGAGCTCAACTAAAATTATGCAACTGAACGTGGCCAAGGTTTAAATTAAAAAAACATCTTCCAATTCCATCACAGCAATTCTGACATGGCTCGGACATTTCAATTATCACGGCAAATTTGAAACTTATTTTCAAACTGCAGATGGCGTGACAGATTTTTGCGGATTATGGTGAAATTGAAATAGCCCAAAATGTCTTATTTAAGGAAACATGTTTATAGTTTAATAATGTGCCATACAACATCGCAATCCTGCAAGTCGGGATGCCAAGGCCTTGATACTGGTCATAACAAGGGTTGCCAGATAATTATCAATTTTCATGATATGAACCTTAAGGCGGGACCCCGGGGTCCCATAAGCCCCCGGCTCTTGCATAAACTGCGTTGCGACGTCATTTCATGTCTGTTGAAGGCCAACGATACGGCAATCTATTCCTCTCGACGAGCTCTACACGATGCGCTAATCAAAGTTTCGAAGTTTTGTTTGTGACTACGGCAATTTTGTCAACGACGAGTGCTTGGTGAAGAACGAGAGGATTGATTTCTGGTGGGTCGCGGCTTTTATGTGCGCGGTAAGGTTCACATGTTAAATATCAAGTTGTAGAGATGATCAGTTTGCCGTGACTTTGTCATTTCATTTCATATTTCTGTTGTGCTTCGCAATACTTGTTCGTATGAGTGAACATTATTTAAACATTCTTCAAGTGCAGTTCACTCGGTTATAATAAGCCCTCAAGTCCTTCTCGATTACAACCCGTAACGTAAATAACGCACGTAGCTAATGGCGACACTGAAACTATACATACCAACATCGTGACTTAAGTGCCATGGCGTCAGTTACTCTTGAAAACATGGTAGCTGTTAAATTTCGATTTAAAGCTTTCGTGACTGCAGGGATTCATCTTCTTGGTTCTTTCGGTAAAGTCACGTAGAAGGGAAGTGATAAAATAATAAAAATTAATTAAAAATAAAACATAATTATGTTTTATTTAAATTAAAAATAAAACATAATTATGTTTTATTTTTATTATTTTATTACTTCCCTTCTACGTGACTTTACCGAAAGAACCAAGAAGATGATAGCTGTTGAACATTTAACACGGTTGGCTACATCGAGTTTGTTATTTGATGAACATCTCACCAAACGAGCAATGACAATCACGATCTAAAAATACTTTTGCAAAGTGTAATGATGAGATTATTGCAGATGTTGTGCACGATATGCCCGCAGCACTGCCTGGTTACTGCAAGTGTATACGCACTTGTTTTCATTGGTGCTCTCTCCCGTTTGGTACTGGCCGTTCACTCTGCTGTCCTTGCTGGAATTGTACAAAACACACAGCACGATCAACACACAGAGCGTGGCTCTACACGCGTGGTCATCACAAGAGGCTGTGCTTGTGGACTCAAACCAAAACCCAGATGGGCACGGGCACAACGTCTCCGCAAGTATACACGCGTGCCGAACAACCGAACGTAGCGCTCAAGCGGGTATTCACGCACCCTGTGAGTGTGTGCATACAATGTACGAGCAGCCACATGACCCAACAAAAATGTACATTTACTTTTAAGAACTGCTGTTATAGTCATTCAAATCCAGTACATCCAGTGGCGTTCAATGGATTTCCACTGGTGCGGTGTGCTCTGGTGAGATGAACGTTTCTGACAAGTTGCCTGCCGGCGCCTCCCGCGCCTCCCCGTAGGGACACATGCAGTCGACGTGCAGGGTTACGCAATGAGCAGGAGTGCGGTTTGTCTGACAGCACTGAGAGTGCGACGCTGCGGGGAAGGGCCTGGTAAGCCAATGCCCCCCCTCCCCCCCGTTGCGCTGTACAATTCATCGTACCCCACTCCTTCCAAATCGGTCACAATCTATTCAAATGAAACTTTTTATTTTACTCGGTAAGGCCTACTGAGCTGTATAGCTCTTTTTCAGAAGCGACCTGGCCACAAATGATAGGTCAACAAAGTGGCTTATCACGTGGAAATTGATAGCAGCCAAATACTCTAAATGTGGAGGGAAACACCGGAAAGACCCGGAGAAAAATCCACACGACCACAGGGAGAGAGACATGCAAACTTCAAATATACAGGCACCATCAGGGTCGGGATCGAACCCACAACCTCCTGTATACCAGGCGAGGTAGGTAACATCTCCTAGCCACCGTGGCATCGAATCAAATTTGTGAAGGCACACAGGAGGACAGACGAAAGACCTGGAAGCCATGAAGGGCGTCATGTCGAGCTCCAGCGGAAAGGACACGTAGGTGGAGATTTTCCTCCGCAGCCGGGCAGAATGCTCGAACCTCTGCCGGTCCGCAGGCCAACGGCAACAACACAGAGGCACAAGCAGGCACGGGGAGCAGGCGACAGGTACTCCGGTCAGTAGAGATTCACAGGCGCATTATAGGTACGTTGAACCTCTTTCGCACCGTACGTAGCCAGCTGTGTTATTCGGACCAGGTACCCCACGACTTGAGTTATGGCAAACGACATTCCTCAGCACTCCAGCCAAAATGAGATGGGTAAGAAAAATAATAGTCGGGGCTATATTGAGTTGAGGCTAAAATCAAAGCCATGCAAAGCACTGTGTAGATGTAGCATTAAACCTAACAAACTACAATATTCTACAGTAATCGATTCACGGTTATTGTACCATGGGCGCGTCAATAAATTTTTTATGCGAGTTCATTCTGCGTTACAAAGCCACATTATTATTACCACCCTAAAAGAAAAAAGTGGAACAAATTATTTCAGATTTCATCAAGGGGTGTCAGCTCCTGAAGTTTCGCTGTATCGCTTGAAACGTAATTGTTCCAGGGAAGTGTCTAATGTTAGCGTGTTCTAAAGGAAAAGTAGAAAATTATGATGAGAGTTAGACATTTGACAAGTGACATGCAGGCTCTTAAGGCTGTAAATTTCCAGAGTAAATGAGAAAGTTCGTTTAAAGTCATCGTGCTCAGCAAGATTAGTAACCCTGAATGCACGGTGCAAAAAGTCAAGTTGTCAAGGCTAGCCAAGACACTGCCGTCTGCATATGAAATGTGAAATAACAGGGTCAGCGTGTCGGCACAATTACTGTCCGCAAAGTCATTCGGGGCCAAAAATAACTGGATAATTGCGTAACGTTTATAGATGACGTCCGCTGAAAAGAGGTCGCTTGTATGTTTGACTGTTTCTAGCGTGCGTATGCATGTAACCGTAAAACGAAAAAAAAAATCACCAATTGACTTCCAAACTTCCAGCGCACTTTCCCACCAACGTGGCGACGCGTTTTTTTGCTCTTGTTTTGTTTACGAGCGGCCGGCCAAACTGCAAGGACGGTCAAGTGCACGGCAATGTGAACGCGACTTCGACAAACAATTACCGCTTCCCTCTCTGCCCCGCTAGCCACTTTGCATTGTTGGCGAAACAAAAGGGTCGTGTGCAAAGCTTTTTCAAGCCGTGCTACATTTCAATACACTTGTTCCAACTCGTTTTCATCGTGAGTTCATCTCTGTGCATCTCATGAACATAACGAGTGATGTTCGCGCACACGCAGTGTTTCAAATGCAGCTTAAGGCCCACCCCCACACACAAGGAATTATATCGCGGTTGAATGGCCAAAAAGGCTCGGAAAGTGTTCGGGGGGGGAAATGTGTACTGGTACATGCAAACCGAGTTAGCGTTCGGATAAGAAAATGGATTGAGGAGGATTAAACGAATGTACGGTAATGTCTTGGATTAAGTTAAGGATCGATATAAGGACCATGGTTAAAAGCGAAGGAGCCTGGGCAAAGGCAAAGAGTTGCACCATCAATTTGAGATGTTTCACTTGGCAGTAGCGCCAGGTTGTGTTGTTATGCCTACTAGCAGACACCCGATCTTACAACGAGCGGACATAAGCAGCTACGAAACGTCTTGACTGGGGCGCCCTCCCTTGCGGTGGGGCAGGGGGGTGAGATACCTTGAGGTGAAAGCAGGCGACAATCGGCAGCTTCCGCATGGTGAGCTGCTTGGTGGACTCCTGGTAACTGTGGCAGCCGTTGCATTTTATCTTGGCACTGCTGCCAAGATGCTCCGGCCGGGTGAACCTGTGGACGATGTCAACTGATGAAGGCCGTGTCTCTATGTGAAAGATAAGAATAGGTTTGAGGCTTTCTGGCAATAAAACAGGTGTTAAGAGGTTCACACACCAAATAGATACCTTTGCAAGGAACCGAGTCTGCATTAACCACGCGTATGGCAAAAGATGCAAACAAAACAGGACTGTGATAATTATATATGCAGTCTTTGAAACCGATTGACCTCCACGAGAGACAGCCTTTTCTATGGCCTTCTATGACCAGTGTCAGACCAGAGAAGGTCTCTATGTAGGCTGCTCAAGGGAGGCCCTGACATCCCTTGGGGCAGTCCACTCGGACCCTTGTTTCTTCTGGCATATCACAGCCGCGCAAGCGAGAATCCCTCGCAGTATGGGTGGCTTTCCACTGGCCAATTGGGGTGCCGAGCCACAACCAAACGGTGAATCTCTGGCCTAAATCTGGCTATGGGCCAAGCTGGGTCAAAAGGTCAGGGTTAATAAACTCGTTCAGTATGTGTGCGAAATCAGCGGCACGGCTCGGGTTCAGCAGTGGAAAAACATCCAGGCGCCTCTTGAGCCGCTCCAGACCGCCTAGGCTCAACCCTGGCATGGCCTGGTTGTACAGGGGTAAAGAGGAAACTGTGTACACACGCGGGCAAGCTGTGTGCGTGTGAACTTGCGCGTCTGGAGCGGTAGCGCAGCGGTTACAACACTGCGCTACAAACCCGACGACCCAGGTTCGATTGCCACTCGTGGTCAATACCAGTGATGAATATGAACCGTTCTTGGGCCTCCCTTAGGTCGACTCAGACTCAAAGGAGTAGATGGTGTGGTGTGTTAACATCGCCACTCGGGAGACCAAGGCGGCCGGATGCGGTGCTGGCCACCCAACCCCTCGTGTGCCGTGCACTTGCCCTAACAATCTGTTAAGACTACACGGTAGGGGGTGGGATCATTGTTTATCTTTGTACTTATTTCGTACCTGCGCAAGCAGTCGTTGAGGGTGGTCGGCCCCGCAGGGATGAGAGGCCCCCCTCCGTTGGGTATTCCGCTCTCAGCTGTGGGGCTGAGCGGCCAGAAAGGTGAAGAGGAGCCCGGGAGGTCAAGGGAGATGTCCCAGAAGGGGTCTATGGTGGTGGACACGCCCCTGCACACACACGCGCAAACGCACGCAAACATCCTCCCATTAGTACGATCAAACCACAGTGGTGAATTGACACCTTGGTGCACGGATAAGAATTGTTTGGCACTTTGGTAAATGGAAAATTACTGAAAAAAAATTACGAAAGCAAGATTAATATCTGAACGTAAGGCTAATGTAACGCTATAAGAATACATTTTTACGCAGGAAAGCTGAAGTCTCAAAAGTGATTTTATAGGAGGGTCTTCTGCATTGGAACATTTTTGCCAATTCCCTTTGAAGGAGGCACATTGCAAGTCGAAGGAAACGGAGTGCTTGTAGGAAAATCTGCCGCACAGAAGATGCGACAAACGCTCAAAGCTCCACACGGATGGATTCACAAATCCATTTGGCCTCGCAAATACTTTCCTCAAAGTGCTGTATTGACACGTGTGCACCAACACACCCATCAATTGAACCTCATGGCGGGACCCCGGGGTCCCATAAGCCCCCGGCTCTCGCATAAACTGCATTGCGACGTCATTTTCTGTCTGTTGAAGGCGAACGATACGGCAAACTATTCCTCTTGACGAGCTCCACACGATGCGCTAGTCAAAGTGTCGAAGTTTTGTTTATGACTACGGCAATTTTGGCAACGACGGGTGCTTGGTGAAGAACGAGAGGATTGATTTCTGGTGGGTCGCGGCATTTGTGCGGGGTGGGACGGAGTCGTCAAAAAGAAATAAATTATGATTTTGACTTCCGTTTATTCGGGGCGCCGGGGTCACGCCATAAGGTTAAATTGTGGATACCGTATTGAGATGTTCAAAGAACGTTAAGAAAATTGTGTCGCTTAATTACAACCCTCCACTAAAACGCACAAATGTGATATTACATAGACGGTGTACAGAGTGGTCTAGATGTCTTATAAACTCCAATTCATTGATCCCCATTTTTTTCCTTTGAATATTAATTTCTGTTTCAAATAAACCTTACTTAAAATGCTGTAAACCTTAGAGAATTAAATGGGGCTGGGGTGGTGGAAGGGGGAGTCACAAGACAACTGGACCACCCTGTACAAAGTACATATGCAGTGAGGGTGGCAAGGGATCATGGTCCTCACTCACTGGCACACTTGACAGGTGACGTCAGACTGCAGGCCACCAGTGAAGATTTGGTCAATGATGCAGTTGCAGTGGTTGGGGTTGTTTGACCTCTTCCCATTGGCATCACCTTGAGAGACAGACGCAGCGCGAGCTACAATTTAAACAGCTGTTACCTATGCAAGAAAAGAACGGCCATCAAACCCCAGAATGCACTGTCATTGAAAGGTCAAATTCCATAATTGTATGTATCTTTAACTTCTTTCGCACTGTACATAACCAACTGTGCTAATCGGAATGAGTAACACGTTTCATGTTTTATTACACGATGTCGATCTTCTTTCACACCGTACATTGCCAACCGTGCAAAATCCGGAGTACAACAGTTCACTTTCTGCATTGACACCGAGCAATCGGTACGAGACAAAACGGCGGGTACCCTTGCTTGCGCTACCAACGCCCGCGCGCGCGCGCGCGCGCGCCCAAGCGGCACACGACCCCCCCCCCCACCCGTGCCGCCGCCACGCACCCTTGCAGTGTCGATGCAGCACGTCGAGCGCGGCGATGAGGAACTCGTGGGCGTCCTGCTGCTCGTACCCGGCGAGGTGGCGTGCGTGCGTCCACACGAGGTGCAGCAGCCGGTACGGAATGTGCGGCGATCGGAACCCCGAGTAGAACTGCAGGGGTGGACAGCGCGCACGGCACACGGGCCCCCGACACCCCCCGCCCCCAAACGCCGCGTCGCGTGTCAGCAAAAGTACGGCTTCGGAGAAACCTCAACAAAGCATCGGGGAGGATAAGCTCTCCGACGTGTTCCGAGTTGCTCCACGCGTTGTTCAGCGCGACGACGTACGACGTTTTTGCTCCACGTCGCTTGGGGCTTCTTCGGGAATTGATCGGAGCTCAATTATGGTCGCTGAAGAAGCTCCCCAGCACGCGGAGCAACATGTCAAGACACCGTTTCTAAACAAGAGGCAGCGCAGCCCTGAAAACACAATCGGAGGGCTGTACAGCACAACCGCGCCAACCCGACGCAAAGCAGCAAAGCAATGGGGGACGTTGCCTGCGCGGGGTTCACGGCTGCGGTTTCTGGAGCGGGACGCGCATCCGTACGGTGCGGGAGGTACCGACCTCTTGGAACAGGCGGCACATCTCGCACACGAGGCAGGCCTCGGGGCTGGGCATGCCGCAGCGGTGGCGATCCGACAGGAAAAAGTCTCGCAGCAGAGGCGTGTGCGTGAGCGCCTGCACGATGCAGTTCATGAAGCACGTGTTGCCCAGGTTCACCAGCCCACGCAAACCTGCACGCGAGCACACGCGGGCACATGTGGGCACGCCGGCGTGAGCGGCACGCAGCCGCCTGCGCTTCAACAGAGTTGTTTTCCCCCGCACCAGCCACGCGGTTTGCACGGGTAACTGCTCATTCCAGTGCGCACACACACCGACGGTGCAATTTGCTGATATTTTCCGCCGCTTGGGGTTCTGCTTGAGGAGTTCGAGCTCTCGGCGTGAGGGTTCCCAGCCAATGTAGCGATCTCCGAAGCCTGCAAGGGAAGAGGATCGGTGTCTCGAGTTTATCTGGAGTTGACTACAGAAATTATATGGCATCTACCCAAACCTTCGAATGTGCGGCTGTGTGTGCGCATTGGGTATTCCGCGTGTACCTTGCAGCCTCCACGCTCGCCGTTGCTCCTCCCGAGACACGAGCTCCAGGTCTCGGTCGTAAACGTAGTCCTGGCACAGCAGGCAGAACACCGTGCCGTGGTACAGATCCATCGCTGCACACGCGCACACACACACACACGTACACGCACATAAAACGGGTGCCGAGGGCACGCTGATCTCAAACAGCATTCGCGCACAAGTTACAAAAGTGACATCCAATCTTGTACCATGCAGTGCTGATGCAGCAATAGTTTCTAAATAGGTCTGCAATTCTAGGCACACAGAGCCTGCACAGGACAAAACATTAAGATGTAACGGTTTAAACTGCAGGGAGGGAAAACTAGTCATGCTCCAGTCAAAGCTTAAGTACACCGGGGTAGCATGTTGTCTTACGCCGATGCCAAGAAAAACAGCTAAGGGGCCGTCCATAAATGACGTCACGCGATTTTGGACAATTTTGACCCCCCCCCCCTTCGTCACAAAAAGTCAGACCCCCCTATGACGTCACAAAGCTCTGCCCCCCCCCCCACCAAAAATAAAACATGCTTCAAATCGCTTTAAACTATTGTCATTGTAGTGCGTATTTAATGTGGTGCTGCACTATGATGTTGTAGGAGAAAACATTTATTAAAAAGTATATTTAATTAAGTATAACGTGTTGTCTATATTTATTTAAAGTTGCGCATTTTGATGTGACGTCACATTTCTCAAACCCCCCCCCATCGTCACAAATGTCTGACCCCCCCCCCCCCAGGTGCGTGACGTCATTTATGGACGGCCCCTAATATAATCCACTTGATGTTGAGGACTAGAAGCACCAGTGTCCTGCTTTAAGCACAAAATGTGGCACGGTGGACCTGCAGAGCGCCGGGTGCATGCCAACCGTGTGCTTACAGCAGGGCTACGGTTAACACGAGCAGTGTTGCGGCATCCACACAGGGGCTCCCCTTATTTATGGCTCTGTACAAACCGGCGCCCCTCATGCAACCGACACCAATCGAACTCAAGTGGGCAGACGTTCACTTGACCTCTGGTAAAGTAACGATGGGTGAAAATTACTGTATTCAAAGTCACGTAAAAAAAAAAGTATCTATTAGAAGAATTTACAGCCCTTTGTCAATCCACTGTTGGACGAAGGCCTCACTTGACATGTCAGTCACGGGGCGTTGTGTGATCATACTTCACCATGCTGCTAAGTGCAGGCGAGTGAAGGGGGGGGGGCCCGGGGACCGGTTCCATTATTACTTGCCTACCGATGTTAGCCATGGCCAGAACTCAAGCTCAGGTCTCTGCGGTCAAAGTGAAGTGCGCTCACCACTTCCCACTGCTCCTCGCCAAAACAACGTATATATGATCTCAATAAACGATTGGCCTTCGAGACTGTGGAGGGTCCCCAGCAGCAATCACCAGCAGGGGAGCTCCTCCAGTGGACCGATATATGGCAAACGCACTTCTGACAAATGTGGCCATGAGTAAAACCTAACAAGATTGGTCAAACGCGGAGGCTTTGCGACCAATATTATCCCTAATGGAGATTTTTTTTGGGTTAGATCGCGTAAATATAGATATGTCGCGAAACCCGTCACCACCTGACACAACCAATGAATGTGCGCTTTGTCACGTAAACAAAACATGCCAGCACAGCGGTGTGTTGGGGAGTAAATTTACAACATTAACAATTCGAGTACGACGTTTCGCCGGTAATCACAACCGGCCACGTCGGTCGACGGCCGGAAGATTATTCTTGGCAAACGTGGAGCACAACTCTCCGTCACGGTCCCACTTGGGGAGGACCTACTTGGTGACGGCAGGGTACAAAGCACCCCCGTCTCGTCGTGGCGCACACGCCCCGAGACCGCCCGCGGTGCTCACACAGAGGGTGACGCTTGGCCTTCGCGTGCTCGTGGATGTGGCGACGCGCAAAGCAGCCGAAGTAGATGCAGTGCAGGCAGGCGTGCAGGCGGCCAAAGTGGGCGCCGCACAAGTGGCACACGCACGAACGGGCCTGCAGGGCCAAGGGGGAGGGGGGGGCGTCCGTCCACACGAACAAAAAGACGAGCACGCGTTAGAGAAACGAGAGCTACAACGAGCACACGGCAGCCATACACGCGTGCGTACACGCTCCTGTCCAGCCGTGCGTGTGCATACGCGAGTGCATTCGTGCGTTCCTTTATCGGCGCGTGTGTGTGTGTGCGCATCCACGCGCGTGCTTGCATCTCTCCTTGCGCTTGCCCTTGCATAAGAGCCTATTGTTCGGATCATCGTGCAACAGAATTTGTCACAGCTCATTGGCGACACCTGTGTTCCTTTATTTAAACTCGATTACTCGGATATCTGGACATATTGTCTACTATATGCATAAGGAATGATTTTCGAAGTTCGTGCTGTTATCGCGTAGCCTCCATCTGGGAGCAGTTATTATAATCGTTGGCGATTTGCGTGCCATTAATGAGTGACCATTTAAATGAGATGTGTATCATTTGCCTGCACTTACCCTTTGCGGGGTCCATAACCTGCATGTTTCCAATCACTCACACCCTGACACGGTACAGCAGCATGCCACACGGAGCGTTTATAAATGGGCTCTAAAGGGGCAGCAAATACTTCACCTTTATCAATCAAATGCTGGATGAATGCCTCCCCCCACGCTGTGCCGGTCATAAGAGCTGTTTGACCATACTTCACCAGGCTGGTTTGCCACGTCATAGTTGTACTCAGGTAGCCGGAATCATAGCGCAGAGTGCTTAACCACTGCACCACCATTCCTACGATTTACCCCACCTAACGCCACATTCTCAATCCACCGATGTACCCCGCTGCTAGGCGAACACAGCCGACGGTGATTTAAACGGGGATGAAAGAGCATGTATACGCATAGTCTCGGATACTTTCTAACCCACGTCTGTTACCAGAAACGTATAATTGAATTCGGAAAAACGGACATCGACGGGTAGCTGTCGGTCTTCTGCCTCTTTCGACGTGTCTCCTGTCCAACCTATACGGTCTTTTCCCCATAATTCTGCACAGGCCACCGCTTCTGGTTTTGGCATTTGCCAAAATCTTGAGGAGTAGCATTGTGGTGCTGCAGGGCATCTTAGGAGATGGAGCCCTGTGGCTTGCGTCTCCTGACATGCACACATCAGTCGGTTGCGTAGAAGCTGTCAGTGCTACAACCGTCCCATACTGGCATATACATTACAGCGCTCCAGTCCTATCACAAAGTCATTGAAGGCTAATTCAATCCAGAGTTCTCCCGGTACACTCACTGCACGTCCTGGTGGCAGCATGTGTCGATATTGAAAGATGAGACTGCAATTGTTGAATGTAACGAGTGGCCAAACTGACATGGTTCTGCAGTCGGATTTGTTGCGCACATTTCATGTATTTATTATTCACGCGCTTGGTCATGTAAACAAGCGCTGTACCTTACCCGGAACCTGTCCGTAACCACCTATGAATACCACAATATTGAACATGCATGGCTTCTGAAATCTCGTTCAGTCCTAACACTCACCCCACCGTACTTGCCAAGTCATTGGATGGTTAAAATAAAAAAAATCTATCGCAGAGACTAACGCGATTACGGGTAGGTTGGGTGGTACAACAGCTTCATTGCGGCGGTGTCAAAAGCGTGAATACCGCAATGGAGTTTATCGACCGACACAGTTGTTGTGTGGCAGTACGTACAAACCACGCGAATCTCTATTTGGGTACGCGTTTAGCGCACCAGCGATATGCGGGCCAACTCAAATGATGCCGCAAAATACGACGATGTCCACTTCGACCACGGTGGCTCGCTCGTAGCGGAATCGTGAGCCGTGCGGCAAAAGCAGAGTCGAATTAAAAGCAGAGCCAGGAGTTTAGGCAGGCCACTGTGAGCCGATGTTAAACGCAAGCTACAGCTGTTACTGCCTCAACGTATACACGCGGACATCTGCGAAGTAGAACTTTGTGGCTCATCGGGATTCCTCCAGCGTAAATAAATATCCTGATTCTCAATGATGAAATCGCGGTAGACGGGCAGCGATGTCGTCGTCGGCTGGATGGTGCTTCGGAATGACGAGAGGGACCGCCGAGATTCGAGCCCAGGTCTTCGTCAAGCTGTAAATCGGACGTTACGTATGCAGCAGCAGCAACGACAACCACCACCAACACCACACCGTGTGTCATTATGCATACACACGACTCTGCAATGCATGAGCAAGCTGTGTGCATGGGTTCACCAATGAGCTCTTGATTAGTAACAGTGTGTCTGCGTCGGCCTGGAGGGGGGGAAGCCTTCAAAGCGAGCGGCGTGGGATCGATCGTGGCCGATGACGATTATTATACAGTAGTTGGAGGAGCAAAAAAACAACCCACGCAGACCAGACACTACTAATACGATATATAAACGAGTACAACGATTGTGTAATATTCATGCACGGGTCTGCCTCCATAAGGATGTTCTTCTGGCTTTCATCTCACAGAATTATTTTCTATGGACTAATGTCTCTTACCAGCACATCCCTCTGTTGGGGGGGGGGGGATGGGTGGGTGGAATATACACGTGCAATATGCCAGGGCTACAACATAGCCCATCTCCACACACCACAAGGTGTCCCCGTTCATCGACAACCAATTAACAAATGGAGACACGGATGGCATAGCACGATGCTGCAACTACAATGCTGTACAGTGCTGTACTGTACCACGTTGTACAAGGGCGACGGATGGTTTTGGCGTATAACTACAAACATATTTGTTGTTTTACTGTCACAATTAACCCTAATCTGTCTTGCAATTTTCAGAGTAGTCCATAGCCATCAACCCATACGGTTTAACCCGTGTTCTTGTGCACGGAAATTGAGTTTTCATGTCCACAAGGCGTACAGCCGTTTCACAATACGGGACAAAACTAATAATTGTGTCTGTGTATCTCCCTTGTGATGGGATTTTGTAGGATGAACGTTGAGATTTATAAGGGCACGGGGTGACCAATTAGGCCTGAATTGGTTTGCAATAAGGTAGGGCACTGATAAGGTGTGGAGTTTATAGTATTGCCTACCAATCAGTTATCAAGATTTCAAACGCAGTACTGCGTAGGTGAAGATTGTTTTGATTAAAAACGCCGTGTACACAACGTTTATTTTGCCTTTGGGCCAGTAGGTTTAGTTTTAAGTCTGGTAGATAATAATTGTTGTTGTTATTTATCATTTATGCTAAACGACTTCATTAGCAAACAGGTGTGCTGGATTCAATGGTTACAAGCATTGAAAACAACGTCTCTATTTAGGGATTCATACATTCAATGACGATATGCGACTACACAGATCCTGTTGCGGATGCATTTTTAAACGAAGGATCGTTTGTTTATAAATCTTCACTTTAAAAAATAATGCAAACCCCGTTTTACTCAGACACCATTTACTTGGGAAAAGAACCCTAAACTCAACGCAAATCTTTAACTTAGTATTTGATAAGTGAACAGTTATCAAATACAGTTACTTTTGCTCATTAACTCCATATTTTATACAAGTATTCCAGCATAAAGCACATGTCAACATCTCCTGGCCCACCGATTCATTTTCAATGGCATCGTTTATTTATTTACACGCCCTATCGATTTCGCAACCCCCCTTTTTAACGCAAATAAACAGCACCGATCAAAGCAAAGGTAAGAAAAAAACCCCAACCACTGAAAATGTAAACACCAGCCAATCGCACCACACACACACACAAAACCTGGCAGTGTGCAACCAAAATATAAAAACAATTATCCCTAAGCAGTAGCCATAATCCAGTGACAACATCGATACCCATACAAAAAACCCCCACCAACAACGAGCGGATTCTGACGATTTAAACAAATCGAGGGCTTACAAAGCAAAAGGTAATGGGTTATAAGGCCACGCTGACTTGAATGCAGAACCAAGCAAATACATCCTTAGCAGCAATATCATAATCGCAACGCTGCACTATTGTTTATATTGGAGGAATCCGATGAGCCATAAAGCGTTTCCCCACCCCACACAGACGTCAATCAAACGCGCTTTATAAACGCAACGCAGGGCTTGCGACGTAAACAACTAAACTAATTATAAAACAAAAGCGATTCCCTGCATGCACCATCCATCCAAATGTGGGGCCAACACGGATGATCAGGCGAGCAGCAACAGCCAAACGAGTTAAATCGATTTCACTCGAGGCCTGCAATTAACGCAGAACGACGCCGCATCCTCAGTAGCAAAACAGCGATCAACAACCAGCAACAACGGTGGTTGTTGGTGGTGGTGGTTGTTGCTGGTGGTGGTTGGTGGTGGTGTTGGTGATGGTGGTGTTGGTTGACGTTGGTGATGGTGTTTGCTGGTGGTGTTGGTGGTTGTTGGTGGTTGGTGGTGGTTGTGTTGGTGGTGGTGTTGGTGGTGTTGGTGGTGGTGTTGGTGGTGTGGTGGTGTTGGTGTTGGTTGGTGGTTGGTGGTTGGTGTTGGTGGTTGGTGGTGTTGGTGGTTGCTGGTGGTGTTGGTGGTGTTGGTTGGTGGTGGTGTTGGTTGGTGGTGTTGGTTGGTGATGTTGGTGGTGTCGGTTGGTTGGTGTCGGTTAGTGGTGTTGGTTGGTGGCGGCGGTTGTTGGCGGTTGTTGGTGTTTGCTGGTGTTGTTGTTGTGTGGTTGTTGTTGTTGGGTTGTTGTTGTTGGTGAGATTCACGCCGCTTTGTAAAAGCCACACGCGCGGCGGGCCCGCAGATGTCCACCCACCCCCCAAATCAAAAATCCCAGCGTGTGCACTGTAACAACAGCAACAACAACAACACACGAGGCGTGTGGGGGGGAAGGCTGTGTAACACACACACGCACACAAACGTAAGCGATACGAAGCGCAACAATGTTAAACGAAAGCGTCGCAACAAGAACTCGCCTTCCGCCGCCTCGCGTCCACGGGTCCACACCACACGAACCACTGGTACAGCATGCGCACACTCTGCCGCCACGGCTCCTGCTTGAAGCTGTTCACGTGCGGGCAGCCCGAGAAACTCATCGTTACCAAGATTTGCGCGGGGGGGGGGGGGTTGTTTTCGTAAACTAAAAACCTCGAAAAAATTTTTTAAGAGAAAAAAAAGGTTAAATAAAATTAAAATATAATAACAGAAAAATAAAAACCTCCTTCCCCGCAAGGCGCGCGGGGCGGATTCTCACCACTGAAGGCACCGCCACCAACCCCCCCACCCCCCACAGTGGCTCTATTACATTTTCCACACCGCATCGGCCCAAGCATCCCCCGCATAACCCTTACCCCCACCCCCATTGGCCGTTCCTACCAATGGGAGCGGCGCATGGTGAGCATCGCGCGCCCGCGCTCGGCCAATGGGGCTCGCGCTCGCGCGCCCTCGCCTTATGCGCGTTACGGATTTCAAACACGGGTGGTCGGGTGACCGTGGGGGGGGGGGGCGTCAATACTTGTAGCACCGCCCCCAACGTCCCCCCACCACCCCCCTATAGCTCCGCCCCCTCCTACCCCCAAGAATGTCACTATGGGAATACAAAATGCTCTGAGGGCGGAGTCCTGCGGGCCACGGCGTGTCCGGGTACGGGGGAGACGAGGTGATCTCTGCCCTGGAGGCGTTTTGAGATCGGATTGCCGTGAGAAGTGACGGAGAGGCGTGCGATTTAAACACCACGTGTGGCTGAAGCCAGGGGTCAGTTGAGGGGGTCTCATGGGGAGGTTTGGCTGGGGGGGGGATTAACCAGGGTGAGCAGGGGGTTAACAAGGATAACTTAATAGCTGTCAACCCAAATGGGTTACCCCCTATTCATGTACAGGGACATTGAGTTTTCAGGTCCATACGGCGTACAGCCGTTTCGATACGGGCAAAACAAATTGTTTTGTCTATTTGTTTGTGTTTCTCCCTTGTGATGGGATATTTGTAGGATGAACGTTGAGATGTATAAGGGCACGTGGTGACCAATGAGGCCTGAGTTGGTCTGTAATAAGATAGGTACTGCTAAGGGGTTGACATGTATGACAACTGTAATACTGGTAGGAACCTCCTGGTTACACCAGCCCACAGGGGATTATTGTGTCCGTCGTGTAGGGAGGGGCTGGGTGGGGGGGTGGGGCTGGGTGGTGGGGAGGGGCTGGGTGGGGGTGGGGAGGGGCTGGGTGGGGAGGGTGGGGAAGGGCTGGGTGGGGAGGGTGGGGCTGGGTGGGGAGGGGCTGGGTAAGGGGTGGGGCTGGGTGGGGAGGGGCTGGTCACCCCGTGGTGCCCTTATAAAACTCAACGTTTAACCTACTCACGCCGGCTTGTGCCCGCCCTCAGTCGGGCATATTTGCGGAATAAACCACGCCGCCGTTGACCCTGCAGGCCATTGACCGAGCAACCCAACGTTCCTACCAGCTCCCTCCACAGGAATGTGTTCTAATCGTGTCAATATACGCACTCATATCATGAACATAACCACACCTGCTACTATAATTAAATTATGAGTGTAATGGATTACACTGAGTGAAAACTGATAATTGCATTGGTCCAGTAAATTGATCATTAAAATGCTCGTGTTGCTCATGATGCAATGAACACATACCTGCGTAGGGAGCTGGTAGGAACGTTGGGTTGCTCGGTCAATGGCCAGGGTCAACGTACATTTGTGTGTGTGCAAATATATAATGCAATATAGATTAAGGTCTTTATATAGATAGATAATATAATAAATTATTATTGAACACGTAGACTTTCGCGACCAATATCATCCATAATACAGGTATTTTTAGGTTAGATCGCGTAAATATATGAATGTGTCGTTAAACCCGCCACCACCCGACACAGCCAACTAGTAAGGTTTGCCACGTAAAACAGAACGTGGACAATTCGTCACTAAAGCCAAGCCACAACTGTTGTGACTTGGCTCTCCGACACACCGGTGTTGCTGTACTAGTAACGCATTTCCATGTTGTGTTTACGTGACAACCCTTACTAATTGTCTGCGTCGGGTGGTGGCGGGTTTAACGACACATTTACACGATCAAACTCAAAAAATAAAACTATTATAAATTACTCTTAGGTTTTTTTCGGTAAAGTAACGTAGGTAAAAATGAAAATAAATAATAAAAATCATAGGAATAGAAATAAAATAAGAAATCACGACGTTTCGGGGACAACACCTGATGAAGGAAGCTTGTGTTGCCTCTGAAACGTCGTGATTTATTATTTTATTTCTATTCCTATTATTTTTATTATTTACTTCTATTTTACCTACGTGACTTTACCGAAAAAACCCCTAAAAGTATGAATCCTTGCAGTCACGAAAGCTTCAAATCTAGAATTATTATAAATTAATGATGACCCCTCCCTCCTCCTCCACCACCACGTGCCGTCCACACTTCCGGAGCAATGTGCATTGTGGGGAGGTCACGACGTGTGGAGCCCCATCCAAGACGGCGGCTCCTCATCCTCCTCATCCCACCACCACCACGGGACAACTTCTCCTGCCACCGCCACGGACACAGAGGGATGTCGGAATACGATGAATTTGAGAAGCAGCTGTTGAACAACAGGGAAGGTACAGCAACAGCAACAACAACGAAGACGATGCCAGGGTACCCCAGCACAAGAAGAGGGCTTCTCTGAGCCATGCATAGTTTACGGCAGTCGCGAACACGGTGTTGTGTGTGCACTGCGATATCGCTGCTGCTGCTGCTGCACACACAACACTTTGTGTCGCATTTCTCGATTGTTCGAGATGCTTTCCGGTGTTTTAGAGTCACGGATCGTGTCGAATCGCCGTGCGCACCGTGAGCCCGCATGTAACGCGAGCCTGTGTGTGTGTGTGTCTGTGTGTATGTGGGTGTGTGTCTGTGTGTGTGCCTGTGTGTGTGTGCCTGTGTGTGTGTGTCTTTGTGTGTATGTCTGTGTGTGTATGTGCGCCTGTGTGTGTGTCTGTGTGTGTGTGTCTGTGTGTATGTGTGTGTGTCTGTGCGCCTGTGTGTGTGTCTGTATGTCTGTGTGTGTGTGTATGTATGTGTTCTGTGTGTATGTGCGCTTATGTGTGTCTATGTCTGTGTGTGTGTCTGTATTTTTGTGTGTCTGTATGTCTGTGTGTGTCTGTATGTGTGTCTGTGTGAGTGTTTGTGTGTGTCTGTGTATATGTCTGTGTGTGTGTCTGTATGTCTGTGTGTGAGAGTGTGTGTGTATGTGTCTGTGTGTGTGTCTGTCTGTGCGTGTGTCTGTCTGTGCGTGGGGAGCGGTGGTGTAGTGGTTAGCACGCTGCGCTATGAACCCGGCGCCCCGGGTTCGATTCCCGCTCACGGCCAACACCAGTGACGATTATCTGAACCGGTCCTGGGCCTCCCCTAAGTCGACTCAGCCTGAAATGAGTACCCGGTGCGGTGTGTGAACATCGCCACTAGGGAGACAAAGGCGGTCGGGCGGTGGTGCTGGCCACCCACCCCCTCGTGTACCGTTCCGGCCTTCATAGGTGCTCGCTAACAGCACTTGCCCCTACAGTCTGTTGAGGCTACACGGGGGATCTTTGTTTTTGTGTGCGTGTCTGTGCGTGCGCGTCTGTAGACGTCTCGCCGGCCGGCGTTGTCGCTCCGACGGGTCTCATGCCACTTTTAAAATCGACCCCTGTTCAAGGTGGTAGTGTTGTGGTTGGTGGTGGTGGTGGTGGGGGGCTGAAGTCCCGTTAAGTCGGGAAGAACTTCAATCTCGCAGCAGTAAGTGACCTGCATTGCTTGGTCTATCCACAGCTGGTTGAGGCTGCTGCCATCTCCTCCTGCCAGAGGTCGCAAACGGGTTTTGATTCCTTACCCGTACCCGGCCGCACCAGGGTCGCAAACGGGTACCCGTACCCGGCCGTACCCGTACCCTACCCGTACCCGGCCAGGTACGGGTAGGGTACGAGTATCGGGTACCTGATTGCGACCTCTGGGATGAAGCCATGTTGCAGGCGCGGGTGGGTTGATTCTAGGAACTTGAATTGTGAGAAGAGACAAGACTATGGGGACCTCATTTGCCAGTAAAAATATGATAATTGGTTCTTTACCCTTCTATCTGGCAACAAAAAGGTGTCAGTTTTGTTGCCAGATAGAAGGGTAAAGAACCAATTATCAAGAGACAAGACGTTGGGAAATGAGTGACAATCAGTTACTCACCGGTGACTCACGGTCTACCCGTACCCGGCCGCACCAGGGTCGCAAACGGGTACCCGTACCCGGCGGGGTACGGGTAGCCGGGTATCGGGTAGGGTACGGGTATCGGGTACCCGGTTGCGACCTCTGTCTCCTGCTGCTGCACCTCCGTGGCTTGTGGTGACGTGCAGACATTGCCACCTTTGACCTCAGGGCGAAAGACTAAAAGTGCAGCGATTAAATGCCGTTCTTGAGTGTCGCGTATTGCCAATAGGTTTTTAGTTGTAAACATTGTACCGTGTCGTTGGTTTGACGGCTGCCAATAATAACGTCCATCACCAGCGAAGAAGATTCGTGTTTTTAAGACTCGAGTGGGGGCTAAGGACCTCGCTATTGAATGAGGTAGCGCGATTCGATTTCGGAATTGTTATTTTGTAAAAAATATTAACATTGCGAATGTAGCGGCTTCTGGTGCTTAGGGAGGGGGGAGGTCACGAAACTTAATAAAAGTATTCTTTGGGTCTTTCGGTAAAGTCACGTAATTAGGTTCAAAGAAAATAACAAAAAACTACGACGTTTCGATCGCAACACAAGCGTTCGTCATCATGACGACGAACGCTCGTGTCGCTTGTGTTGCGATCGAAAATTCGTAGTCTTTTGTTATATTTTTGTTATTTTCTTTGAAAATAACTTTGACTTTACTGAAAGACCCAAAGAACATGAATTCCTGCATTCACGAAAGCTTTAAGTCAAGACGTAATACGGTAAAAGTACCGTAATTCAAACCGTTAAGGTAATTGGGCTGGGGCAGGACACGAGAAGGTACGGTTACCATACAGCCAATAATAAACACATTCCTGCGGAGGGAGCTGGTGTAGGAACGTCGGGTTGCTCGGTCAATGGCCAGGGTCAATGGCGGCGTGGTGTATTCCGCAAATATGCCCGGCTGTGAGGGTGGGCACAAGCCGGCGTGAGTAGGTTAAACGTTGAGTTTTATAAGGGCACCACGGGGTGATCAGCCCCTCCCCACCCAGCCCCAACCAGCCCCTGCTCACCCTCCCCTCCCCACCCAGCCCCACCCTCCCCACCCAGCCCCGCCCCACCCTCCCCACCCAGCCTCTCTCTCCTCACCCAGCCCCTCCCTGCACGACGGACGGACACAATAATCCCCTGTGGGCTGGTGTAACCAGGAGGTTCCTACCAGTATAACGTGGAAGCTAAGGAATGGAACGCGTCCTAGAGTTGTCATATTGAGGGGATGGAGCGATAACAAAATCGTGTTGTGTACTTTGGTGGACTTACATAGGGAGACTGGTGGCGCCTTTGGGATTGATCACGGCTGATGATGATACAAATGATGGGGGAGGGACATCGATTATTTATACACCCCGTTTGATGCATCTATCATATGCTAAAGATCAATATGATGTATCGTACAGACGTAACGTAGTGCTTTCGAGGGCACCCTTTGAGGTTGCATTGAGCACTTTTAATGAGATTCTTTGAATTAAGAGCAAGGCAGTTAAGTTGAAGAGATCTGCAACTGCATGTTATGCCACGTGGTTGTTTTAGATTGGAGAGGCCTTCTGTAACAACACGGTATTGCATTTATCCAGAGTATAGAATACATTTTCCCAACTACAAATCTCAAGACAAAACACACATAACCCAACTACAAATTAATCCTAAAGTTGAACACTGAAAAACAAATCCATATCTGAAACGTGCCCAACAAGTGCCGAGCTGCGTTTTTCGGATTCCGCTTAGAGACGGAATAGGGATTAAATGTAGTGGAAGTGTAATGTTGAGCAATTTATAAAGTGATGCCCAGTGGACAGAACCTACGATAGAATGGCAGCCAATGGAGATATACACCTGAGTGGATGATCCTCTTGGAGCTCCCAGCATGTGTGTGTATATATGTTGAACATCTTTTGCGTCGTACGTAGCCAAACGTGCTGATCGGAAGTGTTGGGCGAATGAAAACAAACTAAACACAAAGAGCAGTTATAAAGAAATTGGGTTTCTATCTAGATGATTTCAAATTGCACAGCTCCATTGGCTTCCTAATACCGGAAGGCAGAGCATTCCAGACGACCGCGGAAGCGCATCTTAAAGCGCGCGATACGGTGACCGTCTTTGTTCGATGGCCAGCCAAAAGCCGCTGCTGTGAGCATGAATGAGCCAAACGCCGGACATACCCAGCAAACACACAAAACCCACCCGAAAAAACACATCGGATGGCTACAAGGCACAGCCTCGAAAATCTACGAAATAGTATCAGGTTACAGTACGCGATCATGTGTCTTCTTGGTTCTTTCGGTAAAATCACGTAGAAGGAAAATAATAAAATAATAAAAATAAAACATGATACAATAATTATCACGACGTTTCGGCCACAACGCAAGCAGCCGTCTTCAGGTGGACCTGGACCTGTTCTCCACCTGAAGATGGCTGCTTGCGTTGTGGCCGAAATGTCGTGAGAATTATTTTATTATGTTTTATTTTTATTATTTTATTATTTTCCTTCTACGTGATTTTACCGAAAGAACCAAGAAGATGAATCCCTGCAGTCACGAAAGCTTTAAATCGAAATTTAAGATCCTGTGTCTGTTGTTTTTGCATTTCGCCACTCTGCCCACCTTGCCCGCCCTTCGGAAGAGCGGCTGGCGGAGCATGGAAAGGTGCGACGGCACAGCCACAAAAAGCGGAGCCGCAGTCACAGCCGGAGCCGGAAGAGGCGCAGCCGTTCCCGGGACCACAAGCGCCGCTCACGCAGGTGTCCTTGTCCTGCATGCTCGCGTCCGCTAGCCGGGTCGTGCGTTTGTGGGTACGTCTCTGCGACGGCTGTAGTTATCGTGGCGAAGAGAGAGGAGAGAGTGTTACGCCGGAGGCGAGCAGAGGTAAAAGAGGGGTGAGGAAAATGCCAGGGGGTGAGTGGGTTTTATTCTGTAAAAAATTATCTGGAGGTTGGCAGCCCAGGTTGAGCTGTGGATGAAAATGGATGGAGGTACTTAAAACAGTTTTTAGTGAAATTTAATTCCATGCGTTCCTAGTGAAGGTTTAGTAAATGTGATCATTAATCACGGGTGGAAACTTCTACCAACTCATATCGGCTTTACCGCCCCGGTTGACATAATTATTACCGTTGTTTCCTGCAGTCGTTCTCGCTCTCCAAAAAAGTGTCGCAAAAAGAAGGCTTACAAGTACTGGGACGTCCCTGCCCCTGGCTTTGAACACATCACACCGCTGCAGTACAAAGCCATGCAAGGTAATATGTTTAACGAAAGAGTTGATTTTGCCGTCTCGTCCTGTCTTTACTCGACAGCATGTCTCTCGAACAGGAGCAATCCACACCGCTGCCAGTGTGTACTTGAGAATCAGAATTATTCCTTCCAATCAAAATGTTGATTTAGACTGGAGGAATCCGATGAGCTATGCAGCTCTTTTTCATGGATCTACACTTGTGAGGACAAGCAAATTCCCGTAAAATATTGCCGTTTAAGTCTTCCTACATACCCCCCTCCTCCCACCCCAATAACTCAATTTGTCCCCAACATATCCACGGGATATATAATTTTTACAAAAATAGTCCTAAATCCTAATTGCAACAAAAATGAGAGGAATGGAAAGAGAGGAAGAGAGTTTAGAAATGTCTAAAACTGAGTACTATTAGCATAGGGTATCTTTGCAATTATGATTTTGATGACTGAGATAAGTAACGAAAGTCCCGCATTCCTTCCCATCAAATTAAGTATTTCTTTGACTTTGTATGACAAAATTACTGAAGGATCTGCTGAGACTGTATTTTAGATTTACATCCACATTGGTGGTAAATCCCATGCCTTTTCTGGTAACATTCATGCACATGGATTCCTCTGTAACTCGGTGTCACACAGCTATTTGATCAGAGCAGAGCTGCCCCACATTGATGAAACCCCGAGGGTCATAACACGCCTTCTGCAGCTACTCTTTCTTTCAAGAGGGACATGAACGTGTGGGGAGTGGTGACCATGGATGCTTTCCTGAACACATCGTCGTTGACATTTATCTTCACGGCCAACACCAGCGACGATTATCTGAACCGGTCCTGGGCCTCCCCTAGTACCTGGTGCAATGTCTAAACATTGCCACCGGGGAGACAAAGGTGGCGTGGTGCTGGCCACCCACCCCCTCGTGTACCGTGCCGGCCTTCACAGGTGCTGCTCGTGAACAGCACTTGCCCCAACAGTCTTCTAAAGGCTATACGGGGAGGGGGACCTTTGTCTTGTGGCGTGTGCTTTGTTGGGCGACCAGCGGCGGGACAGATTCCGGCGACCCCACTGCTGCTGCCGAGCGTGGCGGGCGAGGTGCCGGCCACTCCCACACAGGCGTTGGTGGTCGGCAGCCAGATGACACGGCAGGCCCGGCGTCTCTACATCGGCAACATACCCTTCGGCGCTACCGAGGTAGTCCGGATTGTTGGCACGAGCGGGCACGCGAGCATCGCATGTGTCCGTATCGTGTGGGCCAAAGGCGTCCCAGTAAATCCTGCCGCTTTTGTTGACTTTTTTTCTTAATGTCCAATCGGTCACTTTCCAAACGTGACGAACTAAATCTTGTGTGGCTATATTGTGATGAATGAAACAAACCAAAAAATGAAATGATAAACATTATTTCTGACGAATTAATGCCTTTGATGGAAATTTTTTTAATATAATCTGCCATATATTTTTTACTCTCCAAACTTACATCTTATCCGATCTTCGGGTGTATCGCAATCGTATATTAGTGTACCTACTACAAATGGAAATGAATGCAATATTTATTTATTGAAACGTGCTGTCAAAATGACAAAATAACACTTCGTCTTTTGCATCTTTTCTAGGAAGCCATGCTTATGTTCTTCAACACACAGATGAAATTGGCTGGCCTCAACCAGGCTCCAGGTGACCCCATCCTGGCTGTCCAAGTCAACCTGGACAAGAACTTTGCCTTCCTTGAGGTGCGTCGTGCAGCAAAGCAGCGGTTCGAGAGCCTAGCAAAAAGCATTAAGGTCTCAATCCTGGTGGCCTGCTCGTCTTGCCGAATTAAACACCTTCTGCAACAGTGCTTTGAAATGTTATCAACATCGTGCGCACCACACATGTCCTTGTTTTTTTATTTAAGGTTTTAATTTTGCAATCGCGTAAATTGTGGACCAAAGTCCACGAATCTTGTCGCGTTATTTCAACGCTGGGCGGACTGGTCATGTCTCAAATGATCATTTGCTCCGTACTCTTAACGCACCCGTGGCACGCGTGTAGTTCCGCTCGGTGGATGAGACGACGCAGGCGATGGCGTTCGACGGAATCCTGTTCCAAGGCCAGAGCCTCAAGATCCGACGGCCGCATGACTACCAGCCGCTGCCTGGCATGTCCGAGGCGCCCACGGTCCACGTGCCAGGTGCGGGGGTGCCCTCGGGGCACGGTCTCGCTTCTACGACGCTCGCTGCTATTGCCGTTGATGACTCGCGTTGCGATGGCGCGTCCACTCGGTCAGCTGTCGACGGAGCAGGCAATTGAACAAGCGTTGAACAGACTTACATTTTCCGTGGCATGTGAAATGTGGATTTCAAGATCCCTTCGGTGAGATGTTCAAACCTTCCCGCGCCTCCGGTTAGCATGGTTGGCTACGTACGATGCGTAAAAAGTTCAACATACATACATAAGTCCCACATGTGACCAGCCATTACACGCCATTACACTAACCATGACCACTCTTCTCCTGTGGTATTTTTTCCCGGTTGTAGGTGTTGTCTCCACTGTTGTACCAGATTCTCCGCACAAAATCTTCATCGGGGGCCTGCCAAGCTACTTGAACGAGGACCAGGTGGGACTTGGAACGGTGCAGCAGTTTGCAGTGGTAGCAGCACCGGAGCATTTCCATGATTAATTTTTGTGTTATGTTCCGGTTACGGTGTTTGAAAGCTTCCCTATATCATTGGGCCAATTTTCATGTACAGTAGATCGATTTAAAATGACATGGTCTCATTTGGAAAATACATATAATGTATGCCGTCTCACTTTAGAAATGAGAACTGCAATACCAGTAGTTCATAGTGATATAAAATCCTTATTATTGACCCATGTAAATATGCCATGTGCTTTTGGCGTCTTATCGACGTGACTTTACCGAAAGACCCAAAGAATATATCCATGTATGGTTTGACTCATTATTTACGCTTTGCATCCATAGCTTGTCCACTCAGCGAGAGCATGTGATTTATTTTTGCATGTAACCCAATCTACTGCAGGTTCAGTCGGAATGTGCGAGCAAACACGGTGCGACTCATATTTTTGAAAATGGGTTTAGATTTAGTGACGTGCTGCAGGCAAGACAATGCAGTGCATTTTATTAGTTTTTTTCGGCTAACACTTTTAACACTGCAATTTAATTTCTAAATCATTATTCGAAAAATGTTCCTCTTGGGACAAAAAAAACCTCACTTTTCACCACACACAATGATTAATTAAATGTTTGTAACAAACTTGATATGCCCAGCTTCTTTAATTATTCAACAAAACATTTGCATATAAATTTACGATTGTGCGATTTTTGTGTTTACCGGACATTTGTTGGCACAGTCCGATCTGTAATGGTGTGCGACTTTGTGCCACTGCCAGCGATAAACAAGGTAATAAAATTGAGCTACAGTTAATTTTTAGCTATTGCAACCTGTGCATCTCAAGGATAGCATTCCTGTTTGATTTAATATTCTTACATTCCATCTTCCTCACGACATTTTATCCTTTGAAGTCGCCAGAATCGCTCCTTTTTGTCCGTCTTTCAGCCAAATTTTCTAAATAAATGATTCAATATTCTAAGCGTAATATATCTGCAGACAGTGTTACAGCAACACAGTTTTGGAATGCCCTGCTGCTCGGTTTTTTCCCCACTAATATTGACTCGTGTTTTATTTTTTGTTGTTGTTTCCCAATTCAACAGCTAGGGAGCTGTTCAAAATCATTAAGTCTTGGCGCGTAGTCCACCTAGTACTCTAACACTGATCTGCTGCAAACCCAGACAGTAAGAGATCCCAGGCAAGTGAAAATACAAGTGGCCCTTGCCAGTCGATTGAGTGAGTCTTTTTACACTCTTTTTTTTTTCTACTAAATAATGTGTGCAGCACGGAATGGAGCCGGGCTCTGATACACATCAGGCGGTATATCGCTTGCATTCGTACAATGGGCAGCACCGTATACAAAGATTGATTTTGAAGTCCTTTTAGGTGAAGGTACATTTATTCATCATATGCTGCACCCCTTAGCCTGCACGGAGACTCTTGTTCTCCGCCCACCAACATATGACGTAGTAATCATCTTAATGCCGTTTGTGAAAGCGCATTGATGGGTTTTGGTTGATGTGGGAAAATCGACTGTTGTCTGTGAGGCACAGTGAGTATTTTGTGACCACAACATATTTAAAATATCAATAGTTGAGCTGAGTTCACAGCTTCCTCCAAACAAAATACAGCGCAACATCCAAAAACTCTTAAATTATCTTGTGGTAACATAATCACAGAACCAGTGGCAGGGGTATAAATACGTGGAGGCCCGTATTTATTAGTGGATAGATCATGGCAGAGAAGGTATGTAATCCCGGTGCATTGCATGTGTTGTACGCGCATGGGCACATGTGCTGCGCATGATGCACGCCCATACATGCATGCTTACTGGACATCTGTGATTAAAAAAAAAAGCTTTGTAGCTCATCGGATTCCTCCAGTATAAATGAAGATTCTGATTCTGAACGACGGACAAATGTTGTTATTTGTGTTAAGGTTAAGGAGCTCCTCACTGCGTTTGGGCCTCTGAAAGCATTCAACCTGGTGAAGGACAGCTCCACCTCCCTGTCGAAGGGCTACGCTTTCTGCGAGTACGTGGACGTCAACATGACGGACCAGGTACGGGCGTTGAAGTAGTCTCGCCGCTTGTCGTCTTGGTGTCTCTCGCTCGTCGAAGTAAAGGCTGCCGTGAGAGCCGTTTGAAAACAATTACAGAGGATGACGGTGATTGTTAGCCCTATTATTTTATTCATGTTTTATTTTTATTATTTTAAAATAATAGAAATAAAACAATAAAATAATTATCATTATTTAACAGTTTTATTTTTATGATTTTATTATTTCCCTTCTACGTGACTTTACCGAAAGAACCAAGAAGATCATAAGACCTAATAAACAACTTAAAACATAATAAAATAATGAGAATTATTTTATTATGTTTAATTTTTATTATTTTATTATTTCTCTTCTACGTGACTTTGCCGAAAGAACCAAGAAGATGAATCCCTGCAGTCACGAAAGCTTTAAATCGAAATTTAGGTCTTTTGATGTCTATTATCTGTGGCTTAATACAGCATATTTGCAATACGTTTTGATTTTATCTCGCGCTCTTCATGCAAAGTATCCACAAAGGTACATTCAAATAAAAACTCAAATTTAAACAAAAATATATCAACAATAAAAGCAATTCCCAATCAAGCCAGCTTAAGGATGAGCTAATGAAAAAAATATAATTTTACATTTTATGCAAAAAGTTCAACGTTGCTAGAAACCCTGATATGACGTGTTGTGGAGTTGCAAAGGCAGGGAGCATAACAATCAGAGGCCCTAGCATCAACTGAGTTTCAACGACCTCAAGCCACCACCAATAAAGCCGTTTTATTGAATATAAAGCTACCACTTTTTATTATATATAGGAGGCCCATTAGTCTACCTCATGTACAAGCTATCTGCAGATGAAAGTGCAGTGCAACACCAAATGTGCAGGATCATGTGGTTATTAACATAAACACTCTTAATAATGATAGAAAAACAGCATTGACGTGAGGAAATTTTAATTATCAGTAAACGTAAATACAAATGTGGTAAACCTTCCCGTAAAGATTAAAACAAAAATAGCTAACAAGTGCCGTTAAACAAGTGCCTGCGCGTTGCACGCTTTGCGGTTGCAGGCCATCGCGGGACTCAATGGAATGCAAATCGGAGACAAGAAACTCGTGGTTCAGAGAGCCAGCGTCGGATCAAAGAATGCCGCGCAGGTCCGCAGCACACTCCCTCGCTCCCTTCACTGGCATCCGTCGCTTCTGTTAAATACCACACAGTGCCGCACGGGTGGCGAGATGTTAATTCCCTCACCTGGTATGCAGGAAGTTGTGGGTTCAATCCCAACCCTGATGCCTGCTGTATATTTAGAGTTCGCTGTGTCTCCCCGTGGTCGTGTGGATTTTTCTCCGGGCCCTCCCGGTTTTCCCTCCACATTTCGAAATATGCGTTTATAGTTGAGCTGCTATAAATTTCCAAGTGATAAGCCACTTCGTTGAGCTATCATTTGTGTCCAAGTCACTTCTGAAAAAGAGCTATGTAGCTCAGTTGACCTTACCTGCTAAAATAAAAATTGTTTAGTTTAATGCTAGTCTGCAGTACCACAGCGCTTCATGCAATTTAATTCCCCAGGAAGACCTCACCGAGTCTCAAGACTCATTTTCAGGAGGGTTCTACAATTGGATGTTTGGCCATTTCCATTGACGAGTGTTTTGTTTCTCAGAGGAAAACGTCGGACGCTGTGTTGTAGAAAAAAAAAACCACCGTACAATCTAACAACACGTCGGGAGAGCACCACTTAAACAAGATCATCGTCGCTTCGTTTCCGATATTCAACGTCGACTAAAAGCTCCCTCTTTGTTTTCACCGATGTGCGCGCAGGGCGCGGTGACGCAGACGCCAGTGGCGCTGCAGGTCCCCGGACTGGGTCCCACGCAGGTGCAGCACAGCGGGCTGCCCACCGAGGTGCTGTGCCTCATGAACATGGTGACGGCGGCCGAGCTTGCGGAGGAGGAGGAGTACGAGGACATCGTTGAGGACATCCGCGAGGAGTGCGAGAAGTACGGCTGCGTGCGGTCGCTCGAGATCCCGCGTCCCATCAACGGCCTCGAGGTGCCGGGCTGCGGGAAGGTGGGCACAAGACAATAACTGCGCGTGACCCGTCGACGGCTTGTTTCGCGCCCACACTTTGCGCCGTTTCGGCTCGCGGGGATGTGTGGCAATATATGCCACAGGCATGACGTTTTCTATTCTTGGTTCTTTCGGTAAAGTCACGTAGAAGGGAAATAATAAAATAATAAAAATTAAACAATAACATTCTCACGACGTTTCGATTGATACACAAGTAATCATCATCAGGTGTGAAAACCACAGCAAGAAAATTAGAAAATAAGTGGCGGTTTTTTTCTTAACGTTAGCACCAGCTTTTTTTCAAAATTTTCTTGCTGTGGTTTTCACACCTGATGATGATTGCTTGTGTTGCAATCGAAACGTCGTGAGAATTTTGTAGTTCTATTTTTATTATTTTATTATATCCCTTCCACGTGACTTTACCGAAAGAACCAAGAGTATGAATCCCTGCAGTCATGAAAGCTTTAAATCGAAAAATTACATTTTCTCTCGAACAGAGTCCATTCCTGATTTTGGACAGTTTTTGTTATGAACTGAATGGGGCTTAAAGAGCTGTGCTGGTCCTAACTGATTGGAGATGAGATCGTAAGACTTCACAGAAACTGTATTGCTGATGATCGCATGAAAGGCCATTGGGGATATTTATTTTTTCAATGTTTTATTGAGCTGTACAATCCGACCTTGAAATAGCCTGATGCATGAAAAACCATGGATAGAACAACAAGCAGAGAGCTGTGGTTAAACTTTAGAATAAGTTGCTTGCAGGTACCACGTGTTCATCTGAGAAATTAAACTTTGCCCATGAGCAGGCCTGTGCTCAATAGCTGCCAAATGTGTTATGTTTGCAGTGATGTGGCCGCTGTTTGTGATGGCACTAATGAATCGCAGTCTGATTTTCCATTCTCCTCTTGTTGCAGATTTTTGTGGAGTTTTCATCCATACTTGACTGCCAGAGGGCCCAGCAAGCATTGTCAGGACGCAAGTTCGCGAGTCGCGTAGTCGTGTCAAAGTACTACGACCCAGACAAATACCACAGGAGGGAGTTCTAAACAAATAATTCTCACTTAGTTTTTTTTCCGAGCCCTTGTCGCGTTATTTATTTGGATAGAATTACGGACGTTTCTCTCCACGTTCTGGGAGCTTTTAAGTTCCTGTTTTTTTCTGGTCGTACTGGGTGCTGTGTTGGGCTTGATGTACGACGTTCCGTTGAACATGCCCAGAGAGCTAGTGGTTACTTCAGCTTGGAAGAAGCTCCCACGACGCGGAGCGAGGACGTTGGACATGCCGAACAATGCGTGGTACGGCCCCAAAGAGCGATGGAATGTTGTTGTCGCTGCTTCTGCTGCTTGTTTATTGAATGACTCCAGGCATGTGCACATGGTTTAGAATGACAAAAAAGGGTTACAAGACATTGGAATGTTAGGAAGAAAGTTCCCCCTGCAGTTGTAAATTAAAAGTGATTTTAATTATGGCACTTGGTTCAAAGCAGTTTTGCTTAATTTTGTGAAATCTTTAGCAAAAGCCCTGCATTACTCATTCCCCATTAGCTAGATATGTTGACCCCTTAGGACATGCAAATAAATATTTTATTTATTTAAAAAGTTACGTTTAAAATGACTTTGCTTTATTTTTACTTGGACGAAATTCTAAAAAAGATTTGGCAACAGCAGTGTGACGTGAATGGCATTGGTGTGCATCATGACTTATGGACAAGAACAATTCTTGAAATGTACTAGCTAGTGCCGGAGTAATATAAAGTGCAAAGTTTTGTGTTTTTATATCTGTTCGTGTTGCTTTTCAAAACTGAAACTAAAATTAGCAGATGTTCCATTGAGATGTAATTTTTAGCAAATGTTGAGATTGTATATCTCGACAGGCAGAGCACTACCTTGTGTGCACACGTTTTGTAAACTCCACTGCCTCCTGGCAATATAATAATCAGGGGGGTCGTGTGTGGTGTGGGGACTTTGTTCCAAACATTGTCGTTTAAACTGACCTAGTAAAAGCAACAACATGCCTTCCACGTATGATGCTGCTCTCGGTTGTAATTTTAACAAAGCGGTTATTCTACGCACAGCAGACAGAGATAGCTCAATCTGAAACGCATTTGATGAATACACGTCAAAATTAGCGAATCGAACAACATCATGTTTGTATGTACGTATGCTGAACTTTTTTCGCACCGCACTTAGCCAACCGTGATAATCGGAGGTGTGGGGGAGGGGAGAGGACAACAAACTAAACAAAAAGAGCAGTTTGTACTCAAAGGAAAGGAGGCAGACTTTACAAGATTATGGAACCCACTCCCAAACAACACATTTAAACCTCCGCCTCATGCCTGGGATGTCGGGCTCAACGTATGCATACAATCCATTCCCCCCCCCCCCCCCCCCAGTAGCATTTTTTTCCTTTCATCTCCACATTTTGATGAAGAAGAGAGCGAAGATCTGTCTGCCAGAAGTTCTGCGAGGCCGAGATGTGTCGCCCTGCGTGCATCACGAGTTGGAGGACTTGCTGGCCTGTGACCAGGCTCCAGACTTGGAAGCGATGTCAGTTCAGTTCTGAGTTATGTGCACAACTTGATCGCGTGAGGTTATTGGCAATAGCCTAATGTGCGACAGGGTTTCTAGACAAATCGGTAGGATTACCAATCATTCTCGGTGCTAGACAGTAAAGCATGGGTGTTTTAAAGGGATAACAGACATCGTAGCTTGCAGACTCGAGGCTCACAAGGTATGATTTATGAAAGACGTGTTGTGATTGGCGATCACACTATAACAAAAGGAATAGTATCCTCACTGTGATCTTATTTAATTAAATCTGATGATGCCCTGCATTTATAAGTATGCTGCTGTGTAAACATGTATGCAGTAAATGAAATAGTTTGGTCGTGTCACCAAATGTCACTTGTGTTGTTGGTTTATGCCATTCCACATGACTTTTCAGAGGGTCGTCGGTAATATTGTTCTGGTAATGTCTTTCACAACCTTTTGCAGGCCCCCGAATATTCTACGCAGCTTCTGCTGTTGAGCAACAATGTCCACTCTGCGGCACGATGTAGAGGGATGAGAGAGAAGGAGTCTCCCCCCCCCCCCTCCTTGTAAGTGAACATTATTGGTGTGGGGAATGATTTGAGGGCTCGAGTTTTCACTTCATAGGGCTCGCTAAAAGTTGCTACAAGGCAAACCCTGTTTAGTTTATCCATCGTTCGCCGTTCACGAGGTCACACCTTGGGTTAAGTAAGGCGGAATTGCCCTCTGTGAGGCTCAAATGAACTTTACTGGTGAGCAAGGGGGTGGTGTGAGGTCTGCAAGTGTCCTCGTGCAGTTAAATAACTGGCGGCGATGAGTATGAATTAGCGTGTGGTGAGGTTATATTGCTGCTTGTGAATTTATAGCCGTTTCTGAGCACTTATTTGATACAGAGACAGCTGCGTGTTGGATTGATACCTTGGAGTAGCTCTTTCCACTGGTTAGAGGCTGTACCACCACCACAAGAGTGTTTCACGTTGGTCTGGTTTTTGTAGACGTCAATGTGAGCCCGTTGATTTCAAAGGTTGTGTTGTGTAGGGTTGCCACCAGACCAGACGACCTGGGAATTGAATCGATTTGTATCGTGAACGGGTACCGGTATTGTGTTTGGAACTGTTAATCTATACTGCGCAGTTTTGATTGCCCGAGGCTGGCTGAAAAATATGTCTGGGTTTGGTTTACTGTAGAAAGTTTGACACAACCTTAGTTTTGTGTGTTTTTAGTGGGGAAGTATAACGCAATTGTGGGAATACTGTATAAGAAGAATACTGTAATTTAAGCTAAGCTTGTCACTTTAAACAAAACGTGAAATTTAAAACAAAGCGGTACGAAGGCAATAAAAGTAAATGTGCTAATGGAATATATGTAAAAAATATATATATTGTAACTAAATGAACTGAATGCTCATGATGCTGTTTTAAAAAACACTTAGCAATATTGAGACTGCCTGCCTCCAACAATTGTCGGAGTAAAGTTTCGAGCTTGAAACTCGTGGTTTGTGTTGTCCCAAATGTGCAGAAAATAATGTATCGTGAAAGTTTGTTATTATATTAAGGTCTAATTCGTCCAGCTTTAACAGAGCGTGCTACTACGGTTGGTTTGCGACTTCCTTCAAAATGTGATGAGCATCGCTTTCTTAGAGTTTGTGTCGAGTGGTTTTAGCATACAGGCGTGGAAAGGTTACATACTGCTCAGTATTACTACTGGATTCGTGAGAACATTAACCCCCCCCCCTCCCTTAGCCGACCTGTTTCGTTGCTTTTACGTTTGCTGCTTAGATTTTCCGTCGTAAAAGCAGCCGATGTTTATATTTGCCGTTTTTAATTCCAGCCCAAACGACGTCTCAAGAACATGCACACTAACATACGCTGGGGCGGTTGTTGGTTTATAAAAAAAACAAATAACACCGTTTAAATAAGAAGAGAAAGAAAAAAAATTACACGTGAAATTGTTCTTTTTTAATGTCAAAACATTTCTGGGAAGAAACTCATGACTGAAAAGTTGCTCCCCGAGGTCTCATCGCAAATTACACCACCACCACCACTTTGGTCATGAATTCACTTCTAAATAAGCTGTGCGTGTGTGTAATTTTTACTTGGTGTAAAAGTATTGCGGTTATTAAAAAAAACACACTTTTCATGACCGGTTCGTTGATTCTATTCGCATTTGTGTAATGGTATATCCTAAGTCGGTTTATGTGACTTGCTGTGGCTCTGATTCCCACTGCCGGTGTGCAGGCGAAGGGGTTATCGAAAGGGATTGAGGACAAACGAGTTAAAAAAAAAAGTCCCTGGACGTCAAATCCATCAAAATACTCCACGATTTGTTTTCATATTACGGTAATATACAGACAGGGTGCTTCAACATTTGTTTTAACACTTCTGAGAATTTACAACAACTGCCACAAGAAATGTGCTTCTGGGATCTGGAGACCACCTGGAGAAGATTCCAGGCACGCGTTGACAATGTTGGCGAACAAGTGGAGGCTCTGACTTTTGAAGCTATTAGCATACATTTGTTATGTTACAGTGTATATATTTCTGTTCTTTTCCCATTAAAAACGATAGTTCCATAATAGGTGTTAACATTTTTTGAAGCGCCCTGTATTTAGGCGTGGCTGGGAGGAGCGGTGGAAACGTCTGATGACCTAAGTTCGATGCCCAGCCACGGTTTCGGCTGAAAATGAATTGTTAACCAGTTCACCCACCAACTCGCACTGTCGCCCAGCGTGGTGAAGTATGGTGACACAACCCTCACTGACTGCACGGCGTGAGGGAGGCTCTCATCCAGCAGTGGATTGACACTTTGTAGCTTTAGCCGCATTGGGAGCGGGGTGGAGGGAGAAGTGAGGTAGGGAAGGTGGAGGGGTGGGATGGAGGGATAGCAAAAAAAAGAAAAAAAAAAGAGGGATAGCGAAGGGAGGGAGGGATGGAGAGTGGAGGGAGGGGGGTGCAGGGAGGGGAGGGTGGAGGGAGGGGAAGGTGCAGGGAGGGTAGAGGGAGGGGAGGGTGGAGGGAGGGGAAGGTGCAGGGAGGGTAGAGGGAGGGGAGGGTGCAGGGAGGGTAGAGGGAGGGTGGAGGGAGGGGAGGGTGGAGAGTGGGTGCAGGGAATGTGCAGGGAGGGATGGAGAGTGAAGGGAGGGGAGGGTGGGTGCAGTGAGTGTGCAGGGAGGGTGGAGGGAGGGTGCAGGGAGGGTGGAGGGAGGGGAGGGTGAAGGGAGGGGAGGGTTCAGGGAGGGAGGGGAGGGTGGAGGGGAGGGTGAGGAGGGGAAGGGGGGGTGCAGGGAGGGTGCAAGGAGGGGAGGGTGCGCTGAGGGTGGGGGCCTTTAACGCAAACAGTTGGAATTTCGCGATTGCAAATTACCGTTTTGAGCCGCGCGGGGCGCCGTCGCCGGCTCCCGTGGGCACCACGTGTAGGCGAGGCCAGGGCGCGTCGCTGTGAAGGCCGCAGTCGCTGCCGCCGTCAATTCTGCTCTTTGATAGTTTCCGACAAATTTCTTCCGCTTTTAAAAGTGTTTTTTCCTTTTCACATTTGACTCCAAATTTGTAACTCCCCCCCTACCACCACCGATAAAAGATGAATGAAGAACTGGAGAGCGATGTGAGTACAGCGCGGGAGGATGCCACTTGGGCGAAGGCCTTGACTCTAGGCCTAGCCCAGTCGAGATGCGCTTTCGTGTGACCCAACCACCACCACCACCTCGATGTTAAACTGTAGTTGCGTCTAACATCACATCAGCCGCACGAAGAAGAAGAATAAGTCAAGCTGATGCTAGGAGCGGCAACAGAAGAAGCAGTGTTACTAGCGAATGTGGTTTTGTTGTTACTGCTGCTGCTGCTGTTTCGATGCGATTTTAAATTGTGCTGTATTCTCAACGTGCCTTGGCGTCTCTTGTTCATTGCGTAAATCGCGTATATCCCAGCAGCTCGTGTCCGGGATCAATTGATCCCCGAGTCTGAGCCAGTTCAGCAACCGACTCAAAAACGGCCTTGTTGCTTCAGAGAGCATACTTCAATGTGAGATCAATGCGCGTACGTGATGGACTGGACGCTTAAGAATGCGCAAATGTTCTTACGTAGACGTGAATGTGTTCGCGGTGTCTGTTGGAGTTTGATGAGCGTGTGTAGTCGTCGGTGACCGAGCGTCTTTGTCTCGGGTTAATGTGAGGGTTCGTTTCTGACTGAGTTTGGGTCAGTGCTTGGGGCAGGGTTTGACGCAGGGTCAGGGGTTGAGCCAGGTTTCTGGTTCATGAGCGTGTTCATGGTTAGGTTAGGGTCAGGCTATAGGGTTTTTTTCCCCATCGGGTTGAAGGTGTGGTGATAGGGTTTGATTTCGTGGTTGGGATCAGGGTTATGATTGTGTCGGGGATAATGTGTGTGGGTTCGGGTTGGAATCGTGGGCTTTGAGTCAGAATTTGGATTTGTATCAGGGGTTAGGGTTTGTGTTATCAGTCCGTTTTTTGTGTTGAGGTTGAGTCAGGGTTGGTATCAATGTCGGTTACATTGGCGATCATATACCATCTGTTGCTGATGTTTTCACGTCATAGAATTGGCGTTTGAACAGGCCCACATTTGCGACCGATGAAGAACCATTGGCAGTGCACACGACTTCATGTCGGCGGGGACTGTGTGTGTGTGTGCGCCCGTGGCATGGTCGTGAGTTTTAGGAGATTGAACTAGTGACCCTTTAGCTTATAAGATATCGTCGTGTCAGCCGTGTGGGAAAACCACAGTGGATGTTGATGACCGTTCACCTGTGGGCGTCTTTTATGGTGCTTGAAGAATTAAAAAATATATATATATATTATCTTGGACGTTCTCAGTTTCTTAAAACATTCTTCCATCAACGTTATTGTGCTTAGAAATTGTAATGTTCACGTGCTATAAGATGTGTAAGTCGTCTGTATGTTCACTTACCTGTGTGTGCATGTGTGCTTGTAGGTTGATCCTTATGGCTACTTCCCAGACCAGGAAGGGCACACGGGTAAGTTTGGGCCCCTAAGTGTACTTATTACAAAAAATGTGACCCTTCAACTCTTGCTGGACACGAATATAGATGCTTCCTTCATTTTGATGGCACTACGTTAGTTAGTATTTGGACTTTTATCCTCATGTGTTCCTGCATTTTATACACGTACTCCTGAATTATTTCCACACACAACACTCTTTTAAAGAGAAATGGCCAGGCAATGTAGATCACTGCTGCATATAATATGGAGACTGAGGCTTTTCTCGATCTAAATGGCATTATATCACTGATTTGAACGATATTAAAGCCCAGTTAGGATAATCCTTACCATTAGTGCAGAGGTCATTGTTCTACATGTTTTTACAAAGCAATCTTAATGATTAAGGTGTTGAATTATTTTGAATCTTGATACACTGACATACAGTTCACGTATAAAATTTAATCCAAGATATCTGGCCAGCATGGATGAGTAAACCCCAGGATGCCTTCTGGAGGAGCTGTCGAGCCTTCCTCTCATCGAAGCCCCTTCCACCAAGCAATTGCATGGCTGGACTGTTACCTGTCCTATATAAAATGATCTTGTTATAACTATGATGGCCTTTGACCATCAATGTATACATTCATTCACGCGGCCTAATAACTCACCGTTTGCGCCGCGTGCCGGATGCGATCAACGCCGCTAATCCTCTCCGCCGCGACTCCGACCGCCAGGTGACCCGAGGCAGGACGGCGCGTTCGAGCGACAGAGCTCGGGCGGAGGCATGGCCTACATCGTCCCCGACGTCATCAAGGACTTTGTGCAGTACTTCCAGCGCACCGTGCACGAGCTCATGGAGCTGAAGGCCTTCCAGATCACCTCCAACGGCGGGCCCAACGACAGCATTGAGCAGAAGCGCTTCGACATCCAGAACATCTATGAGAACAAGTGAGCGCCGCTGCCTGCCACTCTCTCTCGCACGTTCACCACGGCAGCGATGACCTCCAGGGGAGGTTTAGCAACCAAAAGCGGTTAGTGCTATCGCCATTAAGTTAAAGGCTTGCAAGGATTTGCAATGCGCCCGGTTAGTAACACTGCTGGATCACGTCTCATTACTTAAGGCCACTATTATCAAATGTGAGTTTTTATTATGACTTAGGTCTCTAGGACAGTGTCCCTCTTCCTAACAGGGACCGCCTTGCAGTGTTCTAACGTGTGGCTGCTCACCGCTCGTACTGCAGCAGAGTCCTGACTGGCTGGTTCTGTTTCACAGCTGGAATAAGTTGACGGAGCGATTCTTCCGGAACTCAACGTGGCCGGAGTCGGATGTCATCGCGCCGTACGTGCAGAACGGTGAGGCCACAGCCGCACTCCCCAAACGCTTTTGTTAGGCCGGGAAGTGATGATGAAGCGGGCCACCAACCACATCACCCGCACGGGATTTGTTCTAACGCATCTGAAAATACATTTTAGGGTTTATTGCTGACGCTAACTGTGGCTGCTGTTTGTTTAACAAAAAATCCCTCTCTACAGATCCCGTGTTCTTGATTCTTTACAAAGAGCTCTACTACAGGCACATCTACGCCAAGGTGCAGGTAAGGTTTTTGAACAGTTGCCATCCTTCTCGTGGAAATTTGTGACGAGCACTGCAGCATTTCACTGCGGGAATCATTCCTGCCAAGTTGCCGCTGCATTAACAATGAGATGATGTGTGGATATTATTTGCCTGTAAGTGACCTCTTGTGTTTTCTATGCCTTTATGGACTATGTTTCGTTATATATAGATGCTTCATTCTTTTACTCAGTGCAATATCGTGATTGCTGTAATTATTCCTGTAACTTGAAATTTGATGTATCTCAGGGAAACTTTGTTACTATTTGCGTTTTTATGTCTTATTTGTAACATGTCCTTTGATCATAATCCTCACTTTAGTTAAATATTTAAAAGATAATTTTGTAATATACTCTACATGATATGATTGGTTGCCATTTTTTTCTTATGTATTTTTATATCCATTGTTCTTTAGACCGGTTAAGTACGTTGTTATGTTTAGCAGAGAAACCAATGTTTTTGTTGAAACCCGATTGATTCAAAATGAACTAAACAAACGAAATTTGAGCAGACCACCTCGGAAACTTAATGGCATCATCATGTGTGCGTTCATCTTGAGGATCCCAAGCCAGCTTAATGGATCTACTTGGCATGGAGCTATTAAAGATGAACAGTACCGCATGATAAATGAACTCGATTCAAGTTTTAAGAGCTATTTTGCAGCGGATAAAGCTAAGTTGTACGTACACCTAAAGGGTTACCATTGTGGAGTCCACACGATTCTGTAAGATATGACTTTTGAGCTGCCCTTTGAGCCATTATTAACGTGCAGTGTGTGCACCTTTAGGGAGGTCCCACTCTGGAACAGCGATTCGAGTCCTACTACAACTACTGCAACCTCTTCAACTACATTCTGAGTAAGTGTCTGTGCAGAAACACAGTGATATATGCACTGTAGCATGCATGGAAATAACGGAGCAATCTCGGCTTCCCTAAATACATTAGCTGATCGTATAATGTGGATGCAATTCCTGGTGATAGGCAAATGTGTCTGTGTGCATATACAGAAAGGTGAACCTTACAAGAGAGCTGTTCAACACAGTTCAGTGGAGCCAATCCCCCTTAAGATGCATTAAATAAAGGCAACTACTACTTAAAGCCTTCATATAGTCTTGGGGCAAGTGCTGTTAACGAGCACCTGTTCAGGCCTGCATGGCGCATGATGGAATCAAGTGACCAGCACAATGCCCAAATAGCCTTCGTCTCCACAGTGCTTCTGATTACATACTGCACCTGGTACTCATTTAAGGCCGAGTCGATCTAGGGGAGGCCCAGAACTGGTTCAGATATCGCTCGCCAATCGTGTTAACCGTTTCCGGGGCTATCGAATTCGCCGGTATCGTAGGACACAGCACCGGGTGACCGCACGCACGCACAGCCACACGTGCCACGAATGACCGGCACAAGGAACTTGCAGCGCCCTCATCGTTGCTGCCTCCTCTCTCTCTCTCTCGTCCGCATAGACGCGGAAGGTCCAGTTCCCTTGGAGCTGCCCAACCAGTGGCTGTGGGACATCATTGATGAGTTCATTTACCAGGTACTACTGCTCGTTTGTGTTTTTGATACGAGTTTAAAATGAGGGGAGGTGTCTATTGGACGCTTTTTCTGAATGTTTGCTGATGGCAGACAATGTATTTTATGAATTTTAAAAGACACACCCTAGATGTTTTTTCTTCAAAATACAGGAACCAAAAGTGTGCCTTACAATCGAGAGAAAACCGAATACAGAGCGCGGCAGCGTTCGACCGGTCGTCACGATCGCGTGGAAACAACGGTGGCGTTTTTTTTATTTCCTCTCCGCGCGCGCAGTTCCAGTCTTTCAGCCAGTACCGCTGCAAGATGGCCAAGAAGTCGGAAGAAGAGATCGAGTTCCTGCGCACCAACCCGAAGATCTGGAACGTCCACAGCGTGCTTAACGTGCTGCACTCCCTGGTAGACAAGTCCAACATCAACCGGCAGCTGGAGGTGTACACCAGCGGAGGTGATTGGCACGCTCGCTCGAACCGCTGCCGCCGCTGATTCGTCTTGAACTTTTGCCGGCGATACGCGATGCTGTAAAGCCAGGTGGACCCGGTGGTGGCGCAGTTGCTGGCCCCCAGGGGTTGGCAACGTGCGGTTCCGGAGCTGCGTGCGGCTCTTTGAAGGACTGCTTCGTGACGTTACTTATCAACGACTTGTGTTCACCTGCGTTGCGGATCTTAACATACGGAGGTTTTTTTTACTGAATTCGAAAAAAAATGTCCAATTCTTGTTATTTTGGTCACCGAACCCTTGGCTCCGCCGCTCTGCGCTATGACCCCGGCGATCCTAGTTTGATTCCTAGCCGTGGGTTACACCAGTGGCGAGTGATCTCTGAACCAGTTTTTGGTACCACTCTCTACCGACCTACATCCATCACCATGCTAATCTGAGGTGTGGGTAAAGGACAACAAACTAAACACAAAAAGCAGTTCTAAATAAACAAGTTTTCAATCTAGCTCCAGTGGCTTCCTAATATTGGAAGGAAGAGCGTTCCAGACGGCCGCAGAAGCGCATCTGAAAGCGCCATGCGATGCGGTGACCGTCTTTGTTCGATGGTCAGCCAAAAGCCGCTGCTGTGAGGATTACCGTAGTTTGCATGATGACTATGCTCCATGATGAGATCGGTAAGGAGATGATGGTCTCGGCCCGTTCACAAACGGTTGCAGAAAAACACACATCCTCGCTCATTTGCTCTTGGACTTAAACCCGATCGAGCTCGTTTGTGTGCGTTTGGACACAGGCGACCCTGAGAGCGTGGCTGGTGATTACGGCCGCCATTCCCTCTACAAGATGCTGGGCTACTTCAGTCTGGTGGGGCTGCTGCGTCTGCACTCCCTGCTGGGCGATTACTACCAGGCCATCAAGGTCCTGGAGAACATCGAGCTGAACAAGAAGGTGAGGACGGATCAACAACAAAGAACTCGGCTCGCCACGGTCATCCGTTCACGCTCTTTAACGGTTCAAATTTTCTTGGTTTGATAAATCCTTTGCAAAATACTTAATTCACGTATGACTTGGATAGAGAGAAAATTATCGATTCTTAGCCAAGTGATTCTATGCACATACCATGAATATTGGTTGATTTTAATTGGTGCATTGTTACAGGTCTACTTAGAACAGAACAAGGCAAGAGAGGATAGCGTTTTTAGCATTGACTTCAGATTAACCTTGATGTACAATCGGTTAACATACGGCTACTCGGAAGAAAAGCCATTTCTCAGTGTATTCTGAAGCAGCATTGCATGACACATTGGCCTATAATATTTTGGTTCCATCAAAAAGACCGTGTTCGTGACGAGAGGAACGATATATACTGTGCCTTTTCCACCAACAAATGCAAGCGTTGGGTAGAATAATAGCAGAGGGGGAACGCTTAATGCTTATCCTACTACATCTCACCTCCACGTGTACAAGCAGTACAACACGATGAGTGAAAGAAAAAGCAAAGACTTCCCTGATTAGACTCCTTGGGGCTGGTGCTGGGAATGAGCGCCTAATTAAGGCCGGCCTGGTGCACACGAGGTAGTGGTGTGGCCAGCACAATCCCCGGACGCCTTTGACTGCTGTACTTACTTGCTAGCAACTACACAACTTGCCACACATAGTGCTCTCAACCCAAGCCGAGGGTTGGGTCCGTCGGTTTGCTTTAACCGAGCTGCCAGTTAGGCAGTGGAGAGAGGGATGTCTGATCCAGCCAAGCTGATGGGGTCGACCCGTCGGGTAAAACTTGACGGCGAGTCGGATTGTGCCTCGCCAAACTGACCGAGGGGGGTCGGTCCTTGGGTGTCCGTGTGTCTCCGTACAGAGCATGTACTCGCGGGTGCCCGAGTGCCAGATCACCACCTACTACTACGTGGGCTTCGCCTACCTCATGATGCGGCGCTACCAGGACGCCATCCGCATCTTCGCCAACATCTTGCTCTACATCCAGCGAACCAAGGGCCTCTTCCAGCGCTCCAGCTACAAATACGAGATGGTAATCTCACGGTGCACAAAATGGTCGCAAATCGCCCGCGACATGCGCCGCCCCCCCGGTCTCTCGTCGGTTCTTGGAAGCTAAAGCAGATTCTAGCCCAGACGGTGCTTGGATGGGCAAGTGAGGTGCATGAAACACGCACGGCGTTGTAGGCTGCTGCCGGGGGAAATGCAGCGGATTAGTGCTGTTCTGTAATTCTATGCTGCAATGTCTGCTCCTCCGCTTGCACCAACGGGCACGGAGCAGTGCAGTGAGTTCTGGTCAAATAACTCTTCGCGGGCCTGCAAGGCGTGGGGGGTGCCCTCATCTAGCAGTGGATTGACAAAAGCGCCGTATGTATGCACAGTTTAACAGTTGCGGAATCCCTTCGTCTGCATTGCCATCGTTATCTGTACTTCGATCGCCGGAAGTTGAGCAACTGAGTGGCGGTGTTGTATCTCGCTCTCGGTCCCAGGACCAGCTGTGAGTGGATTTCGATTGTACATCCAGATTCCTGTGCACACTGTGCTACTCTCTCGAGCAATAATGGCCATGGAATTTTATTATTTTTTTGTTTAATTCCTAAAAAACTTTTTTGCCGGTGCCTTTAATGATTTCCTCTCGGCGAGTTATATTATGGAGCTGAGATTAGATTGAAAGCAGTGAGAATCCGTCTTGGCAAAAAAAAAAAAAACCCATTGGGAGCATGCAAATTGTGGCTGTTGACACGTGCGAATGCGTGTGTGTTACAGGTGAACAAGCAGAACGAGCAGGTGTTTAATCTGCTGGCCATTACCCTGAGCCTGTACCCCATGCGCATCGACGAGAGCATCCACACACAGCTGCGGGAGAAGCTCGGAGACAAGATGCTGCGGATGCAGAAAGGGTACGGCGTGTCCACTCCCGGCTAAAGAACGCCCCCCCCCCCCCCCCTGTATCCTGCACAGGGGCACCATGGTGGCAAGATGTTGACTCCCTCGCCTGTTATACAGGAGGTCGTGGGTTCGATCCCGACCCTGACGCTTGTATATTTGGAGTTTACACGTTCTCCCCGTGGTCGCGTGGATATTTCTCTCCATAATTAGATACATGCGTTTAGTGTTTCGCTGCTATACATTTGCACAGTGATATGCCACTTGGTTGAGCTATCATTTGTGCCCAGGTCGCTTCTGAAAAATATCTGTGTAGGTCAGTAGGCCTTACCTTGTAAAATAAAAAATAAGTTTTGAATAGATGGACGTTGTTCATCCAGAAGTGGATTGCGAGCGGCTGACGTTGATGCGCCTTTTGGTCATGCAGAGAGCAGCAGCTGTTTGAGGAGGTGTTCAGCTTCGCGTGCCCCAAGTTCCTTTCGCCCGTGGTGCCCAACTACGACCTGGTGACGGGCACCTACCACAAGGAGCCCTACATGCAGCAGCTCAAGGTGTTCATGGACGAGGTGCAGCAGCAGAGCATGATCTCCAACATCCGCAGGTGACGCTCTCCGCGGCTTGTCTCGTCGGTCGAGGTCGGTGGTTCTTAACCTTTGCTGCGGCCTTGCACCACTTTGGTTCTCAATTGTAAAATAATGTACGTTAATACGTAGGTTTGATGAAACAAAGTAGTTGTACTTACGTGCCCGTGTTTAATTTGTGTTTCGATGATTTACCTTGTAAAAATATCTGGCCATGTCTCGCTAGAAAGGTCATCTCGCACCCCAGGTTAAGAGCCGCTGGTCTTGGTAAAGGTGTTTTAAAGGTTCAGCCCTGAAATTTATCGCTCATGCCGGTGCTGGCGGAAGAACTTGCAGTAGAATAGCGATTAATACCCGAATGATCATTCAATTTGTAAAGTACACAAAAAACAAGACCATGCAGATGCAAACTATATTTGCAAATTCAAGGTGAACTGATAATCACGATAATTGTCATATAGAGAATAAAACAAATATTTTATGTCTCTTGGTAACCCACCATGATGTCCTGGACGATGTTATGTTGAGAGCCAGGCAGCGAGTGTGTGTGTGCGCGAAGACCGTAACATTGCGTGTGTCCCCCCCCCGCCCCGACTCCTCGCAGCTACCTGAAGCTCTACACCACCATGCCGGTGCAGAAGCTGGCCGGCTTCCTGGACATGTCGGAGGAGGCGTTCAGGATCCAGCTGCTCGTCTTCAAGCACAAGATGAAAAACCTGGTGTGGACCAGCGGCATCTCGGCCCTGGAAGGAGAGTTCCAGTCGTCCTCCGAGGTGGACTTCTACATCGACCAGGTGATTGCGCGAGCGCGTGATGTGCTTCGTTTACTTTCAACTCCAACCCGAATGTATTTTTTTATTTGATTTGTATCCTGTCAACCTCAGTTTATTGGCTTACCGCGTGGCCGTTTATATGACAGTACAGCAGACGGGCCATATGGTTACACCAGGTTAAAATGGGTTAACATTGGTTCGCTAAGCTGGATCGGGAAGTCCATACTGGGAATTACATGTCCCAGCATGGGGGGTGTGAACTAAAACGAAGTTAAGGTTATTGCACGGAATTCTCACTCCGTGAATTGAGTTTCGTGTGCTACGTGCGGTGTGTAATGTAGGTGCTTGTTATGATTTTGTGCCCGTGTTGTGGCCGCTTGGGCTTGTGTGAATGTGACGTCAGTTTATGTATTTTATGTTCCGTCAACTTGTGTGTTTTATAACCAGGACATGATCCACATCGCAGACACCAAGGTGGCTCGCCGCTACGGCGACTTCTTCATTCGGCAGATACACAAGTTTGAGGAGGTAAAAGCGATCTTTTTTGCCAGTCGACACAAAACTTTGTACGAAACCCCCCCCCCCCCCCCTCCCGCGGTTGTCACGAACGCGATGTAAACGTTTGGGTCGTTTTGTTTTTCTCGCCCGCTCAGCTCAAGAAAGGGCTGAAGAAACTGGGGACCGAGAAACCGGCTCGGGTGTAAGCTGCCCCGCGCGCTCCACCTTTGCATCACCTTCCTCCGGAAAACGACGTGCGGAGATGCCGAATGTACCATTCCCTTGGCAATTTGCGTTTCTGATGGACATGTGCCCAAACAATGAATTCGGAACCACCTTTTGCAGAATTGCTTGCATCAATCTTTTTTGTAAATTTACCCATTGTCCATTGGAATAAAAAGGTGATAATTGAAATGGCAGTTCAGTTTTCTTTCCTTGTGCGTCTGTTGGTCTCAAGTTTGTGTTGATTCATCTGCGTGTCTGTGCCTATTTCCACACGCGTGTCATTGTGTGTGTGTAACTGAAGTTGGGAGCGGTAGCCGTTAGTGCGCCGCGCTACGAACCCAGCGACCCGAGTTCGATTCATGCTCACGCCCAACACCAGTGAGAGTTATCTGAACCACTCCTGGACCTCCCCTAGGTCGACTCAGCCTCACATGAGTACCTGGTGCGATGTGTAAATATCACCACCCACACCCTCGTGTGCCATGCCGGCCTTCATCGGTGCTACTCGCCAGCAGCCCATTCTCCAACAGTCTGTTCGGGCTATGTGAGGGGGGGGATCTTTGATATACAACTGCAAGGACAGCTTATTCTCCATGGAAGCCATCCTTTTTATTAAGAGTGGTGACCACCTACCGTAGAATAGCAACACCGGAGACACTACTGCACGACACACATGAAACATTTGACAACGATCGGTTCGTGTACGAACTTGCAGAAAGAACAGGAAAAAGGCAAATTGGCTGGTTGAAATTCATTACGCAATGTTGCTTACAACGTGAATGTGGTCGCATTGCTCGATTGAAACGCTGGGCAGAAGCACAGCTGCAGCTCTGCTGCTACAGAAGAGAAGCACACATTCAGGTAGCTATATGGCTGTTCTTTAGACAAGGCTTCGAGACTACAGCTTTATAAACACTGTCATAGTTAAACAATACTGTTTCGGTAATAAACTGCAATTTGAGTCGGCCTGTGCCAGGCTAAGTTTGGTTTAGTTGGTGCCGATAGATAAGAACCAATGTTCCCGTGGATTTTGTAATGGTGACACATCAAGTGCGGATATTAAATATCGCTGCAACAACACCAGTGCACATCGAGTGACTGCTGATGTAACGAATTAGGGGACAAAGTTGCTAAGAGGTTTCGATTTCATATTGCCTTTTCATTCATTGGAATCTAGTGCAGACAAGGTTCTGGTATAAATTCAGTAGTGGTGGAATGGATTCCATGAGTTGTCACAATTCGTGTTTGTGATTGCATTCAAATGTTGATTTTAATAACGCGGCTTTCGAATGGTAACACCTCCAGTGGCTGCAGAGGTGACAGCCAATTACAATGTACGCAAAGTGAAAAACATCGATGCTTAACACCATTCGATATATGCTATCTTGATCGATATTAATCGATGGTGTAATGTATCCCGGTTGGTTTCAACCCACTGTTAAGGACACAAAATTGATATTAGAAGCATTCTAGTGTGTCCAAAATGGTGAAACATCAATCCGGATTTAATATCTCGCTGACCACCCTTGTTATCACATATGGTATCAGCTGGCCTGTGCCGTGTGGTTTGTCCTTGTGGCCTATGCTGTCCACGTAGCCTCAGTAACCCATGCCAGCCTTCGGCCCCTGGGTTTTCCAAACCTGGCATTAATACAGCTTTGATAGGAACAATAATTTAAGAATCAATCTGCTTTAGATCCAGTAAGAGTTTGGGTCACTGACTTGCTTTAGCGTAGAGGAGTGTTCACGAGGTATGGACAGAATTTTGATATTTGTTTTAATATCTTGTGAACAACCAGTGCAAATATGGATCCAGGATTATCCAAGCCTGGGATTTAGTTGAATACAGTCGAGCACCCGGTAGTACACTCCTGAGTGGTGTAGATGGCCAGGTCTCGCTGCAAGGGTGTGTCCGGGGCATTGGAGCCAAGATGCGTCCATAACGGTACTACTTTGAGATTGAGAGCAGGCCACAAAAGAAGGATTTCAGTGTGTTTTGGCAAGTTTTTTTCTGGATTTCACCGATTATTCAGCCAAACTGAACTCCCATCAGTGCTGCATCATTACCGCCAATGATATAACTGAACAAAAAAGCTTTGCATGGATGCTTTGGTTAATGCTGCAGTCTGCTTTTCATGAAGTTTAAGCTGATCTTGTTAGGCATTCAGGCAGAAATAATATCATTTGAACCAAACGCACATTTTCTTTCCATCAAAGCTGCTTTTAAACTGGTCTCAAATGGAATGACATCGTTGAGATTTCTACATATTGATGGAGATGCACGGTGTGTGTCACCTTGGCAAATAATATCTGATATGCCATTTCCTGCCACCATCACTCAACCAAAGTCAGAACAATGGGAGCTGTTATACCAACACAGCAAATCATGTACACACAGCTATGGGTTGTTCAGGCATGCAAAAAAGGGGTGCCGTGGTGGCGAGGTGTTAACTCCCTCGCCTGGTATGCAGGAGCTCGTGGGTTCGATCCCAACCCCTGTATATTTGGAGTTTGCATGTTCTCCCCGTGGCCACATGGATTTTTCTCCGGGTCCTTTGGTTTTTCCCTCCACATTTAGAATAAACGTGCATTTCGAGTATTTGGCTGCTATAAATTTCCACACGACAAGCCACTTTCGTTGAGCTATCATTTGTGGCCGGGCCGTTTCTGAAAACGAGCTATTTATAGTATAGCTCAGTGGGCCTTACCTGCTAAAATATAAAATAGTTTCAATTATCTGAGTTTAAATTGTTTCCTTCGGGGGCGGGTGTTATTGCGGACATTGCGGGCTGCCGACGAACGGCGGCGTAGATAGGGGTGCGCGTAGGAAACCGTCACTTGCCACTGAAGGCATCAGTTGGTCGGCTTGGGGAAGGGCACCCAGGCGTGGAAGCAGCGCGAGAATATGTGCGGCTCGTTGCCTTTGCGCACCAGGCGCAGCTTGCGTGGATTCTCCGGCTCCTTGCTCTTCATGTGCTGGATGTAGACCTGCAAGAAACGGGGCCTTTGCTAGTGTACGTTACATAAGAGGCAATATACAGCTCCGTGAGGCAGTGACGTTGGCTAAGCTCGACTTTTAACAGCGGCACAGACGTCCGCCCCCCCCCTCCCCCCCCCAAACAATATTTCTAACGTGATCACCGCAGAGATATGGCTGCTGTTACCCGACCTCGAAAACTTGGTAGGACCCTCCTAAATAAGAGCCCCGAGACTCGGTGTGGCTTTTGTGACACAAACGAGCGTAATGATAGCAAATCCCTTCTTGTCATCTCACGAGGATTTTTATAAATTACAAGGGGGACCCCACCCCTCCCTCTCCCCAAAGATTGTCTGCTTAGGGCCCCCAATAGGCCAGCTCGCATCACCGACACGCGCTGTTCGCTGGGTTGAGGGCACGGCCGCCACGTACCTGTGTGGCCTTGAGCCCCAGCTTGATCTCCACCTGGCTGGACTGAGTGCCCACCCACATGTACACCTGCAAGGCAACCAAATCAAAGGTGAGTGCGGTGTGCAGATTCATGCAAACATGCATGTATTTTTGATGCAAAGCTTTCGTGACTGCAGGGATTCATATTCTTGGTTCTTTCGGTAAAGTCACGTAGAAGAGAAATAATTAAATATTTGTTGTCATTTTTTTATTTCCCTTCTACGTGACTTTACCAAAAGAACCAAGAATACATGCATGTATGTTAAAATTATTTCGCACCGTACGTAAGCCAACCACGCTAATCGGAGGATGCATATATCTTGCCAGTCTTCATAGGTGCTCGCTAACAGATCTCACCCCAAAAAGTCTGTTCAGGCTATTTGTAGGATCTTTGCCTTGTTTTTTGTATGTGTGCGAACGTGCGTGCGTGCGTCTGTGCGTGCGTGAGCACGTACCTCGCCGCCGTTGTCCAACACCATGATGTCGTCGTCTGCCAGGTCATCCTGGCAAAAGTCGGAGCACTTCTCGGAAACGGAGAAGTAGCCCTTGTCGTTGGAGCACCTGCACGCGCCAACCCCCCACGGGCAGAAGGATGGAAGATGACGGTCCCATTCTACGGTGTTTAATAACCAGCCGAGAAGTCGAAAGGGACCAGGATGGTCTAATGTACAAAAGAGCGACCCGTGGCATTAGTCTGCCAGGAGAGGCGATGATGATTGCTATGTATAATACCCAACTGAGTGCGTTGTCATTTTCTAATTTGGAACCTCGCGCAACCACAGGCCTACTCTTGCAAATGACCTCACGGGATCTGTAAATCAGACTGGTATAGATTATTATTATGGTTATTACACAGGCAGTAATAACTGGGAAGGCCGCTCGATTTGAACCACCAGCCTCTGCAATGAGCCGCGGAAACGCTACCGCCGGACCACGCTGCCTGGTGCGAGCAGAATTCTCCGCAGAGGTTTGAGATAAGATAGGAGGCAACTTGTAAAAAGGGAAGTATACACACAGCAGGTACGCAGGTGTCTGAGTGAAAGGAGTCAGGCATCGCACCTGAATCAGAGGTCGCAACCGGGTACCCGATACCCGTACCCTACCCGATACCCGGCTACCCGTACCCGGCCAGGTACGGGTACCTGTTTGCGACCCTGGTGCGGCCGGGTACGGGTACGGGTAGGCCGTGAGTCACTGGTGAGTAACCGTTTGTCACTCATTTCGGGTAGGGTACGGGTACCCATTTGCGACCCTGGTGCGGCCGGGTACGGGTAAGGAATCAAAACCCGTTTGCGACCTCTGACCTGAATGTGCGGGTGAAGGGAGTGTGGGGACTGGAGGGGGAGCAGCAGCACCGCACCTGAATAGACGTGCCGTGCGCATGTAGGCGGCGTCTTGGTCGTACGGCTTCCGTCCGCCAATCCCCACCCAGAAGAAGTTCTCCGGCTCCTCTCCCTCGTTGATCACCTGCATTCCGCGGCAGTAACCGGTCCCTCGGTTCAAACTCACGATTTAAAAGCTTCCTATTATTCCTCTTCTTCTGCGAAATGGATTTTCTCCCTACCCTCACCGTATTTGATAACTATGGTGCAGTGTAATTTTGCCCTCCACCTTGAATCGTTTCTTCACAACACAAGCGTTCAGATCATTGTGTGGCCAAGCGGTGAGCGCGCTGTGCTACAAACCCGGCAACCCGCGTTCCGAGTCCTGTTCACGGCCAATAACAGCGGTGAATTTTTTAACCGGTCCTGGGCCTCCCCTAGGTCGACTCGGCCTCAAATGAGTACCTGGTGTGATGTGTAAACATCGCCACTAGGGAGACAAAAGCGGCCAGGCATGGTGTTGGCCACTCACCCCCTTGTGTGCCATGCCGGCCTTCATAGGTGCTCGCTAACAGCACTTGCCCCAAAAGTCAGTTAAGGCTATACGGGGGGGGGGGGGGGTGAAATCTTTGTGTTTTTTGTGTGTGTATGCTCGCGGACCTGCTTGCTGTAGGAGGCATGGAACATGCTGCCCATGATCTCCTCCGTGAGCCGAGCCTCGTCCGGCGCAGCCCCCCGCCCCACCCACGCGTAGACCATCCCTGGGCCATCCTCGCTGCCAAACGGCACCTGCACACCGCACACAGCGCACCGAGGGGTCAGCCCCAGCCAAAAACGCCGCCGCTGATCGGGGCAACATTTGAAGCTGCTTTTACGGCCCAACGTACACGTACGACCCATTTTGTCAAGGACGACGGCTGCCCTCGTCATTTTGACCATATTTCACCACGGTGGTCCAGTGCACATTGTGGTGAAGGTGGGGGGTGGGGGGGGATTACAGAACCACAATGGATGTTGCCGCAGTGCTGCCTATAATGGTGGCGTCTTTCCCGCTTGTTGCCGAGGTTCGCGGTTCGAGCTCAGCGGCACTCCCTGGTTAATACTGGGGCTGTATGAACGACAAAACACACACAGCTGCCGCTTCCCGGTAGATGTTAAAAGATCCCGTGATATTGTTTGAAAATGGAGTAAGGCCATCTTGTTTCGGCGTCGTGGCGCGAATATGAGAAAGTTACTCGCACAATTTGGAACAACCAACAGCAAATTTGGACTTAAAGCTTTCGTGACATCAGGAATTCATATTCTTTGGGTCTTTCGGTAAAGTCAAGTAGACAGGTTCAAAGAAAATAACAAAGAACTACGACGTTTGGATCGCAACACAAGCGGTCATCATCAGGAAAAGGGGGGTTAACTTCCAAGGCAAACTGTTTATAAAGGTTTGAAATGGGCGTAGCCCAAATGTCAGCAGCAAATGTTAATGGCAGTGGTGGGCAGCAACCACGACGGTGGTCCCTCTAGGCCAAACACAATGTGCTCCAAGACGTTTTGTAATGTTATGGGTGCAGTATAAACGCAAGTATTATCAGTGTAATATATTACGACTATTTACAGCCAAACGTGGATCGATGTTGGTAATTAATCTGGCGTTATACTGCGCCTTGTAATTTTCTTCTCCAATAGGTGCAGAAAACAGGCAGTGCTGAAATGAGACCGGGCACAGAAGGTCATAGTGCAGGTAAGGGGTAGAGGCAGTACAGTACCTTGAGAATGTAACAGAATTCAGAGTTGAGAAAGGCAGCATCAGTATTAATCTGAATGCACCTGCACAAGCAGAGGGGCAGAACCGAAGGCAAGCAAAAGACAGGGGGAGGGGCGGAGAAAACGCAAGACGGAGCAAACTGATGTAAGGAAAGAAGAAATTACAATTCCCATCCGGAGGTTATAGGAAGTCACCACCATCAGCAGTAGCACGAGGTACCAGGAGAAAGACAAGGGCAGACCGCCATCTCGCGAAAACTGCGTGTGGAATATAATTCATGATTGACGTTTGCGTGAGCTCGCCCACGTAATGAATGGTCTTGACAAAATGCGTGTCGGTAAGACGCTCCACGACCTGACGCAGCCGAATTAAATCTCCACGGCGTGCAAAGCGTTTAACGCGCCAAATCGTTCATGTTTCGGCTCGCTCACCGGGTGAGGTGAAGAACAATCCTCGCAACCAGATTCGCGTGAAAGCATACGCGTTACGTGGCGACGACTATATGCGTTGGTGTGAACGTGTATTTCGTACATAAAGTGCGGTGACAAGAAGCCATAGACTGTCCGTAGAGTATAATTTCACAATACGTAAAAATCAGACCAAATGGCAGTGTGGCCTAGATGGTTGCCCCTCCAACACCCCCCCCCCCCCCCACCGCGAACTCACCATAGGCCCCCTGTACCCCACGTTTCATGGTCAGTGGTTTGCGTACATTAGAAAGCATCGACGAAGCAAAGCATCGTCACGAGCACAGCTCGGAGTGCCGAGTGCAATCGTACCGCAGGGAGGTTGCCGGCATATTCTCTCGATTATAAGATGCAATTCCACCCCACCCCCCCCCACCGCACCGGTATTTGAAAGCAAAAGTCGGGGGGGGTTCAGTCTTACTATCCGGAGAATATACGTCGTCTGCCTGCATATGCGTTTTACAGTAGAACCCCTCTTAACGACCACCCCTGTCTTAATGATGGGCCTCCATAGAGCCAAATGTGGAGTGTATAGTGTAGTGTATAGTAGTATACAGTGATACCTCGGTTCACGAACTTAATTCGTGAACTGACTCTGGTCGCGAACCGAATTGGTCGTGAACCGAAGCACATTTTCCCATAGGGTTCAATGTAAATCCGGTTAATCCGTTCTGACCTTTTTTTTTGGTTTTTGAAGCACAAAAATATGAAACAAATTACAATACACATTAGTACTGTACAGTATAGTAATGTATAAAGAGAGAACACTAACCTTGCTTGAGATGACTTCAGTAAGCACTCAAACGGGTGAACTGTACAATACAGTAAGTACAGTATTGTACAGTACAGTACAGTAGTACAGTACAGTACTGTATGTGCTAAAAAGCACACCAAAAAGCAAAAAGTCACTGAAAGTGTCTTCACAGTACTCACAGTACTTCTTTCTGTGTCTCTTCTTCTCTCCACGATCTTCCTACAGGAAGTCACGACCATGTGACAGCCTGGAAATAGCATTAAAATGCCCGCGGCTCCTGTTCGTGAACCGAAGTGGAGTTCGTGAACCGGAGCATATTTTTATGAACTTTTCTGTTCGTGAACCGAGTTGTTCGTGAACAGAAGCATTCGTGAACCGAGGTATCACTGTATATTGTAGTGTATAGTAGTGTGGTGTATAGTAGTGTATTGTATAGTTGTGAGGTGTATAGTAGTGTAGTGTATAGTGGTGTAATCCATAGTGGTGTAGTGTATAATAGTGTAATGTATAATAGTGTAGTGTATAGTGTAGTGTATAGTAGTGTAGTGTATAGTAGTGTAGAGATAGTAGTGTAGTGTATTGTAATCCATAGTGGTGTAGTGTATAGTGGTGTAGAGTAGACCACCCCTGTTAACAACTGTTAACAACTATTCGCTTAATGACGGGTCTCCATAGACCATTTCCCTGTTAACGACTTACCGACCATTTCCCTGTTAACGACGGGCTGCTGTACGTACAGTAAATATTAATACATGAATTGCTTAACTATGTTTCTTTTAATATTATGTGTTTATAATGTTGTTGATATCTTTATGTATTCATATCGATTGTTTAAATATTATAAAGTGCGTTTTGTGGGTGAAAAGGGGTCACTATCGATGCTATCGGAACGAATTAAGCCTTCAACGTGTATTTCCTATGCTCTCTTAACGAGCAAATCACTTAACGACCGGTTTCGTGGGACCAATTACCGTCGTTAAGAGGGGTTCTACTCTGATCGCGTTCGTAATTATCATCTTCCGGAAGATGGTTAGACTCCGTAGCAATACATTAGCACCCAAGGGGTAGAAGAAGAGCACAACTAACCAGGCTTTCAGAATGATCTTCCGGAAGACATGCCCATTTGAAAGCAGCGCGTGCGTGATCATCATCTGAACGATGTCTCTCCATAACAACGTATTCTCCCGATCATAAAGCACTTTTTCTTTTTCAACATTAACCCCAAAGGGAATCTCTTGGTGTGTCCTACATTTCCGGAGTGCATTATAAATTGGAAAATACGGTCAATTTCAAGGAGCAAAACGGCGATAAAGCACGGCTGACGTTCTAGTTGCGAATGCAGCGGAAAAACAGGGCGGGGAGGTGGTGGGTGTGGGGGGGTGCATGAAGCGGGGCACTGAGCTCCTACCGTGTGCACAGCGCACTGCCGTTGCTGCGCACGTGGTACAGGCTCGGCTGCGCATCGTTATCCGTGATCTTCCTGTGGCCCCGGTGAATCAGAAACTTCCTCTTGAAGTGCGACAGGAACTTGGGGTTCTCCTGCTGCTGCGTCATCCGCACCACCTGCACAGCCGCGCGCAAAGTGTCACTCGCGCGTCGCATTGGCACGCAGCTTTGAAGACGATCATGGTGACGACGATGATGACCATCACATCGAAGGCAATCTCGAGCCGAAATCTCCGGCGCAGGTGTCAGCCGCCCCCACCTCCAGCTTGCCGGGGAAGAGGCTCTCAAACTTCTTCTGCAGGCTGAACGTGAAGGTGAGCCAGCCCATGTTTGAGGCGTCGTGTCCCTGCCAGAAGTACACCACGCATTGCATGTCTTCTTCCACGCCTGTGGCCTCCGCCGACGACTTCTCCGGCCTCGCCCCACTGGGCTCCACGGCCTCCCCACCAGTGTCAGCCGCGCCCGCCCCGGCCTCCCCGGGAACCCCGGCCTCGCCTCCTTCCTCTGCCGTGTTTTCGCATTCAACAGGCATCCAGTACCTGTCAAATTGAGCGGTGGTGGTCGTGGGGAGGGGGCAAACGAGAGAATATCTTCAGTTATCTCCAGGTACTGAGAGCAAGAATGACTGAATACTCTTGTCAATCCACTGTCGGATGAAAGCCCATCCCCCGTGCCGCGTTGTTGGTCATGGGGGTTTGTTTAACTATTCTTCATCACGCTGGTCAAAGCGGGTTGGTGAAAGAGGGGACAACAGGGCCGGTTCTGATATAACTCGCCAATGATGTTAGCCGTGGCCAGGAATCAAACTCGTGCAACCAGGTGCATAGTGCAGTGTGCACCTTCGCTAGCTGGGTGATCACAGGGCCAGTTGTGTTATAATATTGCTAGCTGGATAATTGCATTGCTAGCTGGGTAATCGCATTGCTATCTGGGTAATAACATTGCTAGCTGGGTAATCGCATTGAAAGCTGGGTAATCGCATTGCTAGCTGGGTAATCGCATTAATAGCTGGGTAATAACATTGTGAGCTGGGTAATCGCGTTGCTAGCTGGGTAATCGCGTTGCTAGCTGGGTAATCGCGTTGCTAGCTGGGTGACCACATTGCCAGCTGGGTAATAACATTGCTAGCTGGGTAATCGAATTGCTAGCTGGGTAATCGAATTGCTAGCTGGGTAATCGCATTGCAAGCTGGGTAATCGCATTACTAGCTGGGTAATCGCATTGCAAGCTGGGTAATAACATTGCTAGCTGGGTGACCACAGGGCCAGCTGGGTGAGAACAGAGCTCAGATGGCGATGGTCACCGGCACAGGAAGACGTAGCAGTCGTTTGTGTAGAAGTGGCCCAGTTCATCTTCGGGGAGACGCACAAACTTCTTTCCCTCCAGCACGAAGGCCTCCATGCCGTCCAGGTCGTCGCCCCACTCCTCCATCAGCTGCTCGGCCTGGGGGGGGGGGGGGGAGGGGGTGGCGTCCGCAGTGAAAGCGGCATCACATGGTTACAACCAGGTTCGCGACGATCGGGCGATACTGCGACATATCGCACGAGACAGAGAGAGATTGAGTGAAAGAGAGAGTAAGAGTGAGACAGAGCGAGAGAGTGAGTGAGAGAGTGAGTGAGAGAGCGAGAGAGTGAGTGTGAGAGTGAGTGAGTGTGAATGAGAGCGAGTAAGAGCGAGAGAGTGTGAGAGAGTGAGTGAGTGAGCGAGAATGAGTGAGTGTGAGAGTGAGAGAGAGAATGAATGAGCGAGAGTGAGTGAGCGAGAGTGAGAGAAATAGAGAGTGAGAGAGTGAGTGAGCGAGAGTGAGAGAGCGAGAGTGAGTGAGTGAGAGTGAGTGAGCGAGCGAGAAGAGGGCCGGTGAGCCTGGGAGCTGCTTGACCTCAGTGAAAGGCATGGGCGCCTGACGGGGCAGGAAGAGAGCGGAGAGGTCGGCCTTCATCTGCTTCTCCTTCTTAGGGTCGGCGGTGTCCACCTCTTCGGCGGCCGCCGTCGTCGCCGCCGGTGTTGGGGCCTCGACGCGCCTCATGCTCTCGGCGCTCTGCGTGTAGTCCACCTTCAGCACGTCGTCCCAGTTCTTGAACTTTGACTTGAACACCTGGGAGGCAAACAAAAGAAACAGTCAGAGTATTCTTCTTGGTTCTTTCGGTAAAGTCACGTAGAAGGGAAATAATAAAATAAATAAAATAAAACATATAACTTTTTTAATGTTTTATTATTATTCTTTTATTATTTCCCTTCTACGTGACTTTAAAACATAATAAAATATTTTTTTATTTTACTATGTTTTTATTGTTATTTTATTATTTCCCTTCTACGTGACTTTACCGAAAGAGCCAAGAAGATGAATCCCTGCAGTCACGAAAGCTTTAAATCGAAATTTAGTCGGAGTATTGTCTATTTATTTCACAAGCGCGTACCGTACAAGTCGAGCATCGCACACGTCTACACACGAGTGTTACGGCCTCTATGTATGTTGAACTTCTTTCGCACCGTACGTAGCCAACCGCGCTAATCAGAGGTGCGCGGGAAGGAGAACAAACTAAACACAAAAAGTAGTTCTAAAGAAATGAATTTTAAATCTAGATTTAGAAGTGCATAGCTCCAGTGGCTTCCTAATATCGGAAGGAAGAGCACTTTAGACGGCCGCAGAAGCACATCTAAAAGTGTGTGATGGATTGACCGTCTTTGTTCGATAGCTAGCCAAAAGCCAATGCAAAGATGACCAATGATATTCAAGCAAGTGCCGATGCTTTATTATGCTTCATAGAACTGTAAATAATTTCAATATGGCTTTGGTGGCTGGGTCGAGATGGGTTAACCTGCTGTTCTTAAAGTCGGAAACCAAGGATTGAATGCAGGTGGTCTGTGTAAGTATCGACTCCGTCCTCTGATACTGAAATTGGTCATTCGAGAGGCCAACATATTTTATGCGCGTGTCTGGGTTTATGAGGTTGCCACTCTGTTCTACGATGCAGGCCAAAGCTATCAAGCTACATCGCATGCACGTGTTACATCAATACATGATAGCGATGCATGATGTAGCGATGCATGACAGATCAAACTAAACTAAAAAATTTTAGTTTTACCAGGTAAGGCCCACTGAGCTATATAGCTCTTTTTTCTGAAGCGACCTGGACGCAAATGATAGCCCAACGAAGTGGCTTATCATGCAGAAATGTTTAGCAGCCAAATACTCTCAACTCATGTTTCTAAATGTGGAGAGAAACACCGGAGGACCCGGAGAAAAATCCACACGACCACAGGGAGAACATGCAAACTCCGAATATACAGGCGTCAGGGTCTTGATCGACCTGCTGCATACCAGGCGAGGTAGTTAACTCGCCACGGCGGCGTCCTGCACAAGGCATAGGGCATTGCTACATAGCGATGTAGTTACATAGTAATGTAGCGACGCATGACAACGATGCGTGATAGTGACGTAGCGACGCACGATAGCGATGTAGTGATGCATGATCGCGATGCCTGTTAGCGATGTCGCAATGCTTGCGTGTGATACGTGAGAGGTGCGTTATAGAGATGCGTGAAAAAGTTGTGACAGCGATGCACGTGAGTGACGTAGCAAAGCATTATAGCTACGTAGCGACGTACGACGGTGACGCGCGATAGCAATGTAGCTGCCTGCGACGACAGGTGCGACCCCCCCCCCCGTACCTGCGTCTCCGTGCTCTCCAGGCTGCGCGTCACCACCGCGTGCGCCGGCCGCTGCACGAGGCTGCACAGCTCCTGCGCCAGCTTGCCGGCCGCGGCGCGCACCAGGCGCGGGGAGCGCCGTCCGATCCACACGAACACGTCGGACGCGCAGTCCAGGATGTAGACGCCGTGCGTGTCCAGGAGGCTCTGCACCTGCGTGCACGGGGAACCGGCCTCCACTCAGGGTTCACTTTCGTTTACGTCTCTCTCTCTCTCTGGAGTGAACTTGCACCCCACGGTTCAATCTTAATGTGGTATTTTATTGAGGGACTGTGTTGGTGTTGTTTTGGTGTGGTCTGGGAGTGTTTTATTGTTGTAGTTTTTTTCTGCCTTGCCCCATGCTTGATAGTTCAGTGGGCCTTACCCAGTAAAATAAAAGTACTTTTTGCTTTTTGTGTGATAAATCTGACTTTTTTAATAATGAATTTATCGATTATTTATTTACATTTAGTGACTTTCTTACCTATTTCTCTATTTCGCGCTCCTTAAAGTGTCTTTGTATTGTTTGCTGTTGTAACTCGTTGACTCGCCCCCATTACTGGGACATCTGTGAAAAAGAGCTTCATAGCTCATCGGATTCCTCCTCCAGTCTAAATAAAGATGTTTATTCTGGTCGAGTGTTTGCCACTTGTTGCAAAGGTTCGCGGTTCGAGCCCAGTGGCCGCCCTGGCTAATACTGCAGGAGTATTGACCAGAAAACATGCGCCGTCTGCTTCACAGCGGACGTCAAAGACCCCGTGATGCTCTTCGATAAGGAAGTAGGCTATGTGTGCTGGCATCACAGTCCAAACTTACCAAATATTACAAATTAGTTTCAAGTTATTTCATTTGGAAAAAAAACATCACAACACTGCCCCGTACTGGCAGACTTGGCAGTCACATACACACATGCATATCATCAAACCTTAGGTCTTAAAATCGAAGCTTAACTTGAACACAAGTCGCCGTTCTAGCCGTACACTTACCAGCCTTTGATCTGGCGCCAGGTCTCTGGTGAGTTTGGTGTTGGTGTGTTCCACGGACAGGCGGTAGTTCACCTGCGGGAGCTCCAGGTATCCAAGTCCTAGCCCCACCTATACGCAAAGACATAGACAAAGATCCCCCCACCCATATAACCTTAACAGACTGTTGGGGCAAGTGCTGTTATCAAGCACCTATGATGGCCGCACGGCAGACGAGGCAATATTTACACACCGCACTAGGTACTCATTTGAGACGGAGTCAATCTAGAGGAGGCCCAGGACCAGTTAAGATAATCATCACTGGGTGTTGGCCTTGAGTGGGAATCGAACTCGGGTCGCCGGGTTCATAGGGCATACGGACTAACCGCTAAACTACCTCTCGCCACCGATATGCACACACAACAACAACAACAAACGCCATTCGCCACTAAGTGGCGGTGACGTCACCATGAAGCTTGTGCCATGCCACACACATACGCGCACGCACATACGCACATAAGACGCATCAATCACCGCTGTGCCAAGGTCTCTCCGTGAGTGTGGTGGCCCCTCACAGGCCCGAGTTCCAAGGGTTTACCTTGTAAAGTTTTGGCCGCGGAGGGCAGAAGTCCTTGGGCACATGACACTTGATCTCTTCGGGCTGCCCTCCCAGGATGTCCCAAAACTCAGCCGGTTCTTGGTTCTGCACCAGAACTTCGATCGCCGCGTGTCCCTTGCGCTCGTTCTTGTTGATCTTCTCTGCAAAAAGCCTAACAGTAGGCACAAGCACTTGGTCATTTGCTGTCTCTGTAAAACATATATATATTTTAATGATCATTATTTCAAACATTAACTGAAGAAGCCTTGCTTACCTGGCCTTGGTTTTGGCTCCAAGTTTCGCATACAGTCCCTTCCAGATGTAAATCGTGAGTCCTTTATCCAGCATAAACACAAACCTATGACAGGGCAAGAGGGTTACAATTTTTATGTAATTATACGCATCACTCTTTGTAAAATGTACACGACTACGGATTCACAAAGCCTACTCGCGTACAACATCTTACTTCGACCAGAATGAATACAAATCCTGTCTCTTGGGTTACTGAAATATGACTGCATCTCAAGACACTATACAGAAACAGAATTATTGTATTACTATTTCGACAGAAGCAGTGGTTTATATGCAGAGGAAAAAATTAAGGTGTGCGAGGCTGGACTTAAAATAAGGGCAGGGAGAGTTTATGGGACGGTTAGAATGGCTGGGAAGGCAGTTCCAGACTGTGGGCGCAGCAAAGGAAAATGAGCGACCTCCCACTGGGTAAATGTGGCCTGTGGGCTTCGACAGAAAGCCTTGGTTGGCGGAGTGGAGTGAGATGAGAGGGGAGAGGTAGGAGAGTGCGTGGAGGGGAGTAGAGTGAGATGAGAGGGGAGAGGCAGGAGAGTGCGTGGACGGGAGTAGAGTGAGACAAGAGGGGAGAGGTAGGGGAGTGCGTGGAGGGGAGTAGAGTGAGATGAGAGGGGAGAGGTAGGAGAGTGCGTGGAGGGGAGTAGAGTGAGATGAGAGGGGAGAGGCAGGAGAGTGCGTGGAGGGGAGTAGAGTGAGATGAGAGGGGAGAGGTAGGAGAGTGCGTGGAGGGGAGTAGAGTGAGATGAGAGGGGACAGGTAGGAGAGTGCGTGGAGGGGAGTAGAGTGAGATGAGAGGGGAGAGGTAGGAGAGTGCGTGGACGGGAGTAGAGTGAGACGAGAGGGGAGAGGTAGGAGAGTGCGTGGAGGGGAGTAGAGTGAGACGAGAGGGGAGAGGTAGGAGAGTTTGTGGAGGGGAGTAGAGTGAGATGAGAGGGGAGAGGCAGGAAAGTGCGTGGACGGGAGTAGAGTGAGACAAGAGGGGAGAGGTAGGGGAGTGCGTGGAGGGGAGTAGAGTGAGATGAGAGGGGAGAGGTAGGAGAGTGCGTGGAGGGGAGTAGAGTGAGATGAGAGGGGAGAGGCAGGAGAGTGCGTGGAGGGGAGTAGAGTGAGATGAGAGGGGAGAGCTAGTAGAGTGCGTGGAGGGGAGTAGAGTGAGATGAGAGGGGACAGGTAGGAGAGTGCGTGGAGGGGAGTAGAGTGAGATGAGAGGGAGAGGTAGGAGAGTGCGTGGAGGGGAGTAGAGTGAGACGAGAGGGGAGAGGTAGGAGAGTGCGTGGAGGGGAGTAGAGTGAGACGAGAGGGGAGAGGTAGGAGAGTTCGTGGAGGGGAGTAGAGTGAGATGAGAGGGGAGAGGCAGGAGAGTGCGTGGACGGGAGTAGAGTGAGACAAGAGGTAGGGGAGTGCGTGGAGGGGAGTAGAGTGAGATGAGAGGGGAGAGGTAGGAGAGTGTGTGGAGGGGAGTAGAGTGAGATGAGAGGGGAGAGGCAGGAGAGTGCGTGGAGGGGAGTAGAGTGAGATGAGAGGGGAGAGCTAGTAGAGTGCGTGGAGTGAGATGAGAGGGGACAGGTAGGAGAGTGTGTGGAGGGGAGTAGAGTGAGATGAGAGGGGAGAGGTAGGAGAGTGCGTGGACGGGAGTAGAGTGAGATGAGAGGGTAGAGGTAGGAGAGTGTGTGGAGGGGAGTAGTGAGATGAGAGGGGAGAGGCAGGAGAGTGCGTGGAGGGGAGTAGAGTGAGACGAGAGGGGAGAGGCAGGAGAGTGCGTGGAGGGGAGTAGAGTGAGATGAGAGGGGAGAGGCAGGAGAGTGCGTGGAGGGGAGTAGAGTGAGATGAGAGGGGAGAGGCAGGAGAGTGCGTGGAGGGGAGTAGAGTGAGATGAGAGGGGAGAGCTAGTAGAGTGCGTGGAGAGGAGTAGAGTGAGACGAGAGGGAAGAGGTAGGAGTGTGCGTGGATGGGAGCAGAGTGAGATGAGAGGGGAGAGGTAGGAGAGTTCGTGGAGGGGAGTAGAGTGAGATGAGAGGGGAGAGGCAGGAGAGTGCGTGGACGGGAGTAGAGTGAGACAAGAGGTAGGGGAGTGCGTGGAGGGGAGTAGAGTGAGATGAGAGGGGAGAGGTAGGAGAGTGCGTGGAGGGGAGTAGAGTGAGATGAGAGGGGAGAGGCAGGAGAGTGCGTGGAGGGGAGTAGAGTGAGATGAGAGGGGAGAGCTAGTAGAGTGCGTGGAGTGAGATGAGAGGGGACAGGTAGGAGAGTGTGTGGAGGGGGAGTAGAGTGAGATGAGAGGGGAGAGGTAGGAGAGTGCGTGGACGGGAGTAGAGTGAGATGAGAGGGGAGAGGTAGGAGAGTGTGTGGAGGGGAGTAGAGTGAGATGAGAGGGGAGAGGCAGGAGAGTGCGTGGAGGGGAGTAGAGTGAGACGAGAGGGGAGAGGCAGGAGAGTGCGTGGAGGGGAGTAGAGTGAGATGAGAGGGGAGAGGCAGGAGAGTGCGTGGAGGGGAGTAGAGTGAGATGAGAGGGGAGAGGCAGGAGAGTGCGTGGAGGGGAGTAGAGTGAGATGAGAGGGGAGAGCTAGTAGAGTGCGTGGAGAGGAGTAGAGTGAGACGAGAGGGAAGAGGTAGGAGTGTGCGTGGATGGGAGCAGAGTGAGATGAGAGGGGAGAAGTAGGCAGGGGCAAGTCCATGGAGGATCTTGTGGACCGTGCATGCGACCTTGAAATTGAGCCGGGATTGGATTAAGAGCCAGTGGAGGGATTGAAGGATTGGGGTGATGTGGTTTCATTTCCGTCAGGGGATCAGGAGCCTGGCAGCAGCATTTGAATTGTCTGCAGTTTGGAGATGAGAAGAATGTGGAGGACATTGAGAAAGGATATGTGCGAAGAGAACAAGGACGTAGGATAAATGACAACCTCAAGGCTTCGCATTGCTAAAAAGTATATATATATTATTGCGTACCTGCCTTGTGCTGTTATAACTGCATTTGCTGTGACATTTGCCAGGGCACTCAAGCGTAGTGTGGCTCCCACAGTGCACCTCACCTTGGGTCTAGGCAGCTTCCCGCCACAGGAACCGGCTCCAGCTTGATGTTCTTCTTGCCGTAACAGCGGTACATGCTGCACACGCGGTGCACAAACGATGCTTTTATTTTCTGCAGTCACATGTGATGACATCATCGGGGAGAGGGAGGGGCGTGCAGATGACTTGTGCCGTAGAGAGATGACGTCACACGAATGACATCACGTCCTTGGACGCCACGGATATATTTTTCAGTGCTGGTATTAATCATCAAGTTTTGGGCAACCCTTTGACCAATTTGGCCAATTCTCTCGAGGTTACGTCACTAATAGTAACACATCTATCTATATAAAGCATTTAGTTACTGTTGGATATTTGCAATCGTTACCGTGCCAACTCCAATCTATGGACAGACGCAGACGGGCAGAGCTAAATTCATTTACGTTTTAAATCTTGGTTGGAAAGTGTTAAATTCAGCATCGAAATGTAAATAAAAAAAATCCAAAATGAAAACAAAACAATGTAGGCAGTGAAGAAGTAAATACAGCTATGATTGTATTATTGTGAATGGCGCTATATTCATTCGTTTGATAAATAAGTCGGCTCAGTACCGGGTCACATAGACGGTCTCTTCCACCGTGAAGAAACCGCTGGGGCTGCCCCCTTCGATGTAAGCCAGCTTGTTGTTAAACACCTTCAAAGGAAAACAAGCAAAAACACAATACAATAGGCCGTCTTTATGTACCATTGTATACACGCACGTACTCTAATACCCATTCCTCTTTTCCGAAGTTCGACTGACTGATTGTACGTTGACGATGGCCAGAAAAAAAAAGCCTTTGTTAAACACCTTCAAAGGAAAACAAGCAAAAACACAATACAATAGGCCGTCTTTATGTACCATTTTATAAACGCACGTACTCTAATACCCATTCCTCTTTTCCGAAGTCCGACTGACTGATTGTACGTTGACGATGGCCAGAAAAAAAAACTTTGTTAAACACCACTTGTTCACGTGGTTGGTTGGCCTCTGCATTTCTCACGATTCAGTTCCCAGTGATCTTTGATGAAATATAATTTGTGTGCTGGTGCAAGGTGCATTGTTACTGGTGAGGCCTTCATCCAGCAGTGGATTGATTATCACTGATGATGACTGTAACATTATAGAATGTTGAAAATGGTTGGACTACACTAATATATATCAACAGCAGAGCCAAGGGAAAACAATTACAGATAATTTCCACGTAGAAATACCAAGTGCATGCATTGCTCTGGCTATTTATAATCTGCTCATTCACACTCAATTAGCACGTGGACAGAAATACAAAAGTACACTCAGTTCAGTTACTCTTTAGGACAGTTGCTGCCTTTGCGCTTGCAAGTAAATTCACCCTGCAAGCACCAGCTCTCTTCAGACATAATAAGCTAGCAGAGTTTTTCATCTGGTTAGTAATTGGATGGTTGACTGCCTGGGAATTGGCAGGCGTTTTAGGGCTTGGGCTGCAAGGATGCCGGGAGTTGCAAATTCTGCAACGGACTAAATGCATTTGTGCAGAGCTTGAAACGTGACCCCTCGAATGAATTCATTAATTAATGGATTTCCCTACGTACTCTGGTTTCCTACCACATGCCAAAGTATCATTGACGGTAGTTGCCAACCAAACCCAATGCAAAACCCTCCTGGAAAAAAAGTCTCAACACTCAGGGATAAATAAATGTCATTTGTATCTATATTCTTGGTTCTTTCGGTAAAGTCACATAGAAGGGAAATAATAAAATAATACAAATATAAAACAATAAAAATTCTCACGACGTTTCGACTGCAACACAAGCAATCATCATCAGGTGTGATTGCTTGTGTTACAGTCGAAACATCGTGAGAATTTTTATTGTTTTATATTTGTATTATTTTATTATTTCCCTTCTACGTGACTTTAACGAAAGAACCAAAAATATGAATCCCTGCAATCCGTGCCCTATACAAGTTTACGGACAGCAGTCTGGAGGGCCTGGAGGGCTGCTAGGGCATGGGTTTGGTTCTGAAGGCCCTGTGGGGTCCACACCTCCCCTCTTAATGAATTTTGCATGCGGGCGCTTCCACGCCTTTGGCCCGCGGCCCTGGACGAGGCGGCAACGTGACAACACAACGGCGAAGCGAGACGTGGAGAGGGCACGCGGACGTACGGCGCAGAATTCGGGGCTCTCGTCGCCCATCTCCTCGCGCAGCGTGCGGCACTTGGCGCCGAGGAAGTTGCGCAGGTTGACGGCGTGGATGGCGGCGCAAGCTTTCTTGTCGAGCGTGCACTCGCTGCCGATCCAGTAGAAGATCTGCCACGCCTGGTCCGACACCTCGCGCGACGAGAACGTCTGCGGCAGACGTCGACGCGGCCATTCAAACCCTTGCGGTATTCTCGCCACCCGCCATGTCCAACCAACTCACTCGCCCCACTCCCTCCCCCCCCCCCCCCGCTCTCTCTCCTCTCTCTGTCATCGTTAAATAAATGAAAACTCTCCATTTAAAGCTTTCGTGACTGCAGGGATTCATCTTCTTGGTTCTTTCGGTAAAGTCACGTAGAAGGGAAGTAATAAAATAATAAAAATAAAACATAATAAAATAATTCTCACGACGTTTCTGCCACAACGCAAGCAGCCGTCCTCAGGTGAAAACCAGGTCTGTTTTATTACTTCCCTTCTACATGACTTTACCGAAAGAACCAAGAAGATGAAAACTCTCCAGTGTGCGACTGTGGTCATCCAGAACATACCATACGCAATGCCCGATCCACAAATACCAACGAGACATCGCAGCGATACACTCCGCTGCTCCTGCCGCTGTTGCCTAGCTTGACCACCTGAATGTGAAATTGAAGTTGCTGCTCTGCATCTACACCAGCCGTGCAAAAGAAGAGGATTGAAGTGTGAGGCTTTCCTAGAGGCTGGCTTGCCGGCTGGCTTCCTGGGATGTTTTCTACCACGACAGCAAATTGATAGGCTTCTTGCCTTTCAAAATACTGCATGCCAGTAATGCTGCGTGCCAGTACTGAAGCAGGAGTTTGCCGTAAAGACTCAGCGAGATGTTTTATGCATGTATGTTGAACTTCTTTTGCGCCATACGTCGCCAACCGTGCTAATCAGAGGTGCGGGGGAAATAACAACAAACTAAACGCAAAAAGTAGTTCCAAAAGCAGTCCTGTTATGCAGGACTATATCGTTGTGTGGTAGTTTAATTGATAAACCTAAACATTTACAGTTATTTATAACACTTTGTCAAATCCACTACTGAAGGTATCCCCCATTCTACGTCGGTCATGGGGTTGGATGTCAACCTCGCATGAAACAGTGGCGTTGTTTGTTAATGCAGGTTGGTTGGTGATGGGGTGGCGGGAAGGGAGTCACAACAAGTTCAAATATCTCTCTCGACAGACTAACATTAGCCGTGGCCGGGAATCGAACTCAGGCCGCCGGGCTCATAGTGTGGTACACGCTAGCTTGCAACAAACCCCGCTCCAACGCCCCACCCCCCCATTCCCTTGTACACTCTTAGCTACAGGACCTCCCCTTAGTCCGAACTGCCACCGAGATGTACGGATAATGCCGCCACTCACCTTGAGCACAATGTAGCAGTCGGCCTCGTAGAACTTCCCGTGCATGTTGTCGTCCACGGGCGTCGGATAGAAGTTGTCGATCTGCCACATTTCCACGCCGGGACGGCCGCCCACGCCCTCGATGAAGAGGTTGGAGTAGTCGATCTGCGGCTTCTCCAGCCCCTCGTCCCATCGCCGCGCCTTCAGGTCCGAGCAGCCCAGCTCGCCCATCTCTTGCTGCGCACCACAGCAGAGACAGCAGCGACCGTCCTCTCTTTAGCCTGTTGATGACGATAATTGTTGTTCGGGTGCTCGCGTGTGTGGTATTGTCGCGGTACGCCTTACGACAATAGGGGATAATCAGGAAGGCGCTAGCTATGTTTCACAGTAGTTGGGGGGGGGGGGGGATGTTGCTATTTGTAATCCCATTTGGGTAATTTTCTCGTCGTTTTTCTAACTTGGATCATGATGCTGGCACACAATGCATAATGAAGGTTTTGTTTGGGTTAGATCGCGTAAATATAAATGTGTCGTTAAACCCGCCACCACCCAACACAGTCAATTTGTAATGTTTGTCGAGTAAACAAAACGTGCCAATTAGTTACGACTGCAGCACATTGGTGTTGGAGAGTACATCCACAACATTTGCAATTCGAGAATGACGTTTCGCTAGTGATGACAACGAGCTGCCTCAGGCGATGGCCAGAATTGTGAATAAGTCCTCCTGTTTTGGTCTTAAATAGAGTCAAGATAATGTCAGTAGTGTAAGCCGATCAGGTGTGTGAACACACAACGGCCTACTCTTTTTGAACGGTATCACAGGATCTTTGATATCCACTGTGAGGTAGCCGACCCGTATTTCTACGGTTATTTACCCAGGCCGGCCTGCCACATTGAAACCGCTACACCTCTGCAACAAGCGAAAAACGCACCGGGGCACTGGGTCACGTCACGAAGATAACGTTTCAGCAATAACCGATTGCGGTCGGCACAACAAATGGAACGACGAATCTCCAGCGCAGCACGAGATCATCGATTAGGGGTCCAAATCTATCGATAGGCGGTTTATAAGCGTCACGGATGTTGATCGGTTGCCACCGATGTGTTGGATCGGGACTGCAGTGTAAAGCGTGCACAAAGAACGTACAGTAGAATGTCACATGTCCGACCGTCACATTTCTACCCTGGCCAATGACCCTCCCCACACCCGGTGCAGTATTTGTACACGGTACCTTTTGACACAGTAATGTATTCTTAATCTCGAGAACATTAGATGACCTCCCATGTACTGTAAATAATTTCCCCATGTTTGTCAAGGTAACCTATCTGTGCATTGTGTAACTGTCATTTTACAGTTATATAGATATTCACATATCTGACCATTTCACACAGCTGCCTATACATCAGTACCCAGAGAGTCGGATATGCGACCTTGTACCTTATATAAGATGTACAATAAAACGTGTGTGATGCATAATGAAAGAGCATACGACCGTGACAACACACGGAGAAAGCACATACGACACACGTACGACAACAGCAGCGCGCTTAGCGTCAACACGATGGAGACCTGGGGTATAAATGTAACCCAAGATGCAGGTTACGCAGGATGACGCTCTTGACTGGTTACCTAAACTCGATCTACCCTTGTGTATCTCCATACGACGCAAGAATGGTCAGTAAAATATCAACGTTGTAACATTACCGCATTCAACCCCCATGTGGATTTCCCTATTCCTGTACAAATGGGAAACGGCACTCACTGTACATCGCCAAGAAGTGGTGCATTTCAGGATTGAAATCGAACCGTTTTCATCCAACAGTAAAGAGGAACTAATGATAGTTCCCATTACAAAAAAACGATTAATCGCCTTATCTAATACGGAAAACGTCAAAACCCGCCTTTCCCTATTCCCGTTTTGCACGTGCATCAAACATCTGTCGGGTCGGAAAAGTTACCAGAAAAAGTACGCAACATTTCTCTGCCGTATCGCTTACCAACGAAGCACCACTACGATAAGAGGCGCGAAATCACACAAAAAAAACTTCACTCAACGTCACGCGTCAAATAACGGCAGTCTCTTCTATAAAGCAAACAAATGCACACCACCGTACCTCCTATGATGCCTGCATGGCCTGCCCGATGGCCGCATGTCGCATGGCGCACTGTCGTTGGTGGCAGCCCTTAAAGTAACTCTAACTGCCTCCCATTCCCACCGCGGCCGGGGGGAGGCAGGGGGGGTAGGAGTGCCAAGTGGTCATGTTACAAAAAAGATATTTTCGTTCCATAGGTAGCTGCCGGCTTGGCCATGAAAACAAGGCTCGGTTACTCAGGCGCACACCACGCTTCTTGCAGGGATTTTTTTCCCCCTTTTTATCAGTTCGGCTTCTTCAACGGCCGATGTGACACAATGTGATGTTTGAGCTCCATCCAGCTGGGCCGTGAAGTTTCCGAGACGACAAAACCGGGGCCAAAGACCACAGGGAAGACATCGCGCTTTGAAACGCTCAATGAGGCGCGAGGGGAAACGCATGGATTGGCAAACACGCCCGAGTCAGAAACATTACTGGCATGACAGTATTATGAACGAGTTGGAATGGAACATTGCTATAAGGGACGTTAAGTGATAAACAAAGCCCACTGACACATGGGCAGCAGAGAGTGGGAAATGACAACTGACACCAGGTATGGATTACAGCACAAAGGCAATGGCTCATTTATGTGATGCCCAAAAAGCAGATTAGATCCCAGCTTACACTTGTTATCAAAATGAAATAAAGTTTTACAGAAGAGTGACCACATCTGAGAAGAAGCAGTGACTCCCCCTTGCTGAAACCAAGGGAAAACTATCCCCTCGTTATCTCCGATAGCAAAATTAGATTACGCCGTAACTGCGGCCAAAGTGGGAGAAAGTAAGTGTCTTCCCTGATCGCGGGTTCAAGACAGCATCCCTCGTCTCAGTCCACGCAAGTAAATGCCCCCTCAAGCCAAATAAGTTAATGCACTTTGGCATCTCAAAGCAGCGAGCAGACGGACTGTGTCAAGTTCACGTTAAATTCGCTACACCGTTGGACGTGTGACAGGGTGCCGCAAACCTTGGCCCAGTGCTGCCCCCCCCGCCCAAACCGTGACCTTTCACCCGGGCCCTGACACTTACGTCCATGCGGCGACTCTTTTCCTGCGCCACGTCCGTCATGCCCTGCAGCACCTGCTTGGCCTGGTCCTCCTCCGTCGAGTCCAGGGGCCTCCGGAGGCGCATCTTGCGTGCTATCACATCCTTGGTGCTGCCCCCTCCGGGCACTGTGGTATTGTTGGGAGAAGAGGGGTCACGCTCAGTCGTGAGAGGGGTCACGCTCAGTCGTGAGAGGGGTCACGCTCAGTCGTGAAAGGGGTCACGCTCAGTCGTGAGGCCTCCCCCAGAGGTCGCAACCGGGTACCCGATACCCGTACCCTACCCGATACCCGGCTACCCGTACCCGGCCGGGTACGGGTACCCGTTTGCACCCTTGGTGCGGCCGGGTACGGGTAAGCCGTGAGTCACTGGTGAGTAACTGTCTGTCACTCATTTCCCAAAGTCTTGTCTCTTCTCACAATTCAAGTTCCTAGAATCAACCCACGCGCGCCTGCAACATGGCTTCATCCCAGAGGTCGCAATCGGGTACCCGATACCCGTACCCTACCCGTACCCGGCCGGGTACCTGGCCGGGTACGGGTAGGGTACGGGTACGGCCGGGTACGGGTACCCGTTTGCGACCGTGGTACAGCCGGGTACGGGTAAGGAATCAAAACCCGTTTGCGACCTCTGGCCTCCCCCCTCCCCTCATTCATGGGGTTTTCACTCTCGAGGTGAATAATGCTCATGGGCTTGAGCCCAACTAAACACTTGAACGTCGTGGCAGTCTTAAAATATTAATAAACGTTATGTGTGCACAGGCTGTCAAACGCGCCCTGCTGCACATACAAACTTTAAAATGGAATGAGGTACTATTTTAAACCTGCTCGCAGCAAATTTGGACCGCGACGCTTGAAGAGACAAGTTTAAGCTGCACTCGTAGGAAGCCCATCTGCTAATACGAGGATAACGTTTCATCTTATTCAGAATACATTTATGAGCGAAAATATTAAACAAGTTCTCGATATTCTTGAGTTTGCAAATGTTCTGAATTAAAATCGCATTTCAGTTTACAACCTGGACCACGGTGAGTAATGACCCATGAATACCACTCTTCCACACAAACACAACTCAGAGAGACAAATATAAAACACAAGCAAGCACAGCAGATATACCAAACTTTCAGACACTAAAGTTGTGTGTTCATGATCACCCTGGCTATACGGACATGTAAGCACATCTGCACACATCTGAAAAGACTTCGAACAACAACCACCATTTGCCACCACGCCACCTGTATCAGGCCATATGTACTTTGAGGCGACATGAAGTATCAAAAGGCTCACAGGAGTTAACCGAAATGACTGCCAAATGCACCGGCTGCATTCGCCACTGTGCCACCTTGCTGTTTTTAAAGCTGCCCGGCACTCTGCTTGTTCCGTGAACTCCTCCACTTGCTTCACATTACTTCTAGAGGAAGGCTACTTTCAACTGACCAGTGTCATCTTTGATGAGGCTTCTCAATAGGAGGACACGACTGGTACCAGTCATCAGCAAGTCCACTCAGCTCCAGGTCCTCCGGTACCACATCAGCCAATCTAGTCTCTCGACTGAGGTGCATCCATTTAGTCTATACTATTCAGCCAAACAGAAGCTGCTTAAGCATGCAGTGGCTGGGCATGCGAGCTACAAGACCCACCCGGCACAATCTTGCCTGCCAGCGGAGCGCATTGAAGCAAAATAATGGTCGGTGCATCTTTCAGCGGCTTTTGGCTGGCCATCGAACAAAGATGGTCACGGCATCGCATGCTGTCAGATGCACTTCCGAAGCCATCTGGAATGCTCTTCCTTCTGATATTAGGAAGCCACTGGAGCTATGCACTTCCAAATCTATATTGAAAGATTATTTTTTTTAGAACTGCTTTTTTGTGTTTAGTTTATTGTCCTTCCCTAGCATCTCTGATTAGCAGGATTGGCTTCATACAGTGAAAATGAAGTTCAACATATGTACATACATTATGGATGACAACTCAATGGTCAGTAGACAAATCAGCTCTGCAGTGTATCCTGGTGTCAAGGACATGGACTAGCATTCGCGATTCCGCCAATACGTGTTCTTTCTCATAACCGGGCAGGCACCCACGTCGTTGTGCGGGATGCACCGAAGATGGAAGGGCACGTCGATAACAACGCACAGAGGAGACCTCAACACGCACCAGCAGCAGCAGCAGCCACCGCAGCGGCAGATGCCCCGGCCTGACGGAGCTGGTTCTGCAGCGAGAAGTCAATGTTGTACCACTCGGCCGAACGATCCATTGGCTTAGGAGGCATCACCAGCTTAGGGTTGTCCCTCACATCCAGAACCTGTGATGGCAAAACAGGGAAAAAGCAGTCCAACAAGCGAGTCTGCTAACATGCGCCGTCTCGTTTAGGAAACGGTGTTCAAGTACAGTGCCCCGTCGAGATATGTTCAGCGATCGGCAATGGTGGAGCCAGGATTTTCAGGTAGGGGGGCAACACCTACAGCAATGAAATATAATAGTTGTTAGTAAGTAAGGACTTGTCCCTTGCTTTTTATTCGACGCGTGTGCGGTGATGGCGCAGCCATCAATTGAGGGTTGAATTCGAACCGTGTGTGATCAGCATCGCGCTCGCTGAAGGTGTTTGCCTTCAGGGAAGTCGTGTACTGCATACGCAACTGCGCACAATTCTGAGTCACTTATAACTGCTTTGCCATTACTTATTGCCATGCCAATATGGACTCAGACTATTGTCCTATCATCTCATAGAGTCCCTGGCACGTAATAATATGCTACACAGTGGCAGTGGGGGTCGCAAAATGCCAATTTATTACTAATAAACCCCAAAGATCCGATTGAAATTAGGGATTTCGATCGGATCATTGGGGGGACACGTGCCCCCCCCCCCTGCCTCCGCCAGTAGCAATCGGATTCGTGAACGTCAGCATCAGCACCAATTAACATCACACTCATCACGTTTAGAATCAGCAGTGAAGAAAGGCATTTGGGGTCTCAATCATACCTCAAGCAGATGTAAGAAGTGGACCGTTTCAGGCAACGTCACGAGGCAGTTCTTATTCAAAATAAGTTTCTTCAGTTTTCTGCACCTAAAAACAAAAACGATCGACAATTTTCCAGCACTTACAGTGGAACAATAACTTTGTAGGATCTTCCTGAATCTCCATTAGGCGAGCTGATGATGCTGAACAAAAGCTGAAACTCTACAATGCGTTGGTAAAGCTAAGACATCCTCTTCCACATGCAATCTCCGTTAATCGTCGAATCTTAAAAAAAGCTTTCCATTTCAAACAGTCCCATTGGCAAGTTGGATCATCATTAAGCATTTGCAGTAATCTCCGTATTTTCAGTTATTATCTCTCTCACCTGCAGAGGCCTTCTGGGATAAGCTCCAGGCTGTTATTGGCGGCACTAAATTGCTCCAGGTTTTGCAGTTTGCCAATCCCGGATGGGATGCCCTCAAAGTTAAGACTGTTGGAGTTGATGAAGAGTTTTCTGAGTTTGGATAACTTGCACACAGCCATCTGATCACACGACAAGGAAGGAGGGAGTGGATACCAATGTGAGGGACACATGAGTGAAATTCAAGGAAGTTGTAACACAAAAACAAGGGACATATCGTAAAGACAAAAGCTTAACACGTACATTTTTAGCAGACAATACTATGATTCATAATTGATGTTTGTGTTAGGCCACATATTGATTTGACTGAAGTTATGTTGTGAAGATGCTCCACCACCAAACACAGCCAAACCAATTATCACGAGTATAAACTTCTAACGAGCAATTATTATTGTTTCAGCCGACAGGTAAGTTGAAGAACAATATTCACAATCGCTAAATTTGGTTGGCGAGAATGGTTCTTCACCTTACCGACTAAGCTGAAACAACAATAATTGAACCTAAACAATAAGCGGCTGTATTCAATGTTTGTACACGTGAACAATCGATTTGTTTGGCCGTGTCGGGCGGTGGAGGGATTTAACGACACAAATTTGGTCACACCATTACATGGCCTAAACGAGAAATAAATTTTGAATCAAGATTTGTTTTGTCAACCGAATCTTCTTTAATGTATTTGCAATGCAGTGCGCGTGTGTATACGTTCGCTCCTCACAGGCAACATAACGAGTTTATTCCGAGATAGGTTGAGAGTCTCCATGTTGGTCCAGTGGTCCATGCAGAGAGACATCTCGGAGATTTGGTTGTCGCTCAGATTTAGACGCCGGAGAGTCGACAGGGCGTAAAGACACTCGGGGATGCTGGGCATGTCGTTACACGACAGGTCCACATCTGGACGATGGAAACAGAACGGCGCTTATGAGATTCACATGGAAATTACTAGAAAGGTAAAGATGATCCCATCGCGCAGATCAAGTAACCGTTATAGCACTCACAATCGTAATATATAACTGCTGCGTAATAATAATAATAATGTGTTGTTAAACCTATTTGTTTAAATTTATTATGGGTAATATTGGTCGCGAAATCCTACGTATATATAACTGTGTGTTGGTCAAACATGCCAATGCTAAGTTACCTGCAAATTACTCAACTGGAATTTCACGGACAAACATCACCCCCCCCTACTGTGAAAATCCGACAGGACTCTTCCAAGACAAGAGTCTGAAAACTCAGTGAGACTTTCCTGGGTAAACAAGCGTCATTATAATTAACGAAAGCAACCGGACAGAACGGGGGCAAAAGTGTATGTCTGTGAAACTAGATAATGTATGTGTGTATCTTGAACTTCTTTAGCACCGTACTTAGCCAATCGTGCTAATCGGAGGTGCGGGGGAAAGGACAACAAACTCAACACAAAAATCAGTTTTAAAGAACTCAGTTTTCAATGATGATGGCGATTATATTTGTAGCAATGTGCATGCAAGAGCAAGGCTGTAGTAACCTGTCAGGTGGCTTAGTGCATCCAGCGACGCGGGCATGTTGTTCGGAGACCGCTGTGTGTTCCGCAAGTGCAGAGTCTGCAGTTTCGTCATGACAGGCAATTGCCTGCATTACCCACGTTCAACCAAATCGGAAGACGAGCCAACGTCAAAAGAAAAATTGTAAATGTCAAGCAAAACAGTCCAAACACCCAACGTTCTCCTATATTAGACTTAACGTGGTAATGCCTCCTTCACCATCATATAAAATGTAAACATGTAAACGTTGGGTTGACAATGATTGTACTAAAAATATATATAGAATAAGGAACTGGACAGGTAAATGACTGAATTTATTTTAAAATGCACAAGCTTCCTCTCCCTGTGACGCAAATCCCCCCATTTGGTAAACCATCTTCAAATGCGATTGCATTTAGACATTCTATAAATACACATTGTATTGTGCAATACGGATTACGCGAATTATGAAATCCATACGGAGATGAAAATTACACCAATCAAACAAAGTGGCTTAGCGGAAGCGGTGCCGAGTAAACGGTGCTCGAGATGCGATGCTCTCACCGGAGCTGGGCGTGCTGCAGCGGATTGTTGTTGAGGATGAGGGTCTGCAGGTGCACGAGGCGCCGCATCTGTGGGGGAAGACTCTGCAGGCGGTTGTTGCTCAGGTCCAGGTACAGGAGGTCCGTGATGTTGATGAACAGCTGGCTGTGCAGCGACGGCCCAATACTACAAGAACCATTAATCATCAACAGCAGCAGCAATGGTATTCATATTCTTGGTTCTTTCGGTAAAGTCACGTAGGAAGGAAATAATAAAATAATACAAATAAAACGGTAAAATTCTCACGACGTTTTGATTGCGACACAAGCAATCCATCATCAGGTGTGAAAAACCACAGCAAGAAATTTTGAAAAAAGCAGCAATGATAAAAATAACAATAAGCAATGCCAGCCATGACTGTAAACATTTTAAAGTACTGTTGTTTTTTAGTGTGTGTGTGAACACCGAGCACGTTTGTTAATCATTGAGGCATTTTAAACTGCTTTTTGTATTTACTATAACTTATCATCACGAGCATAGATAAAGCAAGGATAGCCACGAGAAATGTACTTCTAAATTGATCTCTGCAATGGAAGCACTTTTTCCTAAAACGTGATGCTACTAAATATTTTTGGTTATGAGGCAGAGTTAATCAAGATGGTTTATTTACTTCTGTGGTTGCTCACTACTATTACCAGTCACCCGTGTTTTTGTTGCGGAGTAAGACCATACCTGAAAATTGGTTTTTTACCCTTCTATCTGGCAACAAAACTGACACCTTTTTTACAAGGAGTCATGTTTGCATAGACCACAATACCTGCAGTCATAATGCAAACAAAAAACATAACTCTGATAATGTGCACTGTCCTTGAAGTTGATTGGTCCACACCCGAGACAGCTTTCCTTAGAGCCTAGTCTCACATGGGTTGGACCATATGACGTCAAAAGGCGCGCAACTCAAAGACAATGCACCATCAGAGTATGAGAGCTCGGGGTAAGCATTTACACCATTGGAACCTCATTTGCCAGACTAGGCTCTAAGGAAAGCTGTCTTGGGTGTGGACCAATCAACTTCAAGGACAGTGCACATTATCAGAGTTATGTTTTTTGTTTGCATTATGACTGCAGGTATTGTGGTCTATGCAAACATGACTCCTTGTAAAAAAGGTGTCAGTTTTGTTGCCAGATAGAAGGGTAAAAAACCAATTATCATATTTTTACTGGCAAATGAGGTTCCAATGGTGTAATACCATACCTGTTGTGGCTTAGATTGAGGACGAGCATGTTGTGCGCTTTATCCAGCTCCCGCGGGATCTCCGTCAGCTGGTTGTGGCTCAGGTCCTTTGTGTGACAAACACGGCTTTATAATACAATTCTGATCATCGGCTGTTACCGTTTAACCAAACACAACAATCAATTACAATTACCGAAGAAAATAGCTATAATAATAACTTGGTATTTACTGACTTTCCACATTCTATCTTACATTTCATGTGAAAATTAAGATGTTGACCCTTAGGAATCACTATTTGTTGGCAGCCTCTCTGCTGTATGCAGCGCTTGGGCGAGCACCCGCTGTCGTGGGCCATGAACACGTGAGGGCCTTGACTCACCAGGACAGAAAGGTCCTCCAGCTGAAAGATGTCATTGGGAACGCCGCTGTTCTTCAGGTTGTTAGCGCGAGCAACAATGGCCTGCAGAAATACCAAAACCAGATTTAACCGAGACAGTGACACAAACCGTCTGGCATAGTTGACATTGTATGAATGTTAACGGAAGTAGTTGGGAACTATGCCGTAACGTTCCAAACTAAATGTTTCTTTTTATTCTGATGTAATTTCTTGAATTGTAATGTTTTAAAGGCAAAAAAACAAACCCGGAGACAAGGCAGGTGTGAAATCTCTCCATGGAGGGTGTTGATGCTGTTGTGGCTCACAGACAAGTACTCCTAATGCAGAAAGCAGAACAAATATTCAGCATTGACAACTGCTGAACATAGCAGTTCGGATAAATACATTAGTTCCCATAGACCCATCCCAGCCAACTGGTACAAGTCCCTCTCCACTGTGTTTTCGGGTTGTTACCGCCTCTTGTTTGGCACTGATGTCCCCAAGTTTGACTCATCGTGCTGGGAGCTTGTTCAGGAACTGAAGAAGCTCTCAGCACGAATAGCAAAACTTCAGACATCACACCCAGCAACTCGCGATACAACCTGAACATACATCGGACAGCTGCATGGCACAACTGTGACAACCTGCAGTGGTTGCAAAAAAACCAAGAACTACTTTAACCCGTTAATATTGTACAACATGCTTAAGGAAATAAAATGATGGCAGACCAGCTTCTCCAGTTTTCCCAGCTCTTCCGGCAGGTAACACAGTCCCGTGTGGTTGAGCTTCAGCCACCGAAGACTGCTCATGTCCTCCACACTCTCAGGAAAGTAGCCACCCTGAATGGAAAAGAAACGAGTCAGTAAAATGCATAACAGTTGAAAAGGTACTTTAAATTCCAGTGAAATACTTACACAATTATTTTCAATATCATAATTTGTAGGAGTATGCAATTATATGCTAAAGGTGCAATACCAATTAGAATTCAACATTTTTAAAGTGCTTGCAAATAAACGGTGAACCTTATTTATTAATTCATTCAGTAATTCAGTATCTCAAGTCTCCAATCAAATGAAGGAAATGCACATGAATTGGCTCTCATCTGGTTTAGCGAACGACATCAATCTAGAGAAAATATCATTCTCAAAAGGATCTAAACCTGCTGCTTTACGGACAGCTTCATAGTGAATCTCAATGAGATTTCACAGAGTGACAGCAATAGTAATGTTTGTCACATAAACAAAACATGCCAATTCATTACTAGTTCAGCACACCGGTGTGTGTTGGAGAGTAAACGCACAACATTTACAATTCGAGTACGACGTTTCGCCAGTACAATTACAACTAGCATCATCAGGCGGACAGCCAGAGTTGGCGGGTTTAACAACAAATCTATATTTACGCGATCTAACCAAAAAACATCTATTGTGGATGTTGGTGGCGAAAGCTTAGGTGCAGGGTTGTCAACAGCACAAAGGCCGTCTGAAGGCGAATGCCTCCCATTGGAAATTCGCTTGGTTAAAGGGTGTCTAAATAAACCATTTATGGTCCCCGTACTAGGGATTTCACGTCATTAAAAGTAATTAATCCGACAAAAGGGGTTCCGTGCTCTTACTCAAAATTGCTTCACGTAAAAAGTAGACTACCTGTTGGGGGGACGGGGAGGTAACGTTGGAAAAATTCCAATCACATACCTGTCAACCCCCTATCAGTGCCTACCTTTTTAAAGACCAATTTAGACCTCATTGGCCACCCAGTGCCCTTATAAATCTGAACGTTCATCCATCAAAGTCCCATCACAAGAGAGAAAGACAAATAGATTTGTTTTTGACTTAAAACTTTCGTGACTGCTGGAATTATAATTCTATGGTTCTTTCGGTAAAGTCACGTAGATAGAAAACAAATAGTAACAAAAATTATTCACTTTATTTTTATTTTATTGTTATTATTTTTTCTATCTGCGTGACTTTACCGAAAGAACCATAGAAAATAAGATTTGTTTAGTATGTTGCCCGTATTGAAACGGCTGTACGCCGTACGGACCTGTAAACTCGATTTCCCTGCACAAGAATTACGGAGTAAACCGTACCGGTTGACAGCTGTTGCAATCACAATTTTATGTTGGTGTCTGTGGTGGGAAACGGAGAAGAGAAATCGCCACCAAGTTTTTTGGGATGATACAACCCGATAACAATGTGGAGCCGCGACGTTTTAAAAATATGGGGCCGTCCATAAATGACGTCACGCACCTGGGGGGGGGTCAGACATTTGTGACGATGTGTGGGGAGGGGGGTTTGAGAAATGTGACGTCACATCAAAATGCGCAACTTTAAATAAATATAGACAACACGTTAAACTTAATTAAATAGACTTTTTTAAATAAATGTTTTCTCCTACAACATCAGAGTGCAGCGCCACATTAAATACTCACTACAATGACAATAGTTTAAAGCGATTTGAAGCATGTTTTATTTGGGGGGGGGGCAGAGCTTGTGACGTCATATTTGAGGGGGGGTCTGACTTTTTGTGACGAAGGGGGGGGGGGTCAAAAATCGTCAAAACTCGCGTGACGTCATTTATGGACGGCCCCTATTATGTGAGGGAGGATGTGGAATACAAATATTTTATTTAAACAAAACACAACACCAGGTGCCCTGACGTCAATGCAGCGCTGTGATTGCGCGCCACATGGCGACTTTTAAAAATAAATTTTCTTCACAAATCTGGCTGTCGCCTGATGAAGCTGGTTGCAATTACTGGCGAAACGTCGTACTCACGTTCTGTTTACGTGACAGACCTTACAAATTGGCCGTGTCGGGTGTGGTGGCGCGTTTAACGACACATTCATACAATTAATAGATCCAAACCAAAAAACACAACCTGCAAATTATGGATCTAAAGTAATTAATGTTTGCCATTGAAGCAAGGCTCAACAAGAAATGAATGAAAAAATATTGAATAATATTCTTGGTTCTTTCGGTAAAGTCACGTAGAAGGGAAAAAAAAATATTGTTTCATATTTATATTATTTTGTTATTTCCCTTCTACGTGACTTTACCGAAAGAACCAAGAATATGAATCCCCGCAGTCACGAAAGCTTTGAATTTAACAAAAATAATGAATCGTTTAATTATTAAATTCGCGTCCGTCATTCAAACGCCGAACAGCTGTGGATGATAAACAACAAAGCGACCGCGGCAGCTGTCGCCTTTAACAGAGGAACAGCAGCAGCTGTAACACGAACAAACTGCGTCACTCTCGTCGCGGCTCAGCGGAATTCTCGACAATTTCATTTAACATAAACTCGCTTTTGGCCATCGTGCTCAAGCAGAGAGTCAGTCGGCAAGTGCTGCCACACACACACGCACGAGACACACTTCGACGCAATTGATTCCAACACTCCGATAGCAAATCGCGTTTATTGCCAGCATTTAAAACAAACAAACAAACACACACGTGTGTGAAGCTTTCATTGAAGCGTTTAGCGGCGAACCTTGAAGGAATTTCCGCTCAAGTCCACGCCGCGCACGAACGGCAGCACGCCGGTGGAGGCCGCCATGACTCTCGCTTCACTCCCCACCCCCTCTCGTGACGTCACGCGCGCCTGTGACGTCACGAGGGGGGAAAACTACGGCGCGAATGTGACGTCACTCGGCACAAAGTTGCGGCGGTGCCTCCGGCTGACGTCACGGGCTGCGCCGCAATACAATGGTGACGTCACGACGTCCATCTGTACAGAGACGAAGAATATAAATTATTTTACAGGAGGAATCCGATTAGCTGTAAAGCTCTTTTTCACAGATGCCCGGAAGAGATGGGTCAAAACGTATACAACAATAACCTAAACAATCTAGACGCAATCAAAATAATTTATATTAATAAATAAATAAAATAAAATCTGTCGATAAAAATTTAAATTTAACCGTACACTCAATGACGTCACGCGGCGCAATCGGCGAATTACGTCACAACAAAGTAAAACATGAATAACCGTGCTCTTGAATTTCACGCATCGGATAAGCCGCTAGGGTCGCCGTTCGCCAATCAGCTGACGGTACCGGCCGAAGCGCTCTGTGAAATGTAACGCCTCGCCCACCCCCCCCCCCCGCTAAAAGCCAATCAGCTGGCGATGCCGGCCTAAGCGCTCTGTGAAATGTAACGCCTCGCCCACCCCCCCCCCCCCGCTAAAAGCCAATCAGCTGGCGATGCCGGCCTAAGCGCTCTGTGAAATGTAACGCCTCGCCCCCCCCTACCAAAAGTCAATCAGCTGGCGGTGCCGGCCGAAGAGTAGGCCACGTGCGGGAGTCGTCGTCTTTCATCCCTTCCCTCCTCCTCCTCCCTCCTCCTCCCCTCCCCGTGCTCCGTAACAACAACAACAAAACACAGCGGGGTTGTTGTAAACCTCCCGGGGGGAGGGGTGGTTGCTCGCGGATGTTTGTGTTTGTTTAAACCGTTCCGACGCTCTTAACTCGCGCCGGCACGATGACTTTAACCACGTAGGCTGTATAATTCTTCCCAACACGCACCCTCGGTCGAGCTCAACGTTGGTAACCACTGAATGGAGCAGCACCACACACACGTATTTGTTTCCGTGACGAGCCCCCGACCAAGTTGGAGCTGTGTCCGGGAGTTGGCGGCGGTGGTGACGGGTTTAACGACGAAAAAGCCATCGGCGCAATAGATTGAGATATCTATATAGATTGAGAGATATATATAAATTGAGGCGAGTTAACGAACAATGACGGCTCTGCGATCGATCGCGGCTCACTTGAGAGTCGCCCTCGCCCTGCGGCGGGCGACTCGAGCGAGCCGGCGTGGACTTTGCCACCGACCCGGTTCGAACCCAGCGCCGCCACCGCGGTGGGAGTCGCGCGTGGCGCTCTTCTCGTCGCTGCGTCTGCGGGCAGCGAGCCACGTGTCCGTGCTGCCCCTGGACCCGCACGGCTACCCCGATGGCGACAGAGCATTTGTTAGGGTCTTCAGGGAACGGGGCAGTGAGCACGGCGAGGGGCTGGGTCCTGTAGAGGGCATGGGGCTGGGTCCTGGAGAGGTCATTGGGAAGGATCCTGTAGAGGTCATTGGGCAGGATCCTGTAGAGGGCATCGGGCAGGATCCTGGAGAGGTCATTGGACAGGATCCTGGAGAGGGCATCAGGCAGGGTCCTGGAAAGGTCATTGGGCAGGATCCTGGAGAGGGCATCGGGCAGGATCCTGGAGAGGTCATTGGGCAGGATCCTGGAGAGGGCATCAGGCAGGGTCCTGGAAAGGTCATTGGGCTGGGTCCTGGAAAGGTCATTGGGCAGGATCCTGTAGAGGGCATCGGGCAGGGTCCTGTAGAGGGCATCGGGCTGGGTCCTGGAAAGGTCATTGGGCAGGATCCTGGAGAGGGCATCGGGCTGGGTCCTGGAGAGGGCAGTGGAAATGGCATTGGGCAGCAGGGCGCGCCCGCTGGTCAGGGCAGTGCGTTGGGCGCACGAGGCGTAAGCGTGGACTACAGCGATTCCCACAAACGATTGCAGGTGACGGGGAGTGAGCGAGCCGTCGGTTACCAACTGGAGGTGACCGTGCCAATTAAATTTGGTAGGTGTCTTGTTTGTGCAGCGCATTTCATGATGCTGTACAGGGTGGTCCGGATGTCATTGTGACCCACATTTAATTATCTTGAATCTATTTTTAAAGTTAAGGTTTATTTTAAACAAATTAATATGCAAAGGAAAATAAATGTGAGGAATTCATTGGGGGTGGGGGGGGGTCACAAGACACCTGGACCAGCCTGGACAGGGTCATCCATATACAACAGTACTGTATAGATACCCGACTGATTTCTATTGATTCCTCAATCTTATCAAAGAGCAGATTGAACATCGCCAAAGTGATGGCCCCAAATCTCACATCGGAGTGTTGTGATACGTGTATTGAGATTGGATGGTAGACCTATAGGGGAAAGAATTCACCGTGCTGTTTTCTCTCATTCCATATTATTTTAGTACGTGGATTGGCCAGTCTTAATACACACCAGGGGGGTTATAGTGTGTGTAATGCATTACGTTGAATTGCCACCGTGAACTGAATTCGCATGATAGTCTGCTGTGGTACAAAAGTGACTTTTTTTCGTGCACCGTAACAGACAGTCCGTGGCGCCATAAATCAAAAGCTACGAAAAACTGAAAAGGTCGTAAGTTGCCCCAAGGAGGGGCCCAGCAACACTAACCAATTAGGCCCACCAGCCCAGTAACCCTAACCTAACGAGCCAACTAACAAATTGTACAAGCCCTCTCACTCACCATAACAATCAGCCACTTCAACTAGCCCTAACAAACTAGCGAATTGCCAGTAGCTCTGTCACTGACTTTAACCAAGTCGCTAGTTGACTACGAGTACCAACCAAAGCCAACGAGCCCACCAGCTACGAATACTATCCTTCACACTGAACATAAGCATATCATTAATGCCCACCCTTGCACTTGGGCAGGACCTTTTTCACATTTCGGTCGCTTTAACGTTTTTGGTGAAAAATAAATTGACTTGTGCTAAATCGGGCGTCGAGTTGACGGGTGTCTTCCAGAGTGGCGAACAATGACAATTCGGGCATTGTTGTGACCAGACTTGGATCTCGCGACCAGCGGGGATGGTGGCAGTCCACGTGGGCAGCATGGAAAGCGATGTGTGCAGCGTACGCACGGACAGAGGCGGCGTTCACTTGGCATCTATCAAGGTAATCCCCCCCTCTTCAAAAATATGGGGTTGTGTTAAAATATATATAGAGAGATATCACCAACTTTCGATTTTAAGCTTTCGTGACTGCAGGGATTTATATTCATGGTTTGTTCGGTAAAGTCACGTAGAAGGGAAATAATAAAATAATGAAAATAAAACAATAACATTCTCCCGACTTTTCGATTGCAACACAAGCAATCATCATCATCAGGTGTGAAAAGCAATCATCACCTGATGATGATGATGATTGCTTGTGTTGTAATCGAAACGTCGTGGGAATTGTATTATTTTATTATTTTCCTTCTACGTGACTTTACCGAACGAACCAAGAATATATATCACCAACTGTTTAGCAACTGTACATTGAAACATGTCATTGTGATGGCAGGGTGCAGACATCAGCGTTGAGAGCGAGCACGGAAATGTGTCAGCAGGGTCCCTGCAGGGTAACGTGAACATCCATGCCAGAGGTTGCAATGTAAGTCCCACTTGATCATCATCTGTCTCTTTACGCAATAACAAGCGTTTTCGTTTTTGTGGGTTTCTTTTATTTCACACTGGAACTGCCGTGTGTGGATGCGTTCATAGCTGTGTACTGAACTTACCCCCACATGTTGTCACTTACACACGTGTGCATTTGCCCAGTGAATATTAAGGATGTTGAACCAATTACAAGCTCAAAGTAATTCAAATGTATGGTCCAACATCAAGAGATGGGAGATGGATAAGTAAACCAAATGTTTGAAAAATTTACCAACGTCTAAATGCGGACCAAACACTTAAACATCTTAAAAGGGTGGTTTAAATGCAAAAGTAGGTAAAAGAGTATCCAGTCTATAAAAACGATGGTAAATGAAACAGTAGAAAATGACACCTGCTGTATATTTCGCGTGTGCATGTCTCTCCCCGTCGTCGCGTGTATTTTTATCCGAGTCCACCGGTTTTTCCCTCTACATTTAGAAACATGCGTTCAGAGTATTTGGCTGCTGTGAATTTCCACATGTTAAGCCACTTCGTTGAGTCGTCATGTGTGGCTAGGTCGCTTATTAAAAATAGCTATATAGCTCAATGAGCCTTACCTGGTAAAATAACAAATAGTTATATTTGATTTAAAGCTTTCGTGACTGCAGGGATTCATATTCTTGGTTCTTTCGGTAAAGTCACGTAGAAGGGAAACAATACAATAATAAAAATATAAAACAATAACCACAGCAAGAACATTTTCTTGCTGTGGGTTTCACACCTGATGATTGCTTGTGTTGCAATCGAAACGTGAGAATTGTATTTTTTATGTTTTTATTATTTTATCGTTTCCCTTCTACGTGACTTTACCGAAAGAACCAAGAAAAATAGTTTATAGTTTAGTGTAATTGTAATCGCCAAACGGGATGGTGGGTGATGGACGAGACTGGTGACGGAATGGCAGCCAAAGGAGAGAATGCAGCCAAAGGTACGACCACTGTGGAGAGGGAGCGATGATATCAGTTCATGTGTACGAGTCAGATGGTAGCAGCACAGCACTGCACTGCACTGTGAGCGATGGTGACGGTTTGGGGAGGTCTTTATCAAGCGGTGGATAGACACTTGCTGATGACGATATTGAACGAGGTTTTTCTTGCTGTTGCAGTCGGTGAACATCGATAAGCTGCAAGCGATTAAAGCGTGCGTTTCCACCAAGCGTGGTCCACTCAACGCGAAATTTATTTACGCGGAATCGTCGCAGTTCAGCTCGACTTCTGGAACTGTGAATTTGGGGAGCACGCACGGTCAGTTGAACCCATAGACTTGTTGATATTAATTTCGGAAAACGACAATTTTAATGCTGTTACCTGCCGCTTGCGGTAGTAAATGCTAACTTGGATTACAGAAAAAATCTTGTGATGCCAACAGAAAATGCGATTGGATAAAAGGACCCATAAAGTAGCAGTGCATCGCTAACAATCACAATGCTATGTATTTGCAGGAAACACAGTCGTCACTACGGACGAGGGACACATCGTCGTAGGTCAGTAATTGAACTCCGTGACAGATGTTTGTGAAGGGAGGGAGTGAAATGCCACGTCCAGCACCAGTGGGATTCCTTAAAATGGGATGTCCAGTAGGGTGACCTACCTCTGTGAAAAAGACCTTCATAGTCCATCGGATTTCTCCAAGTCTGAATAAAGATTCTGATTCTCAGCTGCAGCTCAGCAAGACAGCCATAGGGTGGCACTGCGACTGTTATGGGGTCCATGGAACCTCAATAAAAGACCACCATCACAGTAGGGGTGTGTAAAACGATAACCGGTTAAACCGATAACCGTTCTCAGAGTTGATTACTGGATCTAACAGTCACCGATTCTGGTGCAATTTCCGTCTTGTATGCACTGATTGGCAGGGTGCGATCGTACAGACCACACGACCGCCTGAGCGCATTGGTCCTCGTTTGTAAAGGTAAAAGTACAGTCCTGCATTTTCTCGCGCGCTAACGCCACTGCTGGCGGAAGGGCCTCCACTAGACGGAGCTCGAGGGAGGTAATTGGTCTACTCTTCCATTCTGGCCCAGACGTTTTGGAAGAGGTGGGCCGTATCATTGATAGTTTTTTTTATTTTTACATGTCTCCATAGGTACACATTGTTTGTGCTTTTAAAGCAGCCTAGCACCCGAACTACAGCGCCACCCTTAATCACCTAATTCTTAACAATTCAGAGTTTATAGTGGAGTCGTGCTCCGACAATGACATTTGTGTACATTTGTATATTTTGTACGTGGGTATGCGCACTTTATGCTTGTTATTTTCTGTAATATATAAAAGTACAGAGTATGCACTGTCCGGGCACTATTCAGCTTTGTAAAATGTTGTTCGGGCCAATCGTGCCACCTTTAACCCGGTTAGTCTCGTTCTTCGCCTGCAATGGTTATGCATTTGCAATTCTCATGCTCGTCGCCATGCCCCATGAGCCCAAAAAGCCAGTTGTGATGGGTGGTAGTGGTGTATTTCACTCTGTTGCCAGAGGACGGGGTGGCAATCACGCAAGCTCGCGATTTGCAGACAGAAAACAGGTTGCTGTTGGCTGGGTCTCTAGGCAAAGAATTGCATTGATTTGTAGGCTGCCATGGCAACTGCCAGCACCAAGCTCGCTGACGTTCTCTGCCGTCACAGGCGCGTACGTCAGCGAGTCGTCAACGAGAGAGGGTGCGGAGTGTGTTCACGGCAACTGCGTTTTTTGTGGCTGTGATTCTTGCCATTCTCAGAGATTTCTAACGGAACATCGATTTTGCGCTTCGCACAAACTTAATACAATTCCCGAAGTTCCAACATTGCAAAATGCGACCGGTTTGGCGAGGCTGAGACGTAAATATTTATTTCACAATTATCTTACAATTATCATTAATATCATTGGATGAATAAATCTTCTCTCGGAACTCTTCAGCTAGCAGTGCATCACCCTGTCTCGGAGAATGCTAGAAGATAAAGTCACTGAACTGCCCGTTGTGTTCCTTTCCATTTAGTCTCGAGCTTGGAATATGAGTTAATGGATTTATTTTAAAAATAATCGATTAATTTACAACGGTCGATTACATGGACCTCTTCAAAAATCACACGACCCTAAAGGTTGGAATTCTCGCGCCCCCCCCCCACCCCAACAAGTCACAGCCTCAACAGCCTGCCTACTAGAGGTGAGTAACATCCTCAACAAAATCTCGGCCAGCATGACCCGGCTGATAATAACCGATCACAGCCACAAGCCCTGCCCATCACCTCCCGTCCCACCGTGTCACACGTGGGGAAACAGGCGAGACATGTTTCAACAATTTCGTGCCGTCTGATTGAAGTCGATTAATTGATTGCTTAGATTTTAATCGGAGAGCAGCCCGGCACCTCCAATTAAGCACGGTTTGGATTACGTACGGCGGTGAAAAAGAAGTTGAACGTAAAATTTCGATTTAAAGCTTTCGTGTCTGCAGGAATTCATCTTCTTGGTTCTTTCGGTAAAGTCACGTAGAAGGGAAATAATAAAATAATACAAATAAAACATAATAAAATACAATTCTCACGACGTTTCGGGCCACAACGCAAGCAGCTGTCCTCAGGTGAAGAACAGGTCTGTCGGAAAAACAGCGTCTGAATGACGCTGTTTGAATGACGCTGTCTTTCTGACAGACCTGTTCTTCACCTGAGGACGGCTGCTTGCGTTGTGGCCGAAACGTCGTGAGAATTGTATTTTATTATGTTTTATTATTTCCCTTCTACGTGACTTTACCGAAAGAACCAAGAAGAAGTTGAACGTACACACACACACACGTACAGCTCTTAACTGAGTCCCCCTGTGTGCCGTGCCGCTTGTGCTTCCACAGAAAGCCTGGACGGGGGGTTGGTGGCTCGCACGCGAGTGGGCGACATCACGGTGCACCTCTCTCAGCCCAGCGCCGTGGAACTTCACAGCGAGCGAGGTGCTTGCAGCTTGCGGCGCTCGGCACGAGCCGACGCACGCAAAGGCTTAGGGGGCCCCAAGCGGCAAACGGTGCCCGGAATCGTAAAAAATAGGAGTGGCCAGCTCAAATTTTTGATCTTAATAAGCATTAAAGACTGATTAATATAAAAGAAAAGTTATTTAATATCTCTCGTCCCTGTCCTGTCTGTATCACTTCTCATCTAATTACATCTTCGTTACTTTTTTGCATCCCGTTTCAGTAAACGTGCCTCATCTGTACCTCCTCATCTCATTGCGCTCTTTCTCGTCTATATATAATATATTCTGTCATCTCTCTCCAGGAGTTTATAAATAGGAAGGCGGTCCCCAAAGATAGACTCGGTGAGGCTTTGACCATTTGCAGGTTGATGGAGGTGGGAGGCGGCATGTCCAGTTCGAGTATCACTCGTCACCGATGTAGGCCACTGCCCGGGGTTGAACTTTGATGGCCAGGTCCATTGCGGTGGTGTACGAACCGCTGCGTCGCCGTTGAATATCTGGGTAAAGAAGGGGAATTCTTCTTATGAATGGTATCTACGGTTGAAATACACTCAAACAATATCAATGTGTGTTCATTGTGTCCAAATTTTTTTTTATTGACATACGAATGCTGATTTCAGTTGTCCTGCCCTCTTGTGTCTTGTTAATAGGAGATGTAAATATCAAATTCCCAGACTCCTTGGGACTAGAATTCCTTGTTACTGGTGGAAAAGGAGTGGTCGTAAATCCTGATGTTCACCTCGAGAGCATGGAGCTCAGCACTAACGGAAGCACTCAGTCCTTGACAGGTAAGTTGGTTTCTTATTAAACCATTACTGTATAATAACAATAATGCATTTTTACACGTGCAAAAATGTGCGCACATATATTACCTTTGAACCTCACACAAGCTCATGCCCGACGATGTCTCAATGCTTATGTTTGTTTAAAAAATGTTATTAAGGCAGTGACCGATGTTAAAAGCCTTACCTTTATCTCAGGCTGACCCAGCTGCTCGTTGTCGGGTCATCTTGAACAAATGTTTTTTTTTCCGGGATTTTGGACCGAAGCCAAAAAAACACGATGTTCTTATGCAAATGTGGAACTCGGGGCTTTACGCAATTGCGTCTCTCTCTGTGGCATGTACGTACCATCTATGCGAATGGAACAAAGCTCGAGCATTCAGACAATTTGACTGATTTTTCCCCACTCGAATTGAATTACCCTAAACAAACGGGTTTTCTTTGCGATGGGCATGTGGCTACGTTTTACACACTCGTGATTTGCAGTACTGCCCCTGAGCAAAAATAGCCTCGTGCTTCTGTCCGCAGTGGCGAATGCTTGGTGTCTGCGCGACACGTTTTGTCGTGAAGGTTCACAAAGTGATGCTCGTTCCTGTTGTCGTCGTCAGTTGTTGTTGGTAGGTCGGTTGAGCAAGGGTGGCGTGCTGGTCAGAGCCACGTCCAAGCACGGCACAGTGCGTCTGCAACGGCAAAGCTGGTTTCAGTCTCTCGGCCTGAAGGGAAAATGAACGTTGTTTGGGAGACACGAATGCGTGAAAAATGAATCGAGAAAACATTAACCGTCGGAGATTCTTCTGACGACATTGTCGTTGTAATGTCCAATGGAAATGTATGATGGGCAACGTTGAGAGAAGCGTAAGAAGGTCGCAAAGTAGGGCTCGGGATGTAAATATGGGCAAATCAAAGATCTTGTGGAACAAGTTCACTTCAACTGGAGACCATTTTTTTTTCATCAAGTCGGGCACACTGAGCTACATAGCTCTTTTTCAGAAGCGACCTGGCCACAAATGATTGCCCAATGCAGTGACTTATCATGCGGAAACGTATAGCAGCCAAATACTCGAAACATCTGTCGAAGTGACACGACTGATTAAACACAGAAACATATTTGTACCTTGGACTGCTATTTGAAGTTGGACCGAAATCTGAATTTTGAAATAAAGAGGTGGATGATTGCAGATTGTAGGGAGTGTTTTTCTAATACTGGACCTTTATTATGTGCCCAAATAAGAACTTTTGCAACCCGTGTATGACACCCACCGTGATACGATTCAGAAGCTCCGTCATGAAAATAAAGCGAACAAAAGCTGACCAAAGGCGCATACAAACATGGAGAGATGCATGCTTGGATTACAGAACGTACACAGATAAACAAGTATATTTGACACTGTAAAGAAACGTATGAGGGCTTAGGTGGGAGACATCACTAGAAGGGATAAGGACAAATAGTCAAAAAATGTCAGCCAAGTAATGCAACGCGTCCGAGTGGAGGTCAGCCGAGGAGATGGAGGGGTGAAATGGGGTTGTGTGCAGGTGTTGGCTGGATCGTTGTATTGCTGGATCGTACAAGATGGGAGTGGCTTGGGGTGAGGGGGGTAGGCAGTGTTGGACTAGCAATGTCTGTTGATGACGGTGATGAAATTAAGTGCTGTGCAGATGTACATTTTTGACTGTCAAGTTAATATAAAAATCTCATTGTTCAATTTATCCTCCTTGTTTATGCATTGAAGTCCCCATGCTTCCACCCCCATGTTGAGGCCTTTTTCACAAAGGCACTGTCCCCTAATACTGTTTACCATTCACATCACCCAAAGTATGTCACGTTGTAGTTTACTGGTTTCATCAAGATTCGACCATGTCCGTCCAGTGCTCTTCGAGCTGCATTGACTTCCGGTTGCCGAACGAATACGTTGTAAGGTCGCGTTTATTACACATCAAACGATTGCGACAAATGAACCACAACACCTTGCTGATTTCGTCAAGGAGCATAAACCATCATCACGCGAACTCCGGTCATCCTCGCAGCAGCTTTTGGCTGGTCGCTGCATCGCGCGCTGTCAGATGTGCTCCTGCGGCTGTCTGGAAAGCTCTTCTGATATTTGGAAGTCACGGCAGCTATGCACTTTCACATCTAGATTGAAAACTCATTTCTTTAGAACTGGTTTTTGTGTTTGGTTGACCTTCCGCCGCACCTCCGATTAGCACAGCTGGATACGTACGGTGCGAAAGAAATGCAACATTAGCTTAGTGACAACTTGCACTGACTGCCATCTTGATCTATAATGTGGAGTTGTGTGCATACCACTACCCATTAAGCTTCGTGTTTTTGCCCAAGAATTACCGTTCGCCTTCGATCAGGCCACATCCCATTCAGTACAGATTTACTGTGGCATTGAGAAATGTTATTTCCTTTGCGTATCTTAAATAATTTATAAATATACCTGTGAAGGCATTCTAAGTGTTCACGTGATCCTTTTTGCCGCATGTCATGAGGCCACTTGATCAAACTAAGGAGTGCCTGCTGTGTGTACAGTGTTCCAGGTTACCCCTGTGTATGGATTGCATTACCAAGTTGGTAGTAATCGATGCTTGTGAACTCGTTCCCTTTTTGAGGAAGCATGTTATATTGATAAAAAGTGTACACTGCGTACATTTTAAACGCGTTAAATTGGGCCATCAGTGAAATCGCTGTCCACGTGTTCTGAACCAAAACAACAAAAACGATTGTAAAACAACCGACACTAAAATAACCCTTCGGTGTGTGAATATCTTGAGAAATTTGTATCTCAATAGAAATATATAACCTGTTTGTTTTGTTGATGTAATGGAAGCCTTGTAAATGTAATGGCCCATAAAATATTTAACGTTAAAAAGTCCGTAACGTTTTTTTCCACCACCAAGGCCTTTCCACAAACATTGAACGTTGTTCCACGCTCTGCGAATTGACCCTGCACTGTTTATAGATCACCTATCTGCTACTATGCTGCAGTGTGTACGTAAATGATGATTTATTTTTAAACCCACATTTATCTCTGTTTGGCTACAGTGTTTTTATTCCGTTTCTATCTGTTCCAGAGCTATTTTGGTTGATAAGGCAGAGCGCTCGTTTGGTCACCTGGAAAGTCCTGTTTTGTTGGATGTGTGTGCCCTACTATTAACATTCAAAACACGTCATACCAGTGGTTGAATGAACCAAAAATAAAAGATTAAGGTATTTTAGTTATGTAGCCTCAGGCGATTCAATGTCATTCCGCATGCCTTGGCTGTCGAAAAACATTGTGCACGAGGTGACGACGCTTTGTTAAGACAACCAAAACCGTGGCGACATCCCTGAAATTGCGTTGACATATAGTGTTAGAAAATAAAATAACGTTCAGCCCTCTGTCAATCCACTGCTGGATGAAAGCCTCCCCATTTTGTGTCGGTCATGGGGACTTTGACCATGCTGGCAAGTGTAGGTGGGGTGAAGGGCCATCCAATACCGCTCAAAAAAAATCACTCGCCACTTATGTTAGCCGTGGCCGGGAATCGATCGATCGATGTCAGATCTCTGGACTCGGTAGCGGAACACGCTGACGAATATGTCACTGCCCCCCCCCTTCAACTGGAGCCAAGAAAAAAAACTGCAGCTCCCCCACATCGCCCAGTGCACAGCAAAATAAAAATAGGACGGCAACGTCACAGCGGCGAGTGTCTTGGGAAGAGTTGCAGCTGCCGAGTTCACGAATGGGCGTTAAGAGCTGTGCCAAAATTAGTGAGTGGACTTGTTCGAGGAAGGGAGATTGGTGAGGCGTATTCGCGTACAATGCCAGTTCGGAAAGGGAGCAATGCGGTTTCCTGTTGTGAAGATAGATCTTGTGGTTTTATGGTTTTTTATTAATACAGAGAAGTGTCGTTGACATATGCCTTTGCTGTAAGCAACACCACAATACTGCATTTGTTTTTATTTAAACCAGTTATGTAAATGAATTGTAATAATGACTGGTTTACACGTAAATCTAAGTTATCCTGCATCTCGGTTTACATTTAATAAAATTATGTGTTCATATATTTATCTCGTTAGAATACTGTACCAATGAGGTTTCATAATACTTAGATTTAAAATGTTATGAACCTGACATAAGGGCTGACTCGTAGCTTTTCTAAACGTTTCGGGGATATCTGTCAGGAGGGACATTACTGGAAAACGGCAGAATGTGTGTACCTAGCAATTATATTCTTACATGTGGCAGCAATATGTTCAGGAGCTAAATATTAATACTGGTAGGAACCCACTGGTTCCAAATTTCCAAAGTAGCATGGACGGAAAATGCGTGCTTGGAGTTTAGAATCCGAATCAGAATATTTATGCTGGAGGAATCCGATAAGCAACAAAGCTACTTTTCACAGACGCCCAGCAAAATGACATTTAGAGAAAAAAATAACACGTGGATTAAGAGAGCACAATGATTAAAGTCAAGCAATTGTAATTTAAATGTTTAAGCAAATCAAGTGGGCTTGGGTGTAAGGTATGATAACCCGGATGGACGAGGTATAAGATTGAGTGGCACCAAAGAAATGGAATGATTCACAGAGTACAGACCGCCGATGATTATGATGATGAGATGGAGTTACTAAATCAGCTCGTGTGCAGGGTTGGAAAGTTGGATCGCGTTAGATCTCGGTTTGGGGGGAGGGAGACCTTTATCCAGCAGTGGATTGGCCATAGCTGCTGCAAAAGGGCTAATTAAACGGTGCTACGTCATTGTAAAATGTACACTGCGTGCTTACACGTTTGAATGCGGCTATACCAACACCCGCAATTCGCCACGAAGTGACGGTGACGTCACCACGATGCCTGTGCCAGGCCAGGTGCACCTTGCACCTTGATGCCACGTGAAGGGACAGACCCAGGTGCCATGGGTTGGCTGACCAAGATGACCGGTTGATGCACCAGCTGAACGCCCCCCCCCCCCCCCCCACTGTGCCAACTGCGGCTATATACACACACACAACACACATTAGGTATTTGCACTGTGTACACATTGAATAACATCCATCATCTTCCATCGTGGTGGTGTAGTCGCGCTTGTAACATTAGAGTACTTTATTGCGCTTTGGTGCAAGTCGCATACCGTGTCTACCCCGTATTCTTGTACAGGGAAATTGAGTTTTCATGCCAATACGGCGGACATCCGTTTCAATACGGGTAAAACCATTTTAGTTATCTCTTTGTCTGTGTTTGTCCCTTGCGACGAGACTTTGTCGGATGGACTTTGAGATTTGTAAGGCGCACGGGGTGACCAATAAGGTCTGAATTGAAATAAGCTCGCCACCGATCAGGGTTTGAGAGGTGTGAAGTGAAGATGGGGACGAATTAGTTAATTCACAACCTCGACTGGGCTCGTTGATGGCGCAACATTTTAAGGGGAAACACAACACGGACCCGCAGATGCTTTTCCCCAAAGCCTTACACGTCGTGGGAGTTGTGTTTGCACGGAGTTATCGTGTCGCATATATATATTTTTTTGACGAAAAGCCACGTCTTGCTGAACAAACGTCTTCTGTTAAGACAGCCGCCATGGCCTCGGGTGGTTATTTCTTAACTCACGCGGGATAAGTGGGATACGTTATATGACTATGTAACACGATTTTGTTTTCCTGGGTAGTAAGTGTTATTTTCTAATTGCGTATGCCTCAAAAGTACAGAAAATGGCTCTTATTCCCCCACGAACTTTTATTTTGTGACCAGAACTTTATGTGAAGGAATGACACAAATGCAAACGTTTTCTCATTGAAAATATGTACATTTCAAAATATCACTGTCCTGATCACAAAAGCAAATATTGTGGGGAATAAGAGTCATTTTTCTGTACTTTTGAGGCATTAGCAATTAGAAAATAACACTTACTACCCAGGAACAAAAACATAGTTTTTGTTACACAGTGTTATTAATAGAGTGGATTATTAACGTTGCTTTTGTGTCCTGATCACAAAAGCAAAGTTTGCGGGGAATAAGAGCCATTTTCTGTACTTTTGAGGCATTAACAATTAGAAAAAAACACTTACTACCCAGGAACAATTTTTGTTACGCAGTTATTAAAACGTGAGATTTTTGTTTTCACGCCTACATCATCCTTATTAAAGGTTTACACGCGCATGCAAGTACATGCACATTACTGTAACTATTTTGAGTTGAGAGGCTTTGAATGTGCCAAGGGGAAGGCCAACAACATTATTGTGGAATGACTCATACACTTCACTCGTGTCACGTACTGTATAAAAAATATAAATATTCAACACGCGTGCCACAGTTGTGCTATTGTGGCCCAAGCAACGCTGCACGATGGGCCGTATAGTAACCCACTGTAGTCTGACCTCCTTTGCTGGGAGGAATACATAGCAGAACTACACAAACTCTCTCTTCTGAAGCCCTCTCTCGTCGTGGCTAGGAGACCTCGACATTGCCATTTAGCTCCTGAAAACGCAAGAATATACGTGTGTAAATGTATGAGGATTTCAAGACGCACACACGCGTGCGTGCGTTAACGTTTCGATTTGGAGCGACATTCTTCAAAAGCGAGCTCATCTTTTGTCTCGGCGTGGCCAAATCGCGTGCTTTTGTTGTACACGCCAAGACATTATTAAAAAAAGACCTGTCTGTCGGCCTTTATTATGCTTACTCGGGAGATTCCAGAGCACAAAACAACAACGATTACCCCCCCCCCCCACCACCCTGTATAGCCTTTAACAGACTGTTGGGGCAAGTGCTGTTTGCGAGCACCTATTAAAGCCGACACGGCACACGAAGTGATGGGTAACCAGCACCACGCCAGGCCGCCTTTGTCTCCCCGGTGGCGATGTTTATAACTACACACCACCATCAGGCACTCATTTGAGGCCGAGTCGACCGAGGGGAGGCCCAGGACCGGTTGAAATATTCGCCACCGGTGTGTTGTGGGAGGATCGCGTGTGTTGGGAATGGAACTCGGGTCACCGGGTTCGGAGCACGCACCGCTCCAGACCGCAAAATTCCACCATCCACCCACATTCACCCTCCCCCCACCAATAGCTCCCCCCCCCACCAACCCCACCATTCCCACACCAATAGCTCCCCCCCCACCAATAGCCCCCCCACACCAACCCCCCCATCCACCCCACCAATAGCCCCCCCACACGAACCCCACCACCCCCACCGACCCCCCCACATTCACCCCACCCCACCAATAGCCCCCACACCAACCCCACCGACCAGAGGTGTGGACTCGAGTCATGTGACTTGGACTCGAGTCAGACTCGAGTCATGAATTTGATGACTTGAGACTCGACTTGGACTTGCATAACAATGACTTTGTCCCACCTCTGCCACCGACCCCCCCACATTCACCCCCCCCTACCAATTGCTCCCCCCCACCAATAGCCCCCCCCCACACCAACCCCCCATCCACCCCACCAATAGCCCCCCCCCACCACTCTTTCACCCTACCCCCCCCACACCAACCCTCCCCATCGACCCCAACAATAGGCCCCCCCACCACCCTACCCCCCCCCCACTATCCCCCCACCACCCTACCCCCCACATCACCCGACCACCCTACCCCCCCCACTACCCCCCCCCCACTATCCCCCCACCACCCTACCCCCCACATCACCCGACCACCCTACCCCCCCCCACTATCCCCCCACCACCCTACCCCCCCCCACTATCCCCCCACCACCCTACCCCCCACATCACCCGACACCCTACCCCCCCACTATCCCCCCACCACCCTACCCCCCCCCACTATCCCCCCACCACCCTACCCCCCCCCCACTATCCCCCACCACCCTACCCCCCACATCACCCGACCACCCTACCCCCCCACTATCCCCCCACCACCCTACCCCCCCCACTATCCCCCCACCACCCTACCCCCCACATCACCCGACCACCCCTCCACCACAATTCCCCTCGGGGCCGACCAATCACGCGGCAGTGTTCACGTGCACACACCCCGGGCCGGACCAATCAGGGAGGAGCGCGGTGACGTCAACGCGCGTGACCGTCAACTTGAGGGGGGGGGGGGCTCCGGATGTCGCGTGTATCCGTGCGCGCGTCTCTTTAATTAACCCCTTTGGTGGAGGAGGAGGAAGGGTCGGCTTTGTTGTGACGATGAAACAATGTTAAATAATATATAACAATAAGGTCACAGTAACAAAGACAGTGTGCGGACGGCCGCTGTGTTGTTTGCGTGGGAATGTTTAGAGTTAAGTTGACGCTCGCGGGGTTTGTTTGGCAACAAAGATGCAAAAACAAAAACAACTTTCGCTGGTTTTGAGACAGATCGTGGTGGTGGTTTTATAATTCAACTTGTTTGAACAACAAAAACCATACTCAGAATTATATTGAAGGATGATGTTTGTATCACTGTCAACATTACGGCCTCATCATGCGTCGTTAATGTAAAATATATTCTAGATTTGAAGCTTTCGTGACTGCAAGGATTCGTACTCTTTAAGTTATTTCGGTAAAGTCATGTAGGTAAAAATAAAAATAATAGACTGATTAATAACGGTCTTGTTGACATCCAGCTTTGTGATGTGTGGCTCTGGTTTCTTCTTTGATAGGAGGTTGAATTTTGAGATCAAGTTAGCTTTGCATGTGGTCGACATTGAGTCAGCAGAAGCAGCAGCAGTCATGTTATCAACGTTGTTCCAAACAGAAGGGGACATTTCTTGTGTTAACATTAAATGTGTGTTTGTAAGAGAGTCTTGTCTAAATGATCGAGTCAACAAGACCGTTATTAATCAGAGTCTATTATTTTTATTAGTTATTTTTACCTACGTGACTTTACCGAAAAAATGTAAAATATACTCTGGCTGGTTAGAGTCAATGGGAATTAATTGAGAATGTAGTTTAATTCTTACACGAATACGTCAGTAGGGAGTGATATCTTAATCGATTCTGAGGGATGAGTCTTCTTCACAAACCCCCATTGACCAGCGTGGTGAAGTATGGTCAAATAATTCTAGATTTGAAGCTTTCGTGACTGCAATGATTCATATTCTTAGGTTTTTTCGGTAAAGTCACGTAGGTAAAAACATTAAAAAGTAAAATAAAATATTATTTTATTATAATAAAATATTTTATTTTACATTAAAAAGTAAAATAAAATATTATTTTATTATAATAAAATATTTTATTTTACTTTTTAATGTTTTTACCTACGTGACTTTACCGAAAAAACCTAAGAATATGGTCAAATAACCCCCCCCCCCGTGTGGGAAGCCTTCATCCATCAGCGAGTGGATTGACAAAGGGATGTCAACAATTATATTCGTTAGTAGCTTTTGGTATATTAACATTATAGGGGGAGAAATAACTTATGTAAGGAACAATAATGTAGTGTTTGAAAATGATAACGTCGGGCATTTTGCGCAAAATGAGAGTTCTACTAATCAAGTATAACGTGATGAACATGAAGCAAGAAGGCTGTACGTGTCCGAGAAAATATTAATTCTTATTTGTAGCGCCGGAAATCGCGACTAATCTCGCGTTTTTTTAAATTATAATCTCGTCACGTGTCTCGTTGGCCGCTGCGTTAACCTACATTTTAACACCCAGCGTGTACCTCGGATAAACAAACAAAAAGCCAATTAATCACACTCCTCCTCCGCGTGTATAATTAACGCGAGCATTAACCATTGTTGTCACAAGACGAATCGAATACAATCGTTTTGTCGCGGGACTACTTTTTTTTGTATTGTTGGGCGTAGCTGCGGATGGACACGCATGTGTGTGTGTGCGTGCTGCGGCTCGGGTGGGCGGGGCGTGTGGGGGGGGGGCGGCTGCTATATAAGGCAACGCCCGCGCTCGCGCGCGTCACTTTCCCGCCCTTTTCCCCTTTTGCCGTCAGATTTCGCCGCGATGGCCAACATCTAAGGCTGCGCCGTGACGCCGGAGCAGTGCACCTCGCACACCAGTTGCAAACATGACGTGAGTTCCGCGCAATGTTGCCACCACGATTGTGTTTATTCGTGCGGTGTTGATGCGATTTAAAAAAAAATAATAAAAACTCGCGTTTATAATGCGACGGGAGTTGGGGGGGGGGGGTGTTAATGGTTAAAACGTCTCGCATGGCGGTATCCCGACCAAAATCGTTTTCGCTATTCGGTGGTGGCGGTGACCGAGCTAAGATTGTGTTGTAGAGTGAGAATTGTCGGTGTTTTAAGTTGTGAAACGTCTAAGTGGGCCACGGCGGTACACGTGTCCGTCGAGTCCGACGACCGCATTGACGGGGGGGTGAGGGGGCGTTAAAATTCGGCGTCAAATGTGTAACGTTCACAGGCGTGTTGCGAGTGTCGTCGTTATTAAAATCAAAGCTTAGTAAGCTTTGTTTTATGTAGCGACTCGAGGCGACGTCGTTGTCTAGACACGACGTGGGGGGTGGAGGAGGAGAAGGGGGGGTGGTGCGAACGTCAACGAAGCTTGCGTCAAGATGGCGGGGAGCTTCCTGCTCGCTGCTGTTGCTGCTGTTGTTGTTGTTGCTGTTGTTGTTGTGAAGACGGCGACCCCAGCGGGTTCCTCTTCCCCCGTGTCACCCACTCGCTCACCGTGTCCTTTAGCACCGATATCCAATGTCAAATAACCACTTGCCACCACCACCTACCTTGTTGAATTCTCGAGAGCCATTTCACGTGAAGGGGGGTTGGTGGTGGGGTGAACCATTTTAGTCGCTTCGGCTAAAACGCGTGAGAATAGTGGGTTAAATAGGAGGATAATCGAGTGTACTGCTGCTTCCCCCTAACGTTGTTGAGGTTACCATCGGAACGTATTCGTGACGGAGAAGGAATCTAAACGGTTCTAAAGCGAGACTCCGAAACTTCGTTTGGTTGTGTGACACTTTGAAATGGAGACCCGGGTTTTACCGATTATTTTTTATATATAGAGGGTTACTGGTGTAGTCCCAATCGGTAACGATGTTAGTCTTTACAATGTTGGTTAGAAAGGCCGCGTAACAAAATCTCAATTGTCACCCAATGTGGGATCAAAACACTTGATACGTTTGGATACAAACTCGCACTTCGAGCTTCTAATGCCAAATTCGAAATTCCATAAATTCCTGTCACCCATGAACACATTCAACAGTCCACGATTGTTTTAACAGTCTACATGGTAACAACCCAATGGGGAAACTACCGAGGCGTTAACGCTCAACGACGGAGTCGTTTCGGGCAACTCCAGATTCCGTACGGCGCGAAAGAAGTTCAACATTTAACGCATTAGTGCGCCGTGGGATAAAGCATCGATCCATCCACATGCTTACACAAGTCGATGAAAATGTGAGCCAACTCGATAGGGTGGTGGTGTGGAGAGAGGGTTCTCGATAATGTAATTGTAATAATTCAGAGTTTTCCTAGCACAAAAAAACCCAGCGAATCTTAAAAGAGCTGCGTTGTTTTGAAACACGTGGCTTCTTTTAAGGCAGCCATTTGGACCGTCGCCATTTCGCCATCACCTCTCTCTCCTTTGAGGCGCCGCCCTGTCGCGTAGGGGGTTAGTGGTGGTGGCTATTGGCTGTCTGCCTGCTCTTGGTTGGCTTATCCCCGTGACCACGTGTTTGGTGGATCAAGTGGCTTTGCCGTGTTTGTAAACTGAGAATTCGCCTCTGTGCGCGGGCTTGTCTCATACGAAATTGAAGGCGACGTTGGCGAATATTTTAAAAGTCGTTTAATTTGTTGCCTATGGACTGTGTTTTATAATGCGTGTGTGTAACGTTTGGTTTTGGTAATTTTTCCCCTCCAGATAATGTTTTATTCCACACTTTTACGACCAGTCCTAACGAAATGCGTGTGTCCTTGTCATCGCAGGTCTCTCGATGCATACACCGACGACAGGCTTGCTGCTTTAGACAGCATAAAGATCTTCCATGCTTCGTCACTAAAATCTCCTGAAATTCATCACGAGAAAAGATACAGAAATGATGGCGGAGAACACAACAGCTTTGCCCGCGGAGATATTCCAGGGCCACCGTGGGTCGCCCTTGGAGATGGCTGACGATCCCTTGTCTGGACTCGGTGCGTGCGTTTTTATCGGCCACCCACATTCCTTTATTTCTTTTTTTTGTTCAGGGTGGGGTGAGTCGGGCCAAAAAATTTGAATGACGTCATTGGTGTTTGCGAACGGCCACTGAAGCCCCATGCAGTGTTAAATCGTATTTGTTGATTAGGAATACACGTTTACAGTACTGTAATTGTTTTTCACACAGGTTAAAATGTGATTGTACTTAAATGCATTGGATATGTTTTCCATATATGGATATGTTTTCCATATTTACATTCATGTGGCAGATTACATTTTCCTGCGTTCTAAATAATACACCTGAGCCACAGACCTATGAAATAAGCACTTTTACAGAGCATACTACTACAAGTAAGATTGTATTTCCATCAGTTGTCAATCAAATTTTTCGCTTGTATGGGATTTAAACTCTTTTTTTGTGCTCTTCCTCCACAGTGGTTGACTTTGGACAGCCTGAATGGACGATGGACTTGGACTTCTTGCTTGAGGCAGAGACTGATCATCTGTCGTTCGCAAAGGAGACGGGTCTCTTCCATTCTGGCGGCCTCTGTTTGGACCAGAACCTGGGCCTGACCGATCCAAAAGCAGAGCCCCTGAACCAGCAGCCTGGGTTTGGTCTAGACAATATGCACCACGAGTCCATTCTTGACATTGGGGATCCTCGGCAAAGCTTATTTAAAATGCAATTTGACACATACCTTCTTCAAAATGATAATTTGCCCACGATAGAACTATTCGATATTGAGGCTAACCTGGGTTCATCCGAGTCTTCAGCCTGTATGCAGTCACCATGCTCTCCTTGCTCTTCAAGCTCTCTCGGCTCTGATCAGGTGGCGCCTTGCACGCCTCCGATTTCGCCCATTTTGTCCCCATCTTCAGAGTACTGCACTGATGGGGACAGCCCATGTGAAAGTGTACCCCAAGAGATTCTACTTGTAATTAAAGAGCCCGCAGCACCAGATTTTGATTTTGAGATGTCCTACTTGACAGAGAGTGAGGCAAGCCCTGAACACACCTCTGCTGAAGAAGGCGAAAGCTTTGACTCCAAAGATGAAGTCAAAGTGGAAGTTGTCGTGCCACGTGCGGAGACGACACCCAAAAAGTGCAGGCGCACGCCATACAGCGGCATGCCTAAGCGCGGCGGCGGCGGCCACGCTTTCCCCAAAGTTAAGTTGGTCTCCGATTCCTGCCCGTCGTCCCCCGAGGCGAGCGATTCGCCTGCGGGCGAGGGCAGGTTTCAGAAAAAGAAGGATCAGAACAAGACGGCCGCAACGCGCTACCGGCAGAAAAAGAAACAAGAACTTGAAATTCTGCAGGTCGAGCGAGATAAGCTTGAAGACCGTAACCGTACGCTCAATGAAAAAGCCGACTCGTTGAGTCGAGAAATTAAATATCTGAGAGATCTAATGGCTGAAATTCAGATGGCCCGTAGCCTCAAAAAATGATCAGTTTTTTTCGTTCTGGTTTTTTTAAATGTAGTTGCAACTATTTAATACCACCTTATAATCGGTTTTTCCAACACTGGCAATGTCATCATAACCATTTTATGTTTAGCTTTAGAGTAGTGACTGCGCTTGGTGTATTTCGGCACTTAGTTTATAAACTGGGGTGGCTCTTGATGTTGCGTTATCTTGGCTAGCTTTGTGTATTTATGCATTTTTATTCGTCTTCGAAAAGAATAGTGTGGTGTCATTGATCTATCCTGTCAATAAAATTGGCCCTGACCTAATGCTTGTTTACATTGTGTTTAATGTTTGTATGTTAAATATCACTTCAGATTTGCAAGCACATTTATTTTTAATTCTTTAACCAGAATTTAATTTATGTCAACGCCCTCACTGCACCCTAAGCTATACTTAATATGGTGCCTTTAGGCTTTGCATTCTGAATAATATATTTCATTAAGGGAGTAAATGCATACGCATAGATTGTCATGGTTTTTAAGCATAAGCTGTCCAGATTGGTGACGGGGGTGGCACAGTACATCGCTGGTGCAGCAGCAATGTTCGCATTGGGACTTGGAAATAAAGTAGGTAAGGCCTTCAGTAACTGGTAAGTACTGTACAGTACACTGGATATGAAATCCAGGTCACCGGTTCCATTTCACCTTTAATTGCGGCAGTTAAAAAGGCATCCCTGCACCAAAAAAGCTCGTGAAAGTGCTTTACATTCAGAGAGCATGAGTATAAACGGGGATTGATGTGACATGCATTTGCTTTACTCATGTGCTTAAACGTAGGCAAATTACACTTATGGAATGCTTTAGAGACTGGAAACAATTTAGAGGCGAATGAAAGACAGCAATAGAACCCACGGCTGTGAAACTTGAACTTTGTTCTGCCCATTCTTCTAACGAGAGCACATTGACAGAAAGGGGTAAACCAACGAAAACTCGATCTTACTACTCGGGCCGCCATTCACAACACAAGGCCTCACAGAGCTTCAGTTAGAGAACAGGACCCAACCTTTCACAAACATAGCTGAATAAAGCATTGGTTAAACATCCTTAGGGCATTATTTAATATCAGTTCCAACAGTACATTTAATTAAGACAAAGATGCCCCGTATAGCCATGGACTTTCGGGGCAAGGTGCAGTTAGCGAGCACCTATTTGAAGACCGGCACGGTACACGAGGGAAGTGGGTGGCCAGCACCACGCCCGACCACCTTTGTCTTCCGAGTGACGATGTCTACACATCGCACAAGGTACAGCCAGCATTTGATGCTGAGTTCTCCTCGGTGGGGAGGGGGGTCTAAGACTGGTTCAGATGTTCGTCATTGGGGTTGGGGGCCGTCCATAAATGACGTCACGCGATTTTGGACGATTTTTTACCCCCCCCCCCACCTCGTCACACGGCGTCACAAAAAGTCAGACCTCCCCTCAAATATGACGTCACAAAGCTCTGCACCCCCCCCCCCCCCAATAATACATGCTTCAAATCGCTTTAAACTATTGTCATTGTAGTGCGTATTTAATGTGGCGCTGCACTCTGATGTTGTAGGAGAAAGCATTGATTAAAAAGTATATTTAATTAAGTAGAACGTGTTGTCTATATTTATTTAAAGTTGCGCATTTGATGTGACGTCACATTTCTAAACTCCCCCCCCCCCATGTCACACATCGTCACAAATGTCTGACTCCCCTAGGTGCGTGACGTCATTTATGGACGGCCCCTTGGCTGTCAGCACGGAACCGAAGTCTGCTTGCACGGACTGTCACTATCGATTCTGGCCACTAGGTGGCTACGGAGGCTCTTGATGAGCTTTGTGATGACACACCAGCCAAATGGGCACACAAACCTGCTCAGTGTAAAATACATATTTGCTGCGTGCTACAGGTATTTCAAAACGTGTTGCCATCGATCTGGAGCGCCTTACGTGTTCGTTTAGAACGTGTGAATACGCGAGAGGAGCACAGACGTCACGCCGCTCGTGTGGGTTTTTGAACATCTTTCGCAAGCCGCCGAGACGGATCTCCGTTGAGAAAGGAAGAGAGGCCGGTCAGCACTTTTCAAATTGACTGACTGTCTAAAGGCAATTGAAACGCACGTGCCCACGATGCCAGCAGCTCGTCTGTGGCAGCAATATCTGAAGGACAAACCCATCGTGGACCCAGTGTGAACTTTGTAAAGGTTGGGAGGGAGACACGGTGTGTGTGTGTGCGCCAGATGGATTGAAGGCTTCAATTGGTGGGTCCTGACTGTGGGGCAGGTGATTACGCCGGCACTTTGGCTAGAATCCTACCCCCCCCCACCCCACAATGCCGCACGCCTCAAACCTGTAAACAGAGGTATGGCAATGCCACCCATTCATTCCTCCCAGCAAATATGTTGCTAAAAAAAGTCCGTGTGGATTTCGGCGGAATGTATTCTGATACACGTTTTTTTACATTTATCTATCCGACAAACATTTAAATCGTAACATTGGCTCACTTGTCTTGGATAATTCCAAGGGGGGGTTAGTGAAGAACTTTATAATAATCATTACATATTCAGCCAGTTTATCCACTTCTGCATGGGGTTCTCCAAACACCATGTCAGCCGTGGGGCTTGTTTGACCATACTTCACCAGTGCGCGTCAGGGTGGCTCTTGGACAGGTTCAGGTAGCACTCACTGCTCATGCCAGCTGTGGCAGTGAATGGAACTCCGGTTGCAGGGTTCATAGCGCAGTGCGATAACCACTGCTCCTTGACATACACAGTCGTAAAGATTTACGATTGCCTTAAAACAGGCGTGGGGAACGTCTGGCCCGCGGGCCGTATAAGGCCCGCAAAACACGATTGGTCTGGCCCTGCCAAGGCAACCGCAAGCGGGATTCGAAATTCAATAAATCTAGGAGCAAACCTGGAAAAGCAGTTGCGAGTAGCAACAACATCATCAATACCAGCTAACATCACACACGCCTCGCCAAAGAGAAGCAGTCCCAGCCGTCACACTAGGGGTGAGTGAATTAAATATTTGACCAAATATAACGGGCTAATTTTTAAGTTGATAATTTTGTATGGCTCGCGAATGATGTTATAAATATCCAAATGGGCCTTGGCAGAAAAAAAGGTTCCCCACTCCTGCCTTAAAACAAATCTCCTGAGTTTCCTAGAAATCATGACTACACACTTTGTGTCGTGACTATTATTTTTGCGCACACGCAGATTTTTCGCAGGCAATATTATTACGATTCACGATAGATTTATTTTGGGCTAGGCTACGTGAAGATCTGACCAAGTTTGTGTGCTTAATAATAATGTTCATTTGTAACGCGCACAATTTTCACTTGCCCGAAGGCAGCAACCATGAGGCGCTCCACTACGCAACACAGCCAAAACATATATACTGTATATAACGGTCTCAATCGCAAACGCTTAACGCGCCAATTATCGCTTCAACATAGCTCACCGCTAAATCGAGGAACAATTCTCAGAATCGACGTTGGGCAGAACCATTACATTTTGTAGTTTGAAACCCCTTCACTGCTTACTTATAGTTGTGACTATAATCGCGAGAAGTTTAGACCCCCTGGCTTTAGCTCAAGCCTTCTATTTCTCGAGAAATGTGCTCTTTAATCCCTGGCCACATACGTCAATAAGCGATTAGAGGTGGTGCACGTGTGCCGGTCGTGGGGCAGCAAAAAGCTACGGGTCAAGAAGGCTGTATCCTGTAATCTGTGAAATCTCATCGCCTTATGTCAAGCCACAAGCATCTGCAGAGAAAGTGGCGCAGATCACACACATCACATACAGTGGTGGTGGTGATGCTGGAACATTGGTGGCCATGAATAGAAATGGAATAAATTGGGGCCCAGATTTTTCAATGTATAAACTCCGAGCGAATTCACAGAAGAGAAATAGTGAAATGCGAGAGAGAGATGGTGATATGAGAACAATTCACACAGCAGATAGGGGCAGTAGTCTTCTTCTTACATATGGCGTTTGAAAAAAACGCCACAGGGCTACGATTGTTTTAGTTTATTTTGTAATGTATTGCACGTCACCAGAGTATCTGAGTGGAGTCCGAGAGGTCGAGTGAGAAGAGAGACACGGATGAGAGATGTGGCGAATGATGTAGACAAGTGAAACGTGTGCTAGATGGGAGAAGATACAAACACGAAAATGATGATACATATTGAATCGCCTTTACTGTCAAGAAGCTCGTGGTCTTTGTTAGGATTTTAATTCGTGGAGTAGTCGCGAACCACAATGCTACCACAGAGTATTATTGTTTCGTGAGATATTTAATGATCTGTTGTTTTACCAATATCCAACTAACGAGTGAGTTTGAAGGCAATTATGAATTATCTCTGTCCATCTGTAATGTGGGCCAGGTGACACGATCACTCTCCTAGTAAAGAAGACCCAATAACCACATGACCCGATTGAAAACAACCCAAACTGATCCAAGGCTTCGCCCAAAACTTGGGAAACCCAAACCACAGCAAACGTGATTCTTTGCAAATGCATAATTAAATACTTCAGAAAATAAACGCATGGCTGGAAATAATCACATAATACGTGTGATTTGTCCAAGATTCTTTATGGTTACATAGTACAAGTGTGGGAGGCGTGAGGTGGCATGTATGTACCGTACGTTGAATTTCTTTCGCACCGCACGTAGCCAACCGTGCTAATCGGAGGTGCGCGGGAAAAGACAACAAACTAAACACAATAAAGCAGTTTTTAATTAAACTAATTTACCAAACTGGATTTTAAAAGTGCATAGCTCCCAGGGTATCGAAGCATAGGAAGACACCAGGGGTTGTCTCCCAGGGGTATTGGAGCATAGGAAGATATCAGGGGTTGTCGAGTTCATTGAAACGTGCGGTTTAGACAGGTTTCCATTGCACTGTAATCCGTAATGTGTTTGTGCGGGTGTCAACCGGAATCGTTTTGTGCGTAAAATACTTTTGGAAAAAAAAGTGCATTGCTCCAGCCCTTTCCTCATGGTGGTGAGTGGGTTCGATGGGGTGGTGAGAGGGTGGTGAGGTGGGGGGTGACGGGGGGGGGGCATGTGGGATAGGGGGCACCGGGAAGCAATGGGATTTATGTTGAGATTTCACGCTGGGGGCCGGCCCCCGTTATCCGAGTCGCAGGGTATTTTAAGGCAGAGATTAAAACCGCGCAGTTCATTTGACCAAACTGCAGGCGCTCCCGCGCGCACGGCGATCGGCCGCTCGTTCCTCCTCGTTGCATCTCCGCGTTCCGACAAAACATTTATCGGCGAGGTGAGTTTGGTTAGGAACGTTGTCGGCTCGCTGGTTCAGCAGTTCCACTGCTGGGTTTTTTTTCCGCCGGAGGACGACCGCTTGTGTTGCGATCGAAAACGTCGTGATGTATTATTTTTTGTTTTATTTTATTTTTCTACCTACGTGACTTTACCGAAAGAACCAAAGAGTAACGTTGTTATTATATATTAAACAAATATATATACGGATTGTTTGTTTTAACTTGACGAGCTATGCGAGCTGGTATGAGTATTTGGAGTAGCATTTGGCTCCGGTGTCTAAATGTGTGGGTTTTGAGCGTGTACTTTAATAGAATTTGGCTAAGACGATACAGCCAAAGAGATGGCGTTGCACACATTCCAGAGAATAAAATACCGTAGGGCAAAGTCCATGTGTAGGGATACATCGACAATAATGTACAATGATTGTGTTAATAGTGTACAGCATACTCTTGATGAGGATTGCTTGTGTTGCGATCGTGATTTGTTTTATTTTATTTCTACCTACGTGACTTTACCGAAAGAACAAAAGAGTACGGATGCCTGCAGTCACGAAAGCTTCAAATCAAGAATGTATACAGCACTTTGTAATTCCGCTGTTGCAGGAAGGTTTCCTTCCCCACACTCTCGGTCACTGGAGGCTCTTTAACCATTCATCACCGCGCTGGGCAACGCTGTTTAGTGAGGAGGATGGGGCCTGACGTTCAATATAAAACTCGCCGCTGACGTTGAGCCGGACAACAGCGTTCCTTTAACTGAAGCATCATCAAAGCAAATATAAATTTAGAACGTAAGAGGAGTCAATGTTTTTTGTGTTTCTGGGGCTATAACTAAGATAAGAAACAGATTTTTTTTCATTGTTTCTTCCTGAACTTATTTAGTCTGTTTCCAGCCTTGGTATATCTGGCCAATTCGAGTTCTCAAATGTCCCACGCACACAGCCTTAATAGAGTGCGGGCAAAGAAGGCGCCTAAGGCTTTACCGCCTCTCCGGCGATCTGGCGAATTTACCATGAATTTGGCGTCGCGATTAGATTGCCAAGAATAGAGATGGTTGCGCTCCATATCTACTATCTCATTCGTATTCTCGCTCTCGTGCACGCTCTCTCATTTGTTACAATGGTTTTGTCCCCAATGGTCTAAATGTAACATCTGCGCATCATTATTGATTCTCGCGTGCACTCGATCAGATGCATCTATCGTGAGCATAATTTATTTTAGTTTTATCTCGCCCCTCCCCGCCGCGATATCAGCATCAGCGCACGAGTTAAAGAATCCAGTTGGATTCGGAAATTCGTAGTTCTGCATTTTGGCCAAAGAACAATCCGCAGAAGACGTCACACCTCCGAAACTAAATTGGGTAACTTGCTACAACACGCTTTTCCGTGCGGCAAATGCACATTGCGTTGATTTGAAACAGCGGAAGAAGTTTGGAAGACGTTTCAGACTTGGCGACACCAAAGAAACTGGAGTAACAGAACTAGGTGACTGACGTGGTAAATTTAAAATCGCTCTAACTTTTCAACTTGTGCTGCTAGCAATGTAATTCTTTCACCAGAGTACAATTGATATCCTATCTATAGAGTACAGGCTATAAAAAAATACTCCAATACATTTTATTTTGACATTTAATTATATGAAAAGCAGAGTACAGTCTGTTCCCCTATAATGTCGCGTGTTTTCACGACGCGAATTGGATATAACGCGACGAATGTATTAGGGAACACATTTATTATATAACGCGGATGCCAATTGGATATAACGCGATTCAGTGAACAGAACTACGTCACCGCGCGAGTTGGAACTAAGCGGGTTTCCACTAAGCCGCGGCAAGGCATCACACGAGGCGGGATGCTGCTGGATACTTCTAGATGCTACTCACGGCGCCTCAGTTTCTGTTCAGCATCTCACGTGTCATCGCGGACGGGTGCTCTACCCGATATTATCTCTATATTATAACGCGAATTGTACATAACGCGGTGTTCTTCAGGCAAGCAACGACCGTGTTATAATGGAACAGGCTGTACTTTTAGCACTGCGAGCGTGGGAGTATTGTGAGAAGAGTGTGGAAATTATGGCTTGTATATTACTTTACATTGCATAGAAACGTGTTCTCGACTCGTGCTTACACTTTGCATATAAAACTACAGCTCTTTTTTTTCGTATAATTTATCGAGCATGGGGCGTTCTTTCCCAGTCATAAACTCACTGCGTGTGAGAAACCCATGGGTGATTAAGACCCAGGATGCACACACACCCGAGCGTATGAGCCGTCTCGGCTCCCGTTGTATGTACGTATCTTTGGGGCCCTTTTTTGCCAGTATTAAAGAAATAATGAGGAATAATAATAATAGGTTTTATCCTTTCTGGAAATAAAACAGGGGGTGTTCAGATGTTCAAACGCCAAATATAAACCTTTTACAAGGCATCGAGTCTCCATTAACCACACGTACTTGTGGCAAAACATGAAAACACGCACGCTCTGATAACACTGTGTAATGCATAAATATTTTGTTCCTGGGTAGTAAGTGTTATTTCCTCATGCTCGTGCCTCAAAAGTACAGAAATTGGCTGTTATACCCCACAAACTTTGCTTTTGTGACCAGGACAGTGATATTTTGAAATTTACCCTTTTTCAATGAAAATATGGGCGAATTTGTGTCTTTTCGTTCACGTATAGTCAGAAAACAACAACATATGAATCTAAATTAACATGTATTTATACTAAAGTAATACAAACATGCCTGTATTGAAGTGGTCCCACGTGGCATCGAGTGACATCACTTCTGCAGGCACGAAGACTCCTTAAATTTATTACGAAGCGTAATTGATGAAAGAAAAATCCAAAATTATCCACAAAAAATGTCGAGTTGCAGTTTGTTCTCCCTATAATGCGGTAATTTGCGTTACTCAAGGACACCACGTTCTGTAAAAATTGCGTTATAATGAATAAGCACAGTCCGCGATAACGCGTGAGATGCGTACGGAGGCTGAACAAAGATCTCAGACGCGTGGTGGGTAGCATCTACAAGCATCCAGCAGCATCCCAACGCCTTTTGTGATGATGCATACCTGTCAACCCCTTATCAGTGCCTACCTTTATTACAGACCAATTCAGACCTTATTGGTCACCCGTGCCCTTATAAAATCTCAACGTTCAACTGACAAAGCCCCATCACAAGGGAGAAACACAAATAAATAGACAATTTATTTTTGCCCGCATTGAAACGGCTGTACGCAGTATGGACCTGAAAACTAAGTTTCCCTGTACAACAATACGGGGTAAACCGTGTGGGTTGATAGGTATGGATGATTCTACGCCGAGGCAGCCGTACAAACCGCTTATTCCAACTCGCACAACGCAGTTCTATTCGCTCAATCGCGTTACATACAATTCGCATCCGCGTTATAAAAATACGTGTTCCCTAAATACATTCATCGCGTTATATCCAATTCGCGTTATAGGAGACCAGGACGTGTGCAAAATATTTAAAATCTGAAACTCATTTCTCGTGCGTTTACATTATTTTTTATTTTCTCTGCCTGTTTCAGTTGCATGTCGGTGAACTAAAATATCTCGAGGGGGTGGGGAGGGCAAATGAGACAGAGCCCAAGCCCCCAATCACCCCCAGCTTGCTCCGTTAGACCGAGGACTGCGCTCTGGCAAGCCGTCACACCTGGCAAGCCGTAGCATGACCAAGGGCATCCGTGAGACAAACCTCCCCCCCCCAACCTCTCTCTCCTTAATCTCTACGGGCATTAACAAAATCAGAGAGACGACTTGAGTGGGTTTAGGACTCAGGATCTCATCAACTGACAGCAGCGTTCAGCCCAGTGTACCGCTGTCAGTCGGGACACGGAAGAGCCGGTGCGTTCTTCTTTTTTTTTTGTCAAACGTTTATGTTACTGTCCGAGCCAAGGTTGCTTTTCTATCGACCCCTCTGCCCCAATTGGCAGTGTCTTTGACTCCCACTGCCTCCCTCACCCGCTCCGTTTTTACCTCCAGCCGGTTTCATGGCTACTGGATGCGTTCTTTCAAGTCGTCCAGTAGCACTTTTAAGTTTGCCGGATGGCGAGGGATCACAGGGGAATCCAATTTCAGTGTTCGTGTTGAAATGTATGCGTGCATGCACGTTGAACTTCTTTTGCACCGCACGTAGCCAACCGCGCTAATCGAAGGTGCGGGGTGGAGGGGAAGGACAACAAACTAACACACACTAAAAAGCACTTTTAAACAAGCGAGTTTTCAATATTGATAGTAAGTTTTCAATCGTGTACTCGGTTTGGCCAGAGCCATCTTTAGCCAACGGAAATGTCCTGGAGTTTTGCTTCACAATTTTTATTTTCTTTCACCACGAGAAACATACAGAGGGGAAAAGATTGGACACAAGTCACACGGGAGGGGAAGAAACAAGAACCAAACCGAATATGAGTTGCGCGAGGGATGTCAGCCAGGACAAGACGAACATCGTTGTCTAAGGCTACACGAGGGAGGTGGGGGGGGGGGAGATTGAAGCCAGTCTCATCAAGAGGTCCAAAAAAATATTCCCCCCCCCTCCCATATAAAGCCGTCGATCGTTCGTGATTCCTTTAATCTGCGCGCGGTATGTTAACGTACGTAATGTGACTTTAACGGGAGCCAATCGAGCACGATAGGATGTATCTCGACAGATAATTTATTATATGTAATCAGTGCCTGCCGAGGTGCAGGGCAGGCAGAAGGGTTTACCAGGGCATCCTGCTCGTTCGAACCTGTGTGGTGATGTTTTCCCCCCAGATTCATATTGTTGAGGGAGTGGGGGGGGGGGGAATGTAGAGGCGGATTTCCCACGATGGAACGAGCTTCAGTCATGCTCCACGGCCACGTGTGGTGTGCGTTGGCTGGCGCATCTGGAAAGCGATTTGTTGTTGGGCTGGTGGAGAAACTCATCAAGTGCTTATTTACATCGAAAGGCCAGATGCAAAAAATTTAAAGCAAGTATCATGCATATTCTGATCACAGCGGCCATATGGCCGGCTGTCTTACTCGGTTGCAGCAGCAGCAGCAGTAGCAGCAGGACACGTAACGTGACACGAACGACTCCTCCCACCTCCCCTCTTCGGTTTGTTCAAGGGAAGAAAAAAAAAGATGGACAAAACGCATTGACCGGCGGAGCTGATAAACGGGCATAACAAAAAAACCGGTCGAGTGAAAGATCACTGGGACGTGTTACGGAAAAGTTTACTGCCACGGCCATGTTCATGTGCACAGATGATTTAAAAATCTGGGATTTGTTGTTGTTTACAATAGTAAAAAAAATGTTTGTTGTTACAACAGTAGATGAAAAAAAACATTGTGTGCTTTCATTAAAAGAGACGTTTGATTAATCGCGCGAGGTCGGAGCTTAAGATCTGTCACCCGTTGCGCGGCGCTGAGCAACTCATTACATTAATGGATTTGTTCGGCCGATTTTCTTGCCAAATTTAGGGCAAAAATCCGGCTGACCTTAAAATTCCATTTACGTGAAAAGATTAAGTGGCGCGCGTGTTGTGCCAGGCGCTGCTGTAATCTCTGCTCTTTCGTGGCTTTAAATTAAATTAGCGAGATGCGTCGCAAAGCCGGGTGAAGTAATTGCGTCTTTTAGCCAACACAACAGAGTCGACGATTGCGCAGCTTGTTAAGCCCCGCGGTGGTGAAGCATTTCAAATAAGCAAAGTACCGGAACGACATCGAGAAGAGCAAGCGCTTAATTTACGGCAAATTGCCACGTTAGAAGGCACGATTGCTTCAAGCGCACATATTCCCCGTTTGTGCGTTATTTATTTTTGTAAATTTAGATTTACACCGGGAAAATATCGTATTAGTGGCAAGTTGCCTTGGCGCAACTTCTAAACACGAAGCTAAATTTGAGAAAACGAGGAAAGAGTTTGTGGCCCACAATGTATTGTATTACCGTATTCTCTGGATCATTGGACGCACTTTTGCCCCTATAATGTAAAGCAAGAGTGCGGGGGTGTTGTGTGTGACCGTATTTGTATCATTGACACCGCGCATATTTTTGGGGTTCGTTTTACCTTTCTAGAGCGTCTAATAATCCAGAGAATTTGGTATTATACTGGTAGGAACCTCCTGGTTACACCAGTCCACAGGGGATTATTGTGTCCGTCCGTCGTGCAGGGAGGGGCTGGGTGGGGAGGGAGGGGCTGGGTGGGGAAAGTGGGGAGAAGCTGGGTGGGGAGGGTGCGGCTGGGTGGGGAGGGGAGGGTGGGGAGGGGCTGGGTGGGGAGGGTGGGGAGGGGCTGGGTGGGGAGGGTGGGGAGGGACTGGGTGGGAGGGTGGGGAGGGGCTGGGTGGGGAGGGTGGGACTGGGTGGGGGGGTGGGGTGGGGCTGGGTGGGGAGGGGCTGGTCACCCCGTGGTGCCCTTATAGTCGGGCATATTTGCGGAATACACCACGCCGCCGTTGACCCTGGCCATTGAGCAACTCAACGTTCCTACCAGCTCCTTCCGCAGGAATGTGTTTTTTGTCATTGGTAGTGCATGAGAATCCACCCAGATATACCGACTTTAGTGATGCCAGTTATTTTTTACAAGCTCGCCATAGCTTTCAGAGGAACTGAAGTTACATTGTAAATAAAGACGCACTAGAGCACACTACCTTCTAGATCGTGAGATACTCAACCATCCAAGAACTAACGGTTACCGAAACTTATGCTCAGCCGACAACCCATAATTCCGTGATCTCTAATCTCTGATCAAGTGATTGTGGCTTGAAACCGTATTCTCCTGCGCCTCAAACTTGTAGGGTCATTAAACCAAATAAAGAGTGCGCTTTCTCATGGGGGAGAATATGGTAATATGCAGAGCCGTCTTCCAGAATATTTTGAATTGATGAACGGGCTGCTTTATAATGGAGAAAGGTGTCTTAGTCTTGAATAAGATTCTGAATGGGTGATGGTGTCTCCTGTCCTCTGTGTGGTCACATAGTTAACATCTCGCCACGGTGGTGAGATATCAACTACCTCACCTGGTGTTCGATATCGACCCAGACGCCTGCATGTTTGGAGTTTGCATGTTCTCCCCGTGGTCGCGTGGATTTTTCTTCAGGTCCTCCAGTTTTTCCTCTCCACATTTAGAATCAACATCACGCGTTTCAAGAATTTGGCTGCTATAAATTTCCACGCTATAATTTGTGTGACCAGGTCACTTATGAAAAAAAGCTAGATAGCTCAGTGGGCTTCACCTGGTAAAATTAAACGTTAATAGTTTAGTTTTAGTACTGCTACGAAGGAACCATCTTCCCGAAGATGAGTATTGCCAACTCGATTAAACTATGCCTTCTGGAACACGACGTATTTTTTATTTAAAATACAGGTGGTGGTAACGTTTGTCGTATGCACATAGTATACAGCAATTGAGGGGACTCTTAAGTGGTGGTAGGAAGTATTCTGTGGTCTATTAGGTGGCATCGACGACATTGGCCGTGGCGACCTTTTGACACTCGCCTGATGATGTATTAAAGGTGTTATTTGAAAACTTGAGTGGCCACTTTCAAATGTGAGTTACGTGGGCGTTCACTGTAACGAATGGGGAACACCCACATCAATAACATAATTACCCAAAATATCCATCCACACTCTCTCCCACGCACACAGTCACCTTAATTATTATACACCGCACGTGTATAAATACACCGCCTATGACCAAATCAGCCAGAACGTGTCTCATTTTCATACCTCGGAAGCTCCGACTTGAGCCAGAGGTCGCAAACGGGTTTTGATTCCTTACCCGTACCCGGCCGCACCAGGGTCGCAAATGGGTACCCGTACCCTACCCGATACCCGGCTACCCATACCCGGCCGGGTACGGGTAGGGTACGGGTATCGGGTACCTGATTGCGACCTCTGGGATGAAGCCATGTTGCAGGCGCGGGTGGGTTGATTCTAGGAACTTGAATTGTGAGAAGAGACAAGACGTTGGGAAATGAGTGACAAAAGGTTACTCACCAGTGACTCACGGCCTACCCGTACCCGGCCGCACCAGGGTCGCAAACGGGTACGGGTAGCCGGGTATCGGGTAGGGTACGGGTATCGGGTACCCGGTTGCGACCTCTGGCTTGAGCCTGGCTGGTGCTTCAACGGGTCACCAAAATTCATGCCACGTTGCCCAGAGACGGCCGCTGTCTGCTACCACGGTGGTAGTCAGCAGAGGGCAGTGCAACAAAAAAAAATCTACAGTTCTGTGCTGTTGCGCTCCCCTAACGGCCGAACTAACCTACGCCGACCTGCATGGTGACGTATGGTCACGTAAGTTTCACGGTGTGGTAATGCCCACATCCAGCAGTGGGTTGACAAAATGTGTGTGCACGTGTACAGACCTCATGTCATCACGCGGCTCGAAACGTAACGTTTCATCATCGCCAATTAAAAAGTTCCGAGGACAAAAAAAAAACAGCGTGTTGGAAAACTTGACAGACATCACGCGTGCGCGCACGTTTTTTTTTCCTTCCTTTTTTTGGTTTGTTCGCTGCAGCATTGATTTGCCGAGGTCAGAGTCGGACGAAGGCAAGGATGAGTGCGAACACCTCGAGCACACTCGCCCCTCCGACCACCCACACGGGCCCCACCACCCCCAAGAAAGGCCCGCCCAAGTTCAAGCAGCGAGCGTCGCGACAGTTTAAGAGCAAGCCGCCAAAACCTGGCGTCAAAGGGTACGTGGGAGGGAGGTTGCTTCTCGGGGTTAACCTGGGAGAGGAAAACACATGATAAAAGTACGGCTCAGTTTTGGCCCAGATATGGGACATTTCAATAAGTATAACCCGTAAAAACAAAGTTTTTCACTATAAATCCTTTATATGCGTGGCGGCTCGAGTCCTCTCGTCATCTGGCTTGAGATGGCTGCCACCTATGGGTCAGATGATTGCATTGCACCATTAAGCAATTGGTAATTAAATATAATATTTTTGTCCTAAAAAGTGTAAAATTTTGGAAAAAAAATTTCACGAACATTAATTGTCACGCACAACGAGTCTGTGTGGAAAATGTCAGCTCGATTGGATCACGGGAAGTGGGTTAAAAAACGACCGAAAGATTTGCACGGTCCTAAGCAAGCTAGCGAACTTAATATAAAGGATTTAAAAATGCCAAAGCACGTTCTGTTTCAGATGGATCCGAAAGTATGACGCCACGGGAAATTACGCCACTTTTAAGGTGGTGTCACTTCCACCCCTCCCCTGCTAAATGTAGTGTCACGTGGCGTCAGGTGACGTCCCCTTTGCTAGGCAAAGTCCCAGGCGTGACGCGGTTTTTTTCGGAATTCCATAGGAAAAGAACGTCAGTGCTCGCAAGCTCGGTCAGACGGACTCTCATCCGTGCCGTTCAGTGTCCGATCCAGCCGCCACCACCACCGCCCACCTCCCACTCTGCAGCAGCAGCAGCAGACAGCCGTCAGCCCCCATCCTCGGCCCTCTCAACTCCCTCGGACACGCACGCCGCGTTGGGGCGAACAGCTGTGCCAGCAGATGACCGAGCAAGCTCGAGAAGTGTGAAATAATCTCGAAAGGCTCTGATTTAAATGATCTTAAATTCAGAAAACTATTCGCGAATTGACCTTAACATTTAGAAAATGTTATATCCGAGATTAAAAAAAATACAAACTCATCACGAGTGGTGACAGTTTTAGTGGCCATGGTAATAGGTCACAGGGAGGTGGATGGGTGGCTCAAAGGGGGAGGGATATCGTGCCTTGTTGGAGCTCTAAGCTGGGACCGAAGATATATTCCATGATCGAATCCAGCTACAGCCACCGGCGATTAAACCGGATTCCCAAGCTCAGCGAGTTGATTGTAAAGGCTGGTCCAGATGTCTTGTGACCCCCAATTAATTTACCCCCAACATTTGTTTTCTTTTTGCATATTCACTTCTGTTTTAAATTAACCTTACTTTGGAAAAAAAAATACGTATTAGAAAATTTAATGGGGGTCACAATACACGAGATATCCACAAATAACCCACCATATGAAATTTAGTTTTCAAATTAACTCGGCTTAGATCAAGAATTAAACATCTTCATTGAATGAAAATGAAACTCATTCCAGCGTTTAAAAAAAAAGTGGGTTCCTATTTCGAACACAATGGAAAAATACAGAAAGGCCTTCAACAAGCAGGTTCTGTAGCATCTTGTGAGGGGTGATTCTCTGACGCAAGGTGGTGCACTGCTCAATCAGAAAGTTCTGAAGGAAAATGAATTCGCGTCTTGGCACAACACCGATAGTTCAGTTCTGGCACCACCGAGGCTGATCGGTCAGTAACATGTCCACGACAAGACAGCCGGTGCACTAACAGACGTTACATCGGCGAGGAGGAAGGCCAATGTTACAGTATAGGTTTTATAAATCGAGTACATTTCAACTAAACCATTGCGAGCCTGCGTCTCCGTTGCTTTAGACTCACTCAGAGGGCCGACTGCTGGTGGCAGCAGTCGGCCCTCTCAATGGACGAGCTGGTTAGGAGGCTCGCCCCGCTGAGTGGCGACCAGTATAGTTGACGGCGCGGTCGGCGCTTCGTCCGGATGAGAGATACATTGCATGCCTGCAAAAAATTCCGCACATGTCCAAACGTTCTCAACGTTTGTTTAATGAACGTCCGAGCTGGTGTCTTACGCGTTAGTTGCAATTGTGCGGATGTTAATGCACGCGGTAAAACAAAACAAATGTGAAACTTTGCCGTGAATGCATGTTCCGTTTTTTTTGTAGGTTTGGAGATGAGATTCCAGGAATGGAAGGCTTGGGAACAGGTGTGTTACTTTATTATACACATGGAATACATTTGTTTGCTTAGAGAAAGAAGTAACTTCCTTATTTTTACACAAAACAAATCCATTGCTTGGTAAATATAAGAGGCCGAGACTGGATGCGACTTGAAATGTCCAGAAATACGAAGCATTGGAGCGAATGCCTCGTGACATTGCCTCCATCATGATGACACCGTGTTTATTCTTTTAAAATCAATTTTACGTATTAACCACCGCGTTCCCAAACCCTAACCCCTGCAGACATCACCGTCATCTGCCCCTGGGAGGCCTTCAGCCACTTGGAACTACACGAACTGGCGCAGTACGGGATCGTGTGAAAGACACTCAACTCATCGCCACCACCGATCGTCAACTTCAGCAGCAGCAGCAGCAACACCAACGCTCGCAACGTGCAAAGGGCACGCGCACGCACACCCACGCACGCACGCCCACACACGCACACCCACGCACGCGCACGCACGCACACCCACGCTCGCACGCTTGCACTCTCGCACGCGCACACCGACCCGTAGACAAGCGACGTTACACACCCACACCGCACACCGATGCATGGGGCGCGCCAACCACCCCAAGAACGCGTTACCCGACGCGGTTGCCCTCACTTAAACTGAGAGGGTACACGCATACGCACCGATGCTTCGCACGCACCCCAAGTACACACCCTCCTCCTCCTCCCTCCTCCACGGTTGCCCCTCTGGGTCAGGTTAACCTCGGGACTGAGTCACATGTACTTCTTCCTCGAACAACTTTGCAATGCTGCCAAGATTCCCAAAGCCGACACTGCCGTGGGGGGTCTGATTGGTGCACGCGACCGAGAAAGGTTGGGGGTGGGGGCGCAATCGAGTTGACTTATCCCAAAATATAAACACACGTAATTATTTCTCCGCAACATTTTTTTTAACGTAGAGTCTAAGCTCGGATGTTTAATACATCAGGAACATTTCAAGACGAAATGTGTTCACGTTCGGAGAGTTGTGCGTGTCTATTTTCGTATCTCAGAAACACAATATTTATTTATACTGGAGGAATCCAACAGATGTCAAGTAAGGGGCGGGTCAGAACGTTTCCACACAGTACCAAAGCACACGATAAGAGTCCAAAGTATAAGAAAGGTATATAAATAACTTTAAAAAAATACATATAAACGAAATGATTTGTATCCTATTCTTGGTTCTTTCGGTAAAGTCACGTAGAAGGGAAACAATAAAATAATAAAAATATAAAACAATAAATAATTTTCAAATTTTCTTGCTGTGTTTTCACGCCTGATGATGATTGCTTGTGTTGCAGTCGAAACGTCGTGATAATTTTATTGCTTTATATTCTTATTATTTTATCGTTTCCCTTCTACGTGACTTTACCGAAAGAAGCAAGAATATGAATCCCTGCAGTCACGAAAGCTTTAAATCAATATTTGTATCCTACCAGGTAAAGCCCACTTAGCTATTACCTTCTTTTTCAGAAGCCACCTGGCTGCAATTTATATCTCAACGAAGTGGCTCATCGTGCGGAGGAAATGAAAAAGCATCAAAATAATCTAAACGCATGTTTCTAAACATTTTGACCGATGGATCGTCTGACATTTCATAACCCGGAAGCTGCTCTCACCCGAAATTCTACATCCCACACCACCACACTCAAAGCAGCCCAATGCCATCAAGGGCATCTCTGCAATTGATGCCACATTGAAGCGACCATTTCCAGTCGTCAGCATTGAGCAGGGATGGCCAAGATACGTTTGGGAGATTTGAATATTTCGTGACTGCAAGGATTCATTCTCTTTGTTCTTTTTCGGTAAAGTCACGGCGGTAAAACAATCAATAACATAAAATAAATGAAAACAACTAAATTAAATCACGACGTTTCGGAGGCAACACAAGCTTCCTTTATCAGGTGTAAAAAAGGGCACAGCAAAATAAGTGTAGGAAGCTTGTGTTGCCTCCGAAACGTCGTGATTTAATTTAGTCGTTTTCATTTATTTTATTTTATTGATTGTTTTACCTACGTGACTTTACCGAAAAAAACAAAGAGTATACGTTTCGATTTAAAGCTTTCGTGACTGCAGGGATTCATCTTCTTGGTTCTTTCGGTAAAGTCACGTAGAATGGAAATAATAAAATAATAAAAATAAAACATAATAAAATAATTCTCACGGCGTTTCGGCCACAACGCAAGCAGCCGTCCTCAGGTGACGCTGTCTCCCCGACAGACCTGGTCTTCACCTGAGGACGGCTGCTTGCGTTGTAGCCGAAACGCCGTGAGAATTATTTTATTATGTTTTATTTTTATTATTTTATTATTTCCATTCTACGTGACTTTACCGAAAGAACCAAGAAGAAAGAGTATACGTTTGGGAACCAAGATAGGTGAAATCCGCACCGCCGTAAACCTAGTTTTGTAGGCTAATCTTTCCATTATACTAGTATACATTTGTATCGACAAAGTGGATTGTATTATATGGTTATTTATTTCTTTTCAGTGTGTCTATATTTTCGAGTTTAAATGTCTATTCCCCACCCCCCACCCACCTAAAAAACGTTGGGTTGGCTCTTACATGCGCCGTACACGTATGGTGCAACTATTCGGTGCAAGTAGCGCAATAAGCAAAACGCAGCGATGTGCTGTAGTAAGATTGCTCCTGGAACTTGTTGGAGTATTTTGTTTAAGGTGTATGTAGCCTTTTGAAATCACCTCGCGGAAAATATGAAGGTGTTCGGATTCCAGCGAAATGGAAATGCATTATCGTACGACACAAGACGCACAATAATTGTATCATCCGTTTTTTGCTAAATATCGATTTATCGTGATTATAATTGGGCAATAATTGTTTTTTTTCAGATCGCATTTCCTGACGAAATATTTACGATTACCCACGAATTGAATCTTTTGAAAAGTGTTTTGCAGAATAATCGATGACATGATGGAACTTCGCTCAACTATTTAATCACATCTTGTGTTACTGCCTGCCTGTTCGTTATGCACGTTATCCCTTTTAAAGTTGCAAAGATTGGAATACTCGTGGCACAGGCTTCTGCTGAGTGAACTGCAATTGCAGAGCTTTTAATTCATCTTCATTAGGGATGGAGCACAGCAAAACTAAATATCGATGCAATAAAATTGTGAAATACGACAGAGTTCGGGAATCCTGATATCGCGATTATCGTCATATCGTGGAAATTTATATTGTATCTTGAAATTTTATATTGTGGCAACTATATAATTGTTTAACCCTGGTCAAATGCCTATTTCGTGTTGTTCATAAATATTACAGACTCCATTACAAACAATGTCGTGTTCAGTTTTACTCTGCCTTTGTTATTTGTGTGGTCGGTTCGAGCAAAGTCCACATCGGTGAATGGTTCACAGGTGTTCATGTAAACAAATAATGCCAGATACAGTTCATTCATAGGCTCCACAGACTGACACAGTACAATGCTGCATTAAATCACTTAAATCCAATCTAACGCCTTTTGTAAATGATGAGAAACTCGTGGGACAGAAGAACGAGTGCAGGGTGGAAGCAAGTAAGAGCAAAAATAGATAAATAGACGCAAAAAGGTGCTTTCTACACAGCCAACTACAGCGGGATTGTGACCACCCAATCGGTGCTCCCATCATGCCTTGCATGTCACGTGGCATTGCCATACTACACCTGTGCAATGCTCACCAGCCTTGGTTAAGAACGTTAGACCAGCGACTCGTTAAAAGAGCTATAATTGTGGCAATTTCCTGCGAGTTTTAAAAAAATCATATATACGGAGAGCCTGCGATTTGGTTTATTCACCCTTAAGGCAGCAGGCCCAGACTGTATCCACATCAATCAGGGACCCAGAGCTTGGCCACGCGAAGCCCCCAGAGGCACAAGACAATGATGGCTTTACTGTACTGATGATTCCTAACCAAGAGTGAAACCGGTATTCGGTGGGTTTCATTGTCCTCCCTCCTGTTGCTGTTTAAAATAAATACAACTAAAATATGGCCACAATAAAAAAAGTGTTCAGAGAGGGCGCTGTGTGTGTTGCATGTGCTGCGTTACGAAGCCCCAGAGAGACTTTTTGACTTTGAAACAACTTTTATTGCCGCCAGCAGCAACAGCACTGGAGGCGATTCCGATACGAAACACACAAAGTCACCAGCAAACAAATAAACAAACGCTATAAATCCACGCGCTTTGGCGCTAAGCCCCAAAGAGAGAGAGAAAAAAAAATGTCCCGTATCGCACTCTAGAAAGATTTTAGTCATGGCCATCATAATGATCGTCAGCCATGGTCAATCCACTGCTGGATGAAGGCCTCCACACGCCGTCGCCTTCTTTCTTGATCCCGCGACGCAACAATGCCCCGTAATCCTCACGAAGCAATTTCATTCCAGTCGTGAGCGGCAATTGGTGCAAAGTGACGGGCCATTGTAAACCCGCAGGAAAGTACGTGGCACTCATTCCTCGTGACCATTGCCAAGAAACCCATCCCCAGTATATCAACCCATCGTGGAGAATCTGCTCTCTAACTGAGACCTAATTACAAATGCCCCCTCCCCTCCTTTCGTGATAACTGAGAGGGCGGAGCGCCCTTCACGAAGACGTACAGTGACAGGGCAGCATACCAAGCATCTCAAATCTGAGTCTGACCAAAGGCCAACAACCTTGTCCTCCACCCAGGCAGTCCGGCAACGATTGGCAGAGCAGGAACGCACATCGATGAGAGAGAGGAGCATGGATGTTCGTTTTTTTATTAAATATTTTTTTTATCGAACTTGCACTGTTGTCTGATTATATTCGTTCAAATCTTTGACGCTTTAATATCTTCGGATCTACGAAGACCAACGAAGTGACATTTTCAACACAGGCGCGTTGTCGTCTCGCGTGACAATTTAAGATTTCATTGAAAAAAAATCGGTCCAGGTCCCGCCTATCCTGGGCCTCTTCATGTTTTTTTTTTACTAAAAAATGTATTGCAGCATTCCAAATATATTATAATCATCATCATCATCCAGACAAAATGTAGGTAACAAAAGTTTTTCAATGCACAAACTTTTATTTGCACTCAAAAGTATAAACATGTATTCCTTTGACCCCAGTATGAATCAAATTTGATGTGCTGAATACAAGTGGGTGGTTTCGTTTCGATGTTTAATTGTCCTTATTATGCAAGCCACATCATATTTGATTAATACTGAGATCAAAATAACCATTTTTTCTTCCATTTTTTTGTACAAATAAAAGTGTGTGCATTCAAAAAGTAGTTTTTTTTTAAAACCTGATTTGTTCATGAATTGCTTAAACCCACCTTCTAGACCTGCAGCAAAACACCCCTGTAGCTTCTTTTACTCGTTTCGAAGATAACATGGAGCCCTGCATTCGCGTGCTCACGCCACGGCTGGACTACTCGCTGGAGTAAGAGCCCTCGTGATACCGAAGGGAGTTCTACGAAGGGTATTTGACCTACTAGACTGGCCAGACGTCTTGGAAGAGGTGTTAGTACCCACATTTTACCCTACCACACGCCGCCCGCTCATGTACTCTGGTGTATCACTGCATACTGCTGCAAGAACCGGGGTATTTAGTAATCATGCCCCATTGTTTCAACTGCCGTCGGGAGAATGAACCGGCGATCGATGGACTGCAAGTTCAGTGTTCACCATTGCAAGTGCTGTTGGCGAGTAGCACCTATGGAGGCCGGCAACGGTGTAGGGGGGTGCCTAGCGCCACGCCCGGCCGCCTTTGTCTCCCCCAGCGGCGATTGTTTACACACACGCGACCAAGGTGACCCCCATTTGAGAGGCTGCATACGTCTCGTGCAAGTTCCGCGACGGCTGCGACGGCCACTTCAACAAAATGCTGCCCTCTGCTGACCAGCCACCACCACGACGCGCGCACTGTGGGCGGAGGGTTGACTCAGTCTTCCGGAAGATTACAGCCAAAAGGAACCCCCCCCCCCACCACCACCACCACCCCCCTTTCCCGAGCCCACCCACCTCTTGAGTGCCAATAATTATAATCAGCCATGTTCAGTGCACTGCTAGATGGACGGCCCCGAATCCCTCCCTCCAGTCCGGCGTGCCACACCTCTCACAATCCTGCGATGTTTATGATCCCTTCCTGAGCACCCCCCCTCCCTTCCTCCACCTCCACCACACCACAAACCCTCCCCCCCCCACCCACCTCGCCTAGCCCCCACCCTTCACCCCACCCACAGCTCCCCCCCCCGCAGTGATCATCCCATCCCCGCGGAGGAGCTGAGTGAAGGTGCTGAGTCGTGCGTGCTGCGTGGTTGGTGGTGGTGCTGGTGGGTGCAGCAGCAACAGCAGCAGTGGTAGTGCTGGTAGTAAGTTGGTGGTGGTGAAGCTGAGCGCAGGAGCTCACGTTGAACTGCACCCGCCGAGTTTGTGTTGCCGAGTTTCGGCAGTGGGCTGAGAGGGGAGGGAGGCGGGGAGGGGGAAAGGAGCCGAGGCAAGCGGCGCAGCTGAGCGGCGTCTTCCAAGCGCTCGTTTAACGCGAGGAGACGGGCATGTCGCTTCCGAAAGGTAAACGTTGTTGGCTTGTGTGTGTGTACGTGTGTGTGTGTGTGACCGGGGGGGGGAGCGGTGGTGTAGTGGTTAGCGCGCTGCACTACGGACCTGGCCACCCGAGTTCGATTCCCGCTCACGGCAAACACCAGTGACGATTATCTGAACCGGTCCTGGGCCTCCCCTAGGTCGACTCAGCCTCAAATGAGTACCTGGTGCGGTGTGTAAACATCGCCACTAGGGAGACAAAGGCGGTCGGGCGTGGTGCTGGCCACCCACCCCCTCGTGTACTGTTCC